TATTACCACAATATTGACGTGTGAGACTTATATACTGTACAGAATAGTACCACAATATTGACGTGTACGGGTTAAACATCTCCAAAGCAGGACGTGCTTATAGCTTGTGTCAAGGCAGTATATGGGTTAAACATCACCAAAGCAGGACGTGCTTATAGCTTGTGTCAAGGCAGTATATGGGTTAAACATCACCAAAGCAGGACATGGTTATAGCTTGTGTCAAGGTAGTATATGGGTTAAACATCACCAAAGCAGGACGTTGTTATAGCTTGTGTCAAGGCAGTATATGGGTTAAACATCACCAAAGCAGGACGTGGTTATAGCTTGTGTCAAGGCGGTATATGGTTAAACATCACCAAAGCAGGACGTGGTTATAGCTTGTGTCAAGGTAGTATATGGGTTAAACATCGCCAAAGCAGGACGTGGTTATAGCTTGTGTCAAGGTAGTATATGGGTTAAACATCACCAAAGCAGGACGTGGTTATAGCTTGTGTCAAGGGAGTATATGGGTTAAACATCACCAAAGCAGGACGTGGTTATAGCTTGTGTCAAGTCAGTATATGGGTTAAACATCGCCAAAGCAGGACCTGGTTATAGCTTGTGTCAAGGCAGTATATGGGTTAAACATCGCCAAAGCAGGACGTGGTTATAGCTTGTGTCAAGGCAGTATATGGGTTAAACATCACCAAAGCAGGACATGGTTATAGCTTGTGTCAAGGCAGTATATGGGTTAAACATCACCAAAGCAGGACGTGGTTATAGCTTGTGTCAAGGCAGTATATTGGTTAAACATCACCAAAGCAGGACGTGGTTATAGCTTGTGTCAAGGCAGTATATGGTTAAACATCACCAAAGCAGGACGTGGTTATAGCTTGTGTCAAGGCAGTATATGGATTAAACATCACCAAAGCAGGACGTGGTTATAGCTTGTGTCAAGGCAGTATATGGTTAAACATCACCAAAGCAGGACGTGGTTATAGCTTGTGTCAAGGCAGTATATGGATTAAACATCACCAAAGCAGGACGTGGTTATAGCTTGTGTCAAGGCAGTATATGGGTTAAACATCGCCAAAGCAGGACATGGTTATAGCTTGTGTCAAGGCAGTATATTGGTTAAACATCGCCAAAGCAGGACGTGGTTATAGCTTGTGTCAAGGCAGTATATGGTTAAACATCACCAAAGCAGGACGTGGTTATAGCTTGTGTCAAGGCAGTATATGGTTAAACATCACCAAAGCAGGACGTGATTATAGCTTGTGTCAAGGCAGTATATGGTTAAACATCACCAAAGCAGGACGTGGTTATAGCTTGTGTCAAGGCAGTATATGGATTTAACATCACCAAAGCAGGACATGGTTATAGCTTGTGTCAAGGCAGTATATTGGTTAAACATCACCAAAGCCGGACGTGGTTATAGCTTGTGTCAAGGCAGTATATGGTTAAACATCACCAAAGCAGGACGTGGTTATAGCTTGTGTCAAGGCAGTATATGGATTAAACATCACCAAAGCAGGACGTGGTTATAGCTTGTGTCAAGGTAGTATATGGGTTAAACATCGCCAAAGCAGGACATGGTTATAGCTTGTGTCAAGGCAGTATATTGGTTAAACATCGCCAAAGCAGGACGTGGTTATAGCTTGTGTCAAGGCAGTATATGGTTAAACATCACCTAAGCAGGACGTGGTTATAGCTTGTGTCAAGGCAGTATATGGGTTAAACATCACCAAAGCAGGACATGGTTATAGCTTGTGTCAAGGCAGTATATTGGTTAAACATCACCAAAGCAGGACGTGGTTATAGCTTGTGTCAAGGCAGTATATGGGTTAAACATCGCCAAAGCAGGACGTGGTTATAGCTTGTGTCAAGGCAGGATGTGGCAAGATCGGGCTGAGGGAGAATGTGACTCACGTGACATTCATATGATGACGTGTGATACGATTATGACCTATGATCATTATGTGACGTTCGCATGTGACCCTTGACGAACTATTTGAATGTGTCAACGATATGATGTGACTTTTGAGGAATGCGACCTATGATGTGACATTTGTATTTGTGACCTATATTAAGGTGATATTTGAATGTGACCCATATATGAGGTGAGGTGAAATGGGGTTTAACGTCGCGTCCAAATTATTGCACTTATATAGCGAACGTGCATGTACGTGTGTGTGTTTGTGTGGCTGCTTGTACTAGTCCGGACTGATGCCGAATTATAGTGCTAGCTCACTGAGATACCATGCTGCAGTTTAACATGAATACCCCACTCAGACACAGTATACTGACTCCGAGCCGACCAGTCTTTGTTTTAGCCCCTTAATGCCGAGCGCCAGACAGGGTAACAAGTACCATCTTTTAACGTCTTTTGGTATGACGCGGCCGGGGATCGAACCCCAGACCTTCCGCTCTCCGGGCGGACGGTCTACCACTAGACCACGGAGGCGGTCGGACCCGTGTGGCATGTATGATGTGACAGTTGAATGTGACATGTATGATGTGACATTTGTATGTGGGGCATGTATGATGTGTCAGTTGAATGTGTGACATGTATGATGTGACATTTGAATGTGTGACATGTATGATAGGACAGTTGAATGTGACTTGTATGATGTGACATGCATGATGTGACATTTGAATGTGTGACATGTATGATGTGACAGTTGAATGGTCGACATGTATGATGTGACATTTGAATGTGTGGCATGAATGATGTGACATTTGGATGTGTGACATGTATGATGTGACATTTGAATGTGTGACATATATGTGACAGTTAAATGTGTGACTTTATGATGTGACATTTGAATGTGTGACATGCATGATGTGACATTTGAATGTGTGACATGTTTGATGCGCGAAATGAGATCAGGGAGACGGCACAAGACAGTATAACCATCAATCTACGATCAAGACACTATGTACTAAACACAATAAAACACATGGTGGGCCACATACAAAGTTATGTTCAAAGTGCATTATATATTGCCGCCTTGGTTAACGAATCAGGGCGCCGCGATGGCCGGTAATGTATGGAGCACGTTCCTCCATGTAGCAGGTGCCCGTCGTTCATGTTAGTCCCCCCACGTAATGTTTGAGTCAGTCTTTTGTTACAAGTGCACTTTGCCGTACGCGGTTTGGGAACTGCCGTCAATATAATGTGTGCCATTATATATTTGCCTGTATCTGGAAACCGGTTGATTAACGAGTCCGCGGACTTGGGTTTAGAGATTGGAGATAATTGGTAAAATATACGGTGTTAAACTATAAAATCGATACGGTTCTCTGCTTAAAATGGGGGTGGGAATAACCCACTCGTAACTTCTCAAGGTCCTTTGTCGTCCTGTCTTCGTAAAATGTGCCTTATGAAGAAACATTGGTTAATTTCAAGGCGTTCTTGGACGAAAACGTCATTTTCCAAACTACATAATACTTCTCTTACAAATCTCTGACTTTAAATCAGTTTTACCCCTTCGTGGCTTCAAATAAAAAGCAGCACATGTATAACCATTTGAATTTGACCTCTCCACTTCAACCAGCGGTTACAGGGCACCTAATTCCGTGTGTCGAATTACGCAGGGAGGCGGTGGTAATTTGGCTAAATATTACACAATGAAAACTGACCCCGACTCTCGTTGGAGGAAGGGTTTAACCAATCGATGTTAATTATCGTCGAGTCGTTGGGCTCTCGTAGGAGACGTCTGCATGTCATAACGTCGACTTTAGTGGATCCGCCGACGGCGATGTTAGCAGCGGCAGTGACGACGGGACATGTTCCCAAGAGTACGGCTTTGTCTGTGCAATGGCGGGAGACATACACTATACGGAGACCTGCGGCAACTGAAGCTATTTACATTGTAGTGTGTGTACGTGTGAACAAATGGATGAGTGAGCATGTGGATGTTACATCACAGCGTGTCAGCTTGATTTGGGAGGAAAGGTCTTCTACAAATTTCGTGGAACCCACGAGCACGGGTATGGTATTGATAAACCTAGAGACATAAACAGGGCGAATCTGGGATTCGAACCCGCCATCATTAGTTTCTGTTACGCCTAAGGGATGCAACTCTGCACGGCAAAATGACTGAGACACCCGTAAAACATGTTATAACGTGACAGTGAGTGAGTATGGTTTTACGCCGCTTTTTAGCAACAGTGGAACAGAAGAAATCTCAACTCCAACTTTATCCTGGTGCTTTCATAATCAACCAGTCAAACATTTCTGTAAGGAACATCCCACTTGAGCTGTGACCAAGACCCGTGGGGATTTGGGTCCCCAGCATCCAATGCTTGTCGTAAGAAGGCGAGAAAATGAATCGGGTGGTCAGATGGATTGGATTGTCTGGTCCAGACTCGATTATTTACAGACCGTCTGTCATATTGCTGGTATATAGTGTGGCGTTAAACAACATCCAACCAAACAAACGAAGCTTTGCTCAATATCCTTCAACATGTCATCAATTTGACAGAACACATTATGAACGCTGCACCTTCCCTGGTGGGCTGGCCCGGTTTACTTGCACTATCTAACAAGTGAACCTCCGGGGACAATGAGTGCGTTTTACCCAGCCATATCCCTACAGATTGTTTTCGAACATTGTTACCTAAGTGCATGATAAAAATAGCATCAAACGGTTGACATGGAATTGCCAGATAGACCCAAATGTTGTATCAAAACATACTTTTCAAATGAAATACTACTTTAGAGAGTGAGAGAGTTTGGTTTTATGCCGATTTTACCAATATTCCAGCAATATCACAGTGGGGGACACCAGAAATTACTACTTTAGACATAAGTGAGTGAGTGAGTATGGTTTTATGCCGCTTTTACCAATATTCCAGCAATATCACACCAGAAATGGGCATCACACATTGGCCCCCTGTTGGGAATCGAACCAGGTCTTCCAGGCTTAGGAGCGAAGGCTTTTTAACCACCAGGCTACCTGACCACCCCATTAGAGACAATGTTCCAGGGACCATAAAAGAAAACACAAACCAGACTGTGTAGTTCACTACGTTTTTATTTAGCAAAAATATGTTCCAAAATTTGGTGAGTGAAGATGACATAAGTGCTACAACTGGACATTAGAAGAAGTAGGTAGTATATGGAACCCAGACAACCCCCATGCCTGAGACAGGAATAGTTGTGACATTTAGTGTGTGGGGGGAGAGGAGCCTTGTGGAGGTGTTACAGAACACCCTATAGAATGGCCATCTCTCTAGATATTGCCTAACTACGATATAGCCATAGCCTGTTTCAGTATTCAAGTGTGATTGAGTGAGTTAGGTTTCTGCCCTTCAAACTTTATCCTAGCCATATCATATCCTGGTAAGATTCACCAGAGTGACTGAGAATCAATATCTGATCATCCCTTCCATTACATCAGTACAATAGCAATCTACAAGTTCAGTGATAGACCAAGAAGCATCACTGCAATAAGACCAACTTCTGAAGTAGGACATTAAGGGAATAAATAATTGTATTTTGCCATCATTCATAACAAAAAATATTCAACAAATATCCTAGGGACACCAAAGCCAAAATAAAAAGCTTGTTTGGGAAATAAGACAGCTAGAAGCAGCATATTACTATTCCTGTATATGGGAAGCTTGACTTGACTGGCGTTTGTGCTTTAATGCAGCAATTAGTGCAGGCATTCAGTTACCCAGTTGGTCTCCTCAAGTCGTTAGTCCTAAAGTGCCTCAATTAGTGAGTCATTAATTAACCCTACATTATAATGTCAGGTCACTGCCCTATCAAACCTAATTACTGCTACTCGGAAAGATGCAGTCGAAAATCATCTCCGTATTTACAACATGTTCAAAGGACACTTTCAGACATCATCAGCCTGATTTTAGCCCATATCATATTGAATTGATGACACATACGCTACAAGTACAAATGAGTGAATTTCAAATTCATTGAGCTTTGCCGGTATTTCTAGAATCTCAGAGAAGCTTGAAAGAGATGTTTTGAGTCAGCAGTATTTCAGCTATATCATGGCTTTCCACAGTGTCTAACTGGGCAGAGAATTGAAAACATAGCAGCACAGCGACAAGTAGCCACACAAAGGGGGTGACAAACTCTTGCACCACACCTCTATTGTTTTCCTTCACAGTTGTCATGTTTCCTTCACATTTTTCAAAGTGAGTGAGTTGGGTTTAACGCAGCTATTAACAGTATTCCAGTTATATCACCAGGTGTCAGCATAATGTGGGAGGAAAGCCCGAAATGATGCATGTCTTAGACGTTTACCACTTCGGTGAAACCCACAAGCAGGGGTATGGTGCTGACAAACCTTGAAACATAATCGGGGCGAACCAGGATTCGAACCTACAATCACAGGTGGGCCACCCGTGCCCCCCAGTTGTCATAACATTCAAATCAATACTCAGTGATCAAACACCCACTTTAGTTTTTTTTTAAATGTAAGCCACAGAAACACACAATCTAGATCCCCTGGACTTGTATATAACTGATCTTATTCCACTTATCACAGTGGTAACTGAGATTGAATAACACTATTAGAACACTTTCAAATAATTTGAAATAAGGTCAGCGTGAAATATTAAAAATCATAGATTTCCTATTCATTGAATAAGTATTCAATTCATTGTATTGAAATCACATTACCCATTCCAGAATGAGATTCTATGTACATCATGATTTAGACTTCACAAACACAAATCTAATTAGAACAAATCTGGTCTATTAGTTGGTTCCTGTGGTGTATGGTGGCCATTAATCTGTAGAGTAACATTTTCACCTCCAGCACACAAAACACTGATAGGGTTGACTTAAGTAATCCTGGCCTAACTACATATAATTAATGTAATTCCATTAACTTTAGACACAATCAATAATGGAACAGACTTCCCTGAAGATATACAACCACTAGCATAGCTTGTGTTGACAACTGGCAACAATGGCCGCACTACACAGCTCCTGACATGGGCCTTGCATTAAGTCCCTTGGCTGCTTTAGCCTAGCATCAGTGTTTGAAATGTTGGTCATATCCAGATGTCAGTATTACTCATGTATATTAAATGGTCTTCGCCTGTTAATGCATGTAGTGTCACTGTAGGAGTCATCCAATCACAGCATATGTCATCCTAAATTACCATCTCATTAGCATAATTAACATTCACCTTGGTGTTGAGTGTAGTGGTGTGGGCTATTTATCCTTCGAAACTTTGCATGGAATTATTCTCCATTGATAGTGCAATTACCTGTATGTTCCAGTCAGCTGGTACCAGTTAAGTATTGCATTAAGTCTACTGCACAGGCAACTGCTGACAAAAGTCAGGCCCACACTAGTGACCAGTCTAAGAATTTGCCTATTGCCTGAAACATAATTGTCTCATATTTAATTAAGTGTTGCTAAGTAATGGATCTATCAAATTAAACTGTCCTATATAACCCTTCACTGTAGTGGACTGTGACGTCAACTTGTCATATTAAAGATGCAAAATTGGGAGTTGTTTTGAACAAAATATACTACTCAAGACAAATAAAGGAACACCCACATTTGGAAGGCTGTGTGGTGCAATGACAGATTAACTATTGGGTGTTCCTTACCTTCTATTGAGTAGAATATGATGTTTATTACTTCACGCTGTGTAAAGGTATCCAGGAATAAAGGAACTGGCAATGAGTATCAGCGTTGATAGATCCATTTGATTATTATAAAAACAATCTGCAAAAAGACTGCCGACAATCTTTACAAACGCTAAATTACCCATCAAATGAAGCTTCAGCACACAGCCTGCATGTTTAGACAAATCAGAAAATGCCAAAGGGCAATAGAAGACAATATGTATAACAGAGCCTTGATCTTGCACCTTTAATATTGCCAGCTTGAGGCCATTTTTTTGGTTAAGTTATTATCCCATATCTGCATTCACTGGCACAACGCCATTGAGGATCCAGGATGACAATGCAGGTACAGGTTCAACGGAATCAGAAGCACAATTTCAAGAAAAGAAAAGGGCAGACAACCATCAAAGGAGTAAGATAAGACATGTTGACCACTAGTGAAGAATAAAGGCTGTTTAATAATATGTAGTGACATTGTTTTCTGTGATTCGATACCACAATGTGTATAGGGTTAAGGACAAAAATAATACCCCACACCTCAGTGTTGAATACAGATTATCTTACACGATCTTCACAATACATAAGGCAGGGACACAATATACATGTTACCATCGTTACAGAGTTGCAAACATTTGTACAGCATAATTTATACATACCGCATGTCTGAGAGATGGCTAATAAATTACTATTATTGCTGACTTGGAAGGAAAGAATGTAAATCCTAAGTACTGAAATAGTAAGTTTTGGTAAACATAATCATATTTTTTAAAAAAAAGGTGTTTTAAAATCTCAATATCTTTCACACAAGAATAATACCAGAATATTCTATTATAGTTCAATCAATTATTAAGTACATTTATAAATCTGAGACGTAAGGAGCATTGATATGTACATGAATTGTCACGGACATCCTATATCTACAAATGTTATTCTACTGATCATAAACATTAAGTTGCGATGATTCAAAGTGTGCCTGATATTCATGTCAATGTGGTGATGTGATTGAGTGTCTACTATTCCCATTTCATCGACCTCAAGACAAGTGAAGTTATGCCATGGATATGTTTTCTGAATGAAGGCAAACAATTGATTGCTAAGCATGTTGTAGTGAACACAAGTGGTAAATATGAAACCACATATTTCAAAATAAACCAGTACTTCCCAAGAGACATAAAAAAATAACTAAAATTCATGTATTTTCTAAAAGAAAATCCAGCTTGTGTAAATAGAAATTAAACACAATCTGCCAGTTATTATAAATGAGCAACTATGTAACCAATGAAAAGATAGAAATATTTCAGTTTTTCAGAGAGTGTTTTCATAATTTAAACATTGCTGAAGAGTACTTCAGCACATGGGTTGAACTTTGAGACTTTTCTAGTGGCCCAAATGCAAAACACTGATAAAGGACTAGAACACCTAGTAACTGGCAGACCAACATAAGTGTCTGCAGAGATTCATTTCATGGTAAAAGATTGTTGCTTTCAACACTCAGACCAAAACGTTCACAATGGGTAGCAAGGTTTGATGCACCATATCATCATACGTCCCGGCATTGAACGAAGCCGTACATTTTTCAGTGGATTTCACTGCTTGATGTATTCACTTAGTCAACTAGCGGGTGGAGGTATTTACACAAATTCAATGGAATACTTGTGGAGTACATTATCTGTGCCTAAGCATGTATAATATTACATGTCTATAGCCTCCACATGTTTACTTATAAGATAACAACACTGCCATTCTTTGGGCCTTGACAGTTTTGCATCAATTTCAAATTCATAAATGTCAAATTTAAACCAATTAAAGCCAAACTTTGTCATAACAGGCAAATCGTTTCAAGTAATACTTACACATACATACTTCAAGCACATATATCGAAAAATACTATTTTCTTAGGGAAATATTAATTTACTATATGATGGTAAAGCTATTGAAATCTGAAGTCTGAAAAGTAAATATCATTGTGACGACTATCCCTGGATAAGGTGAATGGTGAACAGCACTAGTGAATAGCACTCTCTAGAAAACAGTTCCTGAAACTAAACTCTCTATCATCATCACACATGCACATCTATATGAACAGCTCTCAAAGTCATGTGGTTTCATTGTATATACACGTTTCAAAGAGTTTTATTTCAGAGATGTATCACATCAGTCAAAAGCACTGTGGACATGGTAGTATCAACCAGGACAGTCATCATTACAGAGACTCAGGGGAGGTCAGCACAGTTACTCCTACTGCGCCGGTGGACCCAGTGTGCCGTCATCTCCACAAACCAACAGCAATCCCAATCTTAAGGCTACTCTGTGCCCACAACCCAGCCCAATATATATAACACAAACAGTGATAGAAACCAACTTTTAGTCCACTAGTCCTTATAATGTAGCATTAAAAATTGGCATTAGTCCTGTAGCCCTTGCCAAGCTGCCCAATTGTTAAGGTATCATAAAGACTAGAAGGAATTTGTCATTTATAAGGGTTTAGCTATATGGTATCATTATAAGGACCAGCGGACTACAATGTTAATTTCTACAGCTGTAATGATAACATATAGTAAAACCTTTAAAAAGGGCAAATCTCTACTAGTCCTTATGATACCTAAACTATCAGGGAGTTTGGCAAAGACAAAAGGGCTAGTGACGATTTCTAACGGTGTCAAAAGAATTTAAAGTACACCCTTTTTTCATATGACAGGTTAACTATAGTAAAAATGGAAAAAAATGGGTGTTCCTTAACTTATTTAGAGCCGAACAGACTACTGAACAGTGCAGGTTCGGAAACATCATGTTCATGTTTTGACATATCAGCCCATTTAAGCATAAATGGGTCTGACGGGATCAAACGGATCAAGTTATGCAATTATCTTAATAACAGGGATCATATTCTGGCCAAATCTGGGAATTGAAACTGTGGTGCTGCAGATGACTGGTAACATGATTTCAGAACATGCATCTTGTCCACACAGTCCTACCTATTCACATATGTGACCAACCATGAGATAAGGGACCTTATGGGTGAAAAATCGCATTTGACTTATTATTTTTACTTATTATAACTACTGTATTTTAGGACCAAGAGAATACAATTGATAAGCTTCAATTCTTCAATATTTATCACAGAGATACATGTCACTAAACATTGGCACAAGTCCCATTTTCAGACTCATGACCGTTAATGTAATAACTGAATCTTAGATGTAATGTCTGATTAGTTAAAAGTAGATATATATGCAGAAATGTTTTGAAAAAAACTACGAACTAATAAGAGAAAAAAATGATATTTTTTACTGTCCACAAACAAGGCTATTTTTACAGAAGGAAGTTGACATCAAATGTCTTTCTTAATGAAGTCACAGCACAATTGTATCCTAGCACCCATAAGGTCCCTTTTCTCCTGGTGGGTCACAAATGCTGAGTTACTGAGTTTCCCCAATCAAGTTTCCCTGGTGTGCTGCTGATGATATTAGTCCCTGTGCTGACCATCACCATAAAGGCAGTATCGTAATACCATCACTCCTTGGTCAAGTGAAATAAAGACAGGCAAAGTTGGAATTAAAATACTACAGACATGCTAGATAGATGACAATAATAACACAGATTGCGAAGACATATAAATGTTATATAAAACAAAACAGTATTTCATAAACATAGGTAAGTACAGAGTTGGCGGTATTTTGTTCAGATATATAACATAAGTTTCCTCCGGTTGTTCACTGGGTGTACCTGTCATGTCCCAGTAGAGTCAGCTACTGTTAGGGTTAGGCGTCATGGTACAGTGCACTGCTGGTCAAACTTTCATAGGGAAGAGACCTCAAATTGCAAGTTCTTCTCTGACTTGCCCTTGAATATTCATATTTAATGTGACAACTAATTACCAACCCATAAAATACAACATATTTGCTGACAGATATCTTCATAAACAACTGACGCTCTATCTGATAATTCCATGAAACAAATTCTACTTCCTAAAATTCACCTAATATTGCCTTGCTTATCAATAATCCCAAAATGATTTCATAACCATGATACTTTTGTGAAGATGGTGAAGGAAAACAAATGCACAATGAACAGTATTAGCATGATTAAAACCACTCCACCACTTGTTCAACAGATCAACTGATGACATAGGGAAGGGGGGCAACTTTACAAGCTAGTCCATGTTGGCCGACATTGAACAGCCTGCTGTTGAACCATCATGATCATCTTGACCTTTCATCATCATCATTCTTACATCCTTCACCTCAAGGTAATGGAGGTTTGAATACTCTTTCCATCTGTCATATGCACTATCCTACAAGTTGTATTATTTGTACATTGTCTATATGGCCATACAACATATTCATGAACCCTAGCTTATGAGAAATTGGCACCTAAAATATTTTTGTCCTTAACCATGTTGACAGTGATAAATACGGAAATACTGATTCTATTCCCTTATCATGACTCATTATCATGAAACATTTTCTACACATTTGAAGCACTGCGATACATAGGTGTGATATTGAACATGCTAAAGCAGTGATTACATAAAAGGAAGCTAGCGACTCATGCTCATATGATTTTATCAGCTGAGACAATGTCCTCAACTCCTACATAAAATCGGAAATTAAAATTGAAATAAACGAAACCTATTTTGTAAGAAAGTTCAATGCTAAATAGTCTGTAAACCACAGTATTTCGGTAGATTGAAGGGCATGAAATACAGTCTACATGAGCTATGACAGAAGTATATTGTAAGGTGAGCTTGTGGTTCAGCCATTTGAATAATACACACAAAAAGTTCTAGCAGCCCTTTTGATAACACTGGTCATACATCATGTATATAATTGTTGGTCCTTATACAGATATGAGTGATTATTCATCATTCAGCAGTGTGTGCTAGTGGAATAGTTTCATATAATTAAAGAAGTTCCTAGCCTGACATTGGGGACTCAGCATGTGTGATGAAGGCATCAATAATGAACAAAGAGTTTTAGGCTAACTTTAGGTACATACAAAAACCTTATATATATATATACTATGCCACTTAAAAATTAACCTGAACTGAAAACCAAACATATGACATTATCAATAACTTCTTACAATAACCACATACAAATCATCCTCTAAAAAGTATATATCCTAACAAACATATTGATGACATGCTAGCCCTCCTCAGGCTAGTGTGATCCCGCAAAGACCATTAATAGTTAAATGTTTCAACAAAAGAGAGATGAAAAATTATATTTCACCATTTTAAGTTTTGGCATATCTGCTCACATACATAACAGTGATCACAACATTATATATATATTACAGACTGTACACAAGCAAATGAACCATTTGCTATTACTATACAATCATCTCGACTGTATTCTTCCTGTGGGCAAAGAGGGGGAAACTGATAGGGAAGTCCATGGTACACAAGGGGAGGGTGGTAAATCCAGTTGTGTATGTGGATTGTGGTGGTAGAAACGTTCACATAACTCGGATCCCCCAAAAACTCTCAACATCAAACAGAATTTCGAAACTTTACAGATTCCAAAGTCCCAGAGCACTCCAGTAGTATCCAGAAATTTTGAACATTTAAACACAAAAACTGACATTTAACATAGGTAATTTCTCAAATGACATCAAGAACTGCTGCAGTTGATAGTAATCTCAAGAATTTACAAACAGCCTGAAGTTGAAAGGATTCAAACATTTACTAGGAAAGTTATCCTTGTGTATTAGACAAAACACCACTGTAGTCGACAGTTCCAATGAAGTGAAAAACGGCAGCCTCCTGAGTCAGATCACTCACTGTAGCCATGATACGTGGATGCTTGGAGTGCAACCCATGTAGATGAGAGAACCTGTCATGGACAGGACTGTGTCCCTAAGTCCCTGTATTGTCAGACAACCCGTTCAACAGCAGAGTTGTTCTTCAACTCCACCTCTTCGGGTGTGTGTTGAGTCTGAGAGGTTGAGACTGCCTCAGGTTCTTCGTTGGGTGTCTCCACATCATTCTCAGTTTCCGTTGCTCCCTCAATGCCCTCCTCTAGTCAATTGATAGCCAGCTCTACGTTGATGAACTGTTTTAAGCGCTCTAAATACTGTCCATAAAGTTCCACATCATTGTGTCCAGCGCCCTCTACCCACAGTGGTTCTACTGTACGAGGACATCGCTCATAAATTGCAAGTCCATGAGAAAAGTCTATCACTTCATCTTCCGTCCCATGAATCACCAGCACAGGGGATGTGATTTTAGGAACTTTGTCAATGCTGAAACAGAAAAAATGGTGATGAGCCAAAATTCCATTACTGCTTTTTTTGTCTGATAAGGATGAAAATGCTACACTGACATGACAATATCCATTATGACACCGTTGGGCTAGACACGGTTATTTGTATGAAAGTCCCAAGACTTCAAACTCCAGTAATGCTGCACACTGAAATTATCTGTGGACCAGAGAGAGATTTCCTGATTTATGTATGCATCAGGAAAGTAGTGTGGAGACTTCATCACCACTTGCAGCAATGTCAGCAATATGACAGGGCACACAGAGGATAGGCTTCACACATTTAACCACTAGACTACCAGGCTGATGATACAGATGGCTTAGATCATGAACACATGATAAAAAACTAAGGCTGTAACGATTCACTGATACATACGATATCATTGATACTTATGAAAACAATACTTGAATCGTCATTTTGTGAAATTGCAATAAGCTATAAATAGAACAGGATCTAATAGAGTTACCTATTCGTTAATGACAGAAGTAGCATAGCTTCACCTGTAAGAACGGCAGAACACAAGGACATGGTGACTGAGGACACACCAACTATTAGTGTACATTTAATAACCATCCCATAATTAAAAACTTTTTTTTTTCTCTTGTGGTTTTCATTGTTAAACTTAAAGATTTTGAGATAACCATAAAATAAATAAATAAATGTATGAAGAAAGAGGTTTTAGACCTGTATTTCAATGATTTCATCATTTCTTACTATTTGAAGTGGTGTATTGTGATACCTGTAGTATCGCCAATCTGTATCGTGATACAAATCGTATTGCAAGATACCAAGCGATACTCAATTCTAATAAAAACCCAATGTAGGATCCAATAACTGCCATGACCTTGAACATATTGAACTATGCAAAAGACAGATGCATCAACAGAGTTATGACCGTGACTGGATATAATCATATTAATTCTGTTAATTGCTGATTCTAGCTTTTTGAATATTTCCATAAAGCACAGATTACCCATTTGTTAATAAAACTATTGAGTTTGTTCTGAACATGTGCGTCACCATTCTGAACATAGTCAAGGGGATTTCCCTCTCGTCTTATGCAACATTTAAGAATTTGTTTCCACCTAGCATCATCAAATAAATCTGAAAGAGGACTGGGTCTTGTTCCTTCATAAATGAAATATTAAAGTACTCCATACACATATTTCTCATACCATGTGACACATAACCATGACAACCAAGCCTACATCATCATCAGAAAGGAATGTGTTGGGACTTGGCTGATGTTAACAGTTTGGTTTCCCCTGAAATAATGCAGATAAACTGGTTACTAACCACTTATTTTGCTGAGTGAGGCATTAAACAACAAACAACCCCAACCCTTACCCAAAACCAAACCACTTATAGTGACACTGTCCAAAGCGAGTTAGTGAGTTGTGCTGAAAACCTCTTTGAACATGATGAAGCATATTTCAGTTAGATCACACAATAAATACAGCAGGTAGACACTTTACCACATGGTGAAAAACATGACCACGGATATGGTGCTGACAAACCAAGGATCCACATCAAGTCAGTTTGAGATTTAGGGAGTGAGCGAGTATAATTTTACACCATTTTAGCAATATTAGCATATCACTGTGGGTATTCATCTACTACTGATCTGATTCATGAGTTTCAAGTAATATCACTTTCTACTGTTTGAAGGCATTTAAAATTCATAACTGATGTTCACTTTGAGGAAACTAAAGTCAGATATATTGTATGTAAAAGTAAACAAAGTTGGTCAAATTCCAAGCATAATTCACAAATCTACCTTTCATGTGATAATTTATGCATTAACAAGTTACCACATGTTATGCATGCAAGAAACATCTGTGAGGTAAAGGTATTGTAATTGATATCGGTACCTGCCACACAATCATACATTAAAGTACCTGATCTCATTGATAAACATTGAAAACAACTAAAGCTCATGGTTCTCCTTGCATTGGCTCTGAGCTATGTCAAGGTAATTAGCATGATTAACGTGATTAATGGCCAAGGCTGGTGACGAATTACTTGTAATTATATCCTTCAGCATGTTCTCAAATAGGGAGTGAGTTTGAAATATTTTCATGTGCAAAAATAGAAAATGGAATGAATAGACACCAAAAAGTAACATATTGGGATTAGTCTCAAGACTTGTATTGTATAGCCAATATGCAAGAGATGAAATCAATATTGCACATTTGATATGGACATGACAGAGTAGCACCAAGTTATGAGAATAACCAGCTGCTATTTTCATGATTACTGAATTTGATTCAGCTCACAGTGACATAGGTGTAGACAGTTTGAACCACCCATTTTACCATGGTATGCACACAGAGGTATTTGCTCCTTGACCTTTATTCCAGCAGTTAACTGAGTTAACATCAATTGCATCAAGAAAGATCATGGAGGAAAATGCCTGCAACTCCTGCTTCAAATGTAGATCAGCAATAGAAACTAACTGTTTAAGTCCACTAGTCTTTATCATGTTTATAATGATAATATATAGCAAAAACCTTCTTCAGTGCAAATTTCTACAAGTTCTTATGATACTTTTGGACAGTTTGGCAAGGACTATAGGAGTATTAGGAGTAGTGCCAATTTCTAATGCTGTTGATCCTAACCCTAAACATACATATTTGCAACTCTTGGTTGTTCCACATCATATCTAAGTATTAGTACTATTACATAAATCATTTTTAATACTTCTAGCCCTGAGGTATTGATTCTTTTTAAATTTGAGGCAGGGCAAAAGTTTTACCAGATCATGTTATACATTCTGTGGTCATGATGGTATTAACCAATGATTTTTTCCCAAACAAATTTATTCAATAGAATATTTGCAAATACCGTAAAAGTAATGTTCAAAATTTTCATAAATGATTTCTATGATATTCATGGAATATTTATCTAAAGACTTCTAAAAATTCTCCCTGGATCATGTCAGAGTACACAACAACCATAAACAGAAAAAACAAGGGCTTAAGAAAAGGGGCAGGAGAAATGGGGGGAGAATGCCTGAGCCTAAAAGGTCACATTCATAAAGATGAGTTACCCTTTTTGTTTCCATTTCGGAAATAGGATGAAATTATCTATGAGCAACCTTTAAAATTTTGGTTTATTTTGAATAAAGGGAAGCTTTAACTTAACCTTTTCATATAATTTTTTGCTTTCTTTGCAATATGTAGAAGACATGCATTTGGCATGGAATCAAAACTGCCATAGGCAGGATAGGTAAGGAACGATTTGTCAAATGTTTTGAACAATGATAAAACAACTCAAACATGTTGTAATCAAAATATGAAAAACCTACAAAAGGATATACTAACTGTATTTCTCTTGTGAAAATAAGGACTTAACTCAACTGTTAAATGCTGTCTTATGTCAACTCAAACAGCCAGCTCAAACAGAGTGACAGGTGAGGTTTTTACACTTAAAAATTGTCAATAATAAACATTAATAATTGTGTTGACTTGATAAGACTTATTTTCAAAAATGACATGACCATGATAACATGTTATGATTCATTTTGTAACAGATCATCAATGAAACAACTAATTACATTTGTTTGTTGTTTAACACCGCACACAGCAATATTGCAGCTATGTGAAGGCGGTCTGTAAATAATCAAGTCCGGACCTGATAATCCAATGATTGACATCATGAACATCCATCTACACAGTTGGGATAGGATGACAATCCTGTTAGTCCTCTTACAACAAGCATAGTCGTCTCTTACAACAAGCATGGGTTGCTGAAGACCCATTCTAACCCGGGTCTTCAGACGTTAAATGATTAGATAAAATTTATGGACTTCACATAATATGAACATAAAGCACACCTGGGGAAGGCATCAAAGAACCAGGTTCTCTTGGTTTCGGGGAAAGCAACCCTCATTCCAGACATCAGGGGTGAGTGAAGGACGACAGCACCGACTTCATATCTGGAAGCTAGGTCGACTGTTGGTACAGTTCCTATACTCTGGCCATATAGGATGACATTCTGGGGATTTATTCCATATCTTGTCCGCAGTGCCTGCCAGGCTGCATCTATGTCTGCATAGAGATTTTTTTCTGAAGGTTTTCCTGAGCTCACACCATAGCCAGAATAGTCAAAGCTGAATATATTGCAATTGATTCTTGAGCCAAGTCCAATATAAAAGCTACTCATCTGTCCAAGATCAACAGCATTTCCATGGCTGAACAGAATGGTGAAGCGTGCGTTTGGGGAACATCTAGCAAACATACAGGAGATTTGGTTTCCTCTTGCGGTTCGTGTCATAAAGACTTCAATGCAGTCTAGTTCTCTCTGGGTATACTGCCATTCCGCCCGATCTTTGAGGTGTAGGCTGTACCTGGACCCTGCTTCGTCGGAAACCAAGGAATAAGTCGGCTCCGGAGGAAGGAATGCCAGTTTAGCTGCAATTCGGGATGGACATGGCGGACAACAGAAAAGACAACAAAGCTCACTGAGAGACAAGCCGTTCATGATGGAAGAATCGCGGGAAACTGAGAGTGAAGAAGGGAGGTAGGCTCAAATGAAATGTTCTACACAACCCTGATAGTTTCAACCATGTAGATATGTGCTTGTCCTGACTTCTCTATCGAAAACATTAGACAATATTGTTTGTTCTGTCGGAAAACATTTACGACTCCTTCTGGTGACGTCATGCACAAAATCGTCTTCCGGAAAGATTGTAGGATCGGTCAAATTACATCAAATATTTTTTGTTTATTATCACTGTATGACAAAACTAAAAATATGTATTGGGTTATAAAAATGATGGAATCGCTACCGACGACATGTTAGTATTTACACTTGTCTCCGTACCTCTACTGTACACCACATCCGTTTCCAATCCTACTTCCGGTTGTCTCTTTTACGTTTCACCACATGTTGCAAGTGCTCGTTTGTGTTGATGTTTATTTTGATAAGTGTACACGTTGTCGCGCAATACATTTTACTAATTTTGGCTATTCAACGTCTACATAACATATAACATAATATCTAACATTCAATATTTCGGTGGTGGGATCTATTAGGTAAGTTCCGAATATTTTTTTTGTTATTTTCTACCAACGTACAATTCAAAATAAAATAAAATAGCGGGCTAGTCATTCAATTTAAGTAAATAAGGATGTTTAATAAATATGTATATATTAGGATCATACATGTATCACCTGCGATCACAACTGGTCATTCTAGATTTTTGCACTGGTCACAGAATATCCTAATAGCCATGTCAAACTCAGGTACAAGGGTGAACATGTTGAAGGAAACTTTTGTTTGGGGAATTTCTTTGGTTGCGACAGAGACCATTTACCGATCCGATCAGATTACCATAGACCATATCAGTATATATGGTCTTTGGTTGCGATCAGACTACCAGAGACCATATTGGTTTATATGGTCGTTTGCTGCGATCAGATTACCATAGACCATATCGGTATATATGGTCTTTGGTTGCGACAGAGACCATATACTGATATGGTCTTTGGTAATCTGATCGCAGCCAACGACCATATATACCGATATGGTCTATGGTAATCTGATCGGATCGGTAAATGGTCTCTGTCGCAACCAAAGAAATTCCCCAGTCAGATTACTGAATGGAGGTAATAAAGAAATTAAGCAAAGTAGTTATTAAAGGTGTCATCTGTTTGGCTCAAGAATCCATGCATTGTTCTTTTGATCGTGCGGTTGCTCAGGGCTCATCCGACATGACCTCCCGCCAGGTTTGTCCGATCTTGGCAGAGAAATGCATGGAATCAGAGTAAAAGATCCAATTTTGTTTTGATTGGCAAATTTAATATCTGTCCTACAAGTTCAATATTTGCCCTACAGAATAACAATCAAATTGTTTTTGTTGTCATCATGATCATGTGGTTTTAAGCCAGCAGTCATAAATTCCAAATGTCATTAATGAGAGGCCACAGAGATGTGTCCCTTTGGCATTCTAGGATCTTTTGAGTGTGGGTGGGAAACCCTGATACACCCTGGTTAATTTCAACTCTTTGTCAGCTGCTCAAACCCTTTGTAAACCCAACTCGTTCACTCTTAATGAAAAGGGGGGTAACAAATGCTTCTGAAGAAAACTAACATTAGTGCTTTCTAACCACAGACAATGTCAGTGAAGATTTAAGAAATTTCAATACATGTGCCGGAAGCCCATTTATGTCTGTAGTGAGGCTTCCTACACATGCAAGACAGTATATTGTGTGAAACTCTTCTTTAAACTATTTGTGGTCTATGTCAGAGAATATTATACTTCATAGTTGCTGATATACAAATCAGTAAATATCTTAAAGCTTTTGAAACTCATCTAGGATCAGGCTATGAATTGTTATCCGTCTCAAAGACATTAGGATATATCTGTTTTGTGTTTATATGTTTGTTCTCATTTCAGACTCTGTGTAGAACATAAATATGAGCAGCCAAAAAGGAAATGTGAACAAATCTCGCAAGCAGAAACATGCAAATACATCTGTCTTCAGAAATGACATGTATAACAAATCCAAGAAGATTGCTACCATCAATCAAACAGAACTCCCAAGCTTGTGTCAACGTTGCAAAGAAAAGATTGAGTGGAAAATAAAATACGGAAAATACAAGCCACTCACCGTTCCCAAGAAATGGTATGGAGTACGCTGACATGTAGTGATTTAACTGAAACATTGTTCTAAAGTGGCATAATACTCACTCACTAAACATATTGTTTTTAACTGAGTTTTTTTAAACGTTTATCATTTCATCATGTTCATGGTGACCTGTAGAGTACAGTGTACCTAATTTACCAATTTATTTTGTTTTGGCAAATTTTGCAAAAGTAAAAAGGAAATGTTTATATTTTGAGTTATTTGGGAGAAATTAACCCCAAATCAAGCTTTTATTATGCCTCTTGGCATATTGACCAGAACAATCTGTAACATATGTTGTTCGAGGGAAGATTGGCAGGGAATTTGACTCTTCAGCCAATGGTCTCGATGTGTGACATCATAGAGACAGTGTCTCCTGCATGTGAATCAGGAGGGTCTGTCAGTGAGAAATGTTCAGGTCATGTGGTCAGTTTGGGTTATGGGTCCTAGTGTGTGTATACCAACTAATGGAAACGCCTTAAGTCTGCAAATAACAAGACTATGAGGAATTCACAGTATCAGGTTTGGGTGAGGTCATATATACAATTGTCTTGTTGCTGTTTGTTACTAGATACTGTGTGTTTATGTATTTTCTGTTTTCATTCAGCATTAAATGCAGTGAGAAGACAGTGAAGAAAGCGTACTATAATATCTGTTTGCCCTGTGGACAAGCCAGCGAAATCTGCTGTAAATGTGGAGAGAAGAAGGACATTGTTGAGCAGTAAGTTCACAGGGGTTGTAACAAGTCAGTGATTCTCCACAGAGAATTCTGATATATTGACAAAAGGTTATTACGGGACATGTGACAGTATCACAGAATAAAGTTTAACTAATTACTGTAATAATTAGTGTTCATCACCAAATAAGACCCAAAGTTAAGCTTTCATGGCGTTATTATTTAATGTGTCATGACATTCACAAACCTTATGCAGGGTTCACAAAGCCATCGTTTGACAGTAGCTATGACCTATGCTAGTCATAGTGCTGAGATCACTTTGTGGAACCTGTCATCTTCGCCAGATGTCATTTGAAACTCTTGTTTTCAGAATCATGAGTTCATTTGTTTCTTGGGGGCACGGGTTGCCCAGTTGTTTAGGTGCCGTGATTCGCTGTGCAGAGTTGCGTCTCTTGGGCACACCAGAAAAATTGATTGTGGGTTCGAATCCCGGTTCATTCTGATTATGTTTCTAGGTTTGTCAGCGCCATACCCTTGCTTGTGGGTTTCACCGAAGTGGTAAACGTCTGAGACCTGCATCACTTCGGGCTTCCACGCACCCGGCTACCCACCAGGTCTGGGAGCAGTATTGCCATAAATTTCAACCCCCATCCCCCAGACACAAGGACAACTGTCACAAGCGTGCAGTGTCTGACCCTTTCCCCATGTTGAAGCATATTGAAAAAAACTTACTTTGTACTTACCTTTTGATGAAAAAAACAAAACTCCATTGCAAAGACATTAATACAACATATATCCCCATGTTATGGGTTTTCAGACGCTGAAGAAATATTCATAGTTTTCTCGCCAATCACATGAACAACTGTAAAACATCTCATTCACTTATAGGCTAAAAGACAACTTTATCTTAAAAACAAGCCATCATCTGACTCTGAGTATTTACAATACGAGACGGTTGTCCGGTGCTGTTACGTAATTGGGATACGATGACATGCATCAACCAAGTCAGTGAGCCTGACCAACCGATCCCGTTAGTCGCCTCTTACGACAAGCACAGTTGCCTTTTACAGCAAGCATGGGTTGCTGAAGACCTTTTCTACCCCGGATCTTCATGGGTGTGTGACCTCTTGAAGTCCTTGATGATACTGCGTTGTGTTCCAGACCAGGGTTGACTGCAGAGCAGCAGGCAGTGGAAGACAGTCGACTGGAACAAGAGATCAAGTACCTGACAGAGAGGCAGAGACGTAAGTGTTGCTGCAGGATCACATACCAGTAGTTAGACATTCAGTAGACACACAGGACAGAATTCCACGGGTGTAAACACATGGATGTCAATTTCCACATGTGGGGAGCATGGTCAGCATGTACATGTGTGTTGACCCACAGATGCCAACATTTCAGTGTGTATATTGTTTATTGCCAGGTATCTTTTTTTGGCTTCTAGTTAGATTATTGACATTGGAGGACATCATACCATGACACTGGGGAATTCTTTAATCACATTGGACATGAGAAGATCAAGGTCACAATATGTAAAATAGTCACTTAAAAGTTTGTGATTGCACTTTTTCCAAACTTACATTTGTTCTCGAGGGTAGCGTCCTGCTTTGGAAAAGTTCTGGTCAAGATCGAACAAAGTTCAAGGTCAAGTTTCAATTTTTTGTGAATGTTAGCCATTTGGGTATATTTTAGTATTTTAATTAAAAACTAAGCATGGTGTTTGAATGCATGCATGTTATTCCTTACTGCAGATGTCAATGGGATTTATGTCAAATGTCAAGGTCATTCATAAGATTGTGCAAAGTGTCTTATTATTTAATTTATTGCTGGTTATTTCTTAAATTTGACAGTTTCCATTGAAGCAATGTCATGATGTTCCATATGTTTCAGGTTCCTTCTTCCGTCTGCAAGCACAAGGAAAGCTGAAAGGGGACTTCCTGGAGAAATGCAGGGATGGTGATGACAATGATGAAGACAATGATGAAGACATCGACAAGGACAATCGCGATGATCCATCTGACTCGGACAGTTGTGCCAGTAATGATAGTGATGACATACAGCAAGAAGGTGGAACAACTGCCCTAGAAAACACAACTCCACCGGGCAGGGATATCGAGTCAGGTTCAAAATTGGAAACATGGTTTGAAAAGTGAACAATGACTTGTGAAAATGGCGGAGGACTTGTAAATAAACTGTCTATATATTGTCTGTTTTTGTGTTATACTGCGATGACCTAGATGTTACTTACCTAGTGAAGCCTCTATGATCCAAGCTGGTAATATTTATTGTCAAATGAAAAAATCAGAAATGTTGACATCCTGTATGACCTAACATATTTTGAGCTAAATAAACATCGTTGGTGAATTGGTTCATTTGTGAGTTCAGGTGAGAGTATCCTCTCATTATCCAACACTCACTGAAACTCCCCACTACCACATTACCATTTCATTGACAAACAAATATAGTAAGTCTTTGCAATACTTCTACACCTTACTGCCAGAATTCACTGTGCAGAGTTATGTCCCTTGGATGTGGGTCTGTCGGCTTAGTAACCCCTCCTCTTTTACGACCATTGTCACAGTGTTCTGGTTTACCGGTGATGACCAGATTATTACCGATAAAATTAGGCTTGGTGCGGTAATTCATGGGACTGCCAGACCCTGTGGATAAGGTCCCATTGTCTATGTTTTGAGCAAGGAAATAACATTTTGCTTTTCTTCGAGGTTAAATATCAATTTGTAGCAACTTTGTCTCAAACACAAGTGAAATATTCCAGGGGAAAAAGAGAAAAATGTGATTGAAATTTGTGCGAATGAGGTGTAGATCTAAGTTATTTCAGGGATAACATCATTGAATATGGTGCCCATCAACATACAGAGAATTGAACCAATCTCATTAAAATCAAAGAGATCTACACCTCATTCGCACAAATTTCAATCACAACTTTCTCTTTTTCCCCTGGAATATTTCACTTGTGTTTGAGACAAAATTTGTTTAGCGGCAGCGAGAACTAAGATCTGATTTTAATGAGATTGAGAATTGAACATGATGTTGGCCAAAAAAAACCATAATTTTTTTGGTGTGTATTCAAAGTTGGGACTGACACAAATTGTAGGGGTCTGGTATTTTTTGGAGATGCCAGTCCACTGGGACTAGCAATGTAAAGAGCCAGCGGAAACACTGATGTCATCTTGGGCTTTCATCCCATATATTGACAACACACCATGATAGAAGTCAAATACTTTTCAAGCAGATTTAAACTAAACCTGCTCCAAATCCGAACATACATCCACCCAGTAGATGTGTTTCCTGCCAGTTGGTCGGTGTACAGAGAGTGTATTGCTGGGACACAATGACATGATTATCCAGGTCAATATGCCGTCTCCTTCTCAGGTTTCCAGAACACAAATCAAACAACTGTATGTAAAATATTTTATTACATTGTCTATGTACAATCAGTTGCACAACATACACCTGTATTATATGTTTCAGCACTCTTTGTTGACAAGGCTGATTAACTTCGTAACCATGCTAACACTCATAAGTCTTTGAATAATATTTATGAAAATGATTGCACCAAATCATTTGTCCCCCCCCCCCAAAAAAAAATCCTTTTTATTTTCTGTTAGTTGGTTTACAAAGTTTTGGGCCTAAAATTGAAGGTAGTTGGTCGAATTGTTGTTCAGATTGGTACTGTTACAAATGAATGAAAAAAAACATGTTTTAACTTAGCAAAATACAGAAAGATATTTGATGCTTTTTTTCATTAGAAAAAGATTTTTATATGTATTAATTACCATTTGTTATGAACAGCCGTGATAAAATCTCTAGGTTTCTTCATTTCACCTAATTGTAAAACAGAATAAAAGAAATGCTATCCATGAAATGTTCTTCCAACTTCGAAATGCCCATCAAAGACTTGTCAGCAAAACAATAAAATGGTAAAAAAACTTTTTTTCTAATTTCAGTTCATAAACCCACTAAATAAATATAATGTCCTTATCAGAATTTGAGAAGAACAAAACTAAAATTTACTTGTCCCAATACACAAGATCTGGAACAACACGTTTCCCCCATGGCAATATCTCCCTGCCTCAAGGTAAGAAGAGAAAAAAGTTCAACACTGATGAAAGGTGACACAATATTGTTTTGTATTTTACCATCAACTCATTGTCATCAACATTTCACACTATCTCACAATTACATTTAAACCTTGAAACCATTGGGGTAGAAACATATAATTTCTACTCTCCGACAAGAGAGAGACAACTATCGGTACCTACAATTTGTTTCTGAACACACCTTCATCTGTCATATTTAAATTTTTGTACTGTCCACTTTCCAGTCACTCTTATTTATTCTTTGTTTGATTTTTGAGGCAGTTTTTCAGTCTTCTTTCCTGGAAGACAATTCATGAATTAATGTTAGTTATCGAGTCACATGGCACCTGGGTACATCACTTCCTTCTATACTTTAGTCTACGTCTGGTTCCCCCTTTGTTGGGTACTGGGTGCATTGCTTCCGGGAGTCTGCATGATAATCCCTCATGTTACTTCACATCCTTGTGAAACATTCTAATGACACTTCACGCCCCGTTTCATAAAGAAGTTTTAGAACAAGGACTGTCACAAGTCTATGTTAAAGTATGGGAGATACGCCAATCGAATGCTGCATTGGGAGAGGGGTGGAGGACTATTCCTCTTATTTTTCTGCATACATGTATTAACCCAACTGTCGAGGACCATGATAAACACACATGCATGTGTTTGGTGTATAATCATTTCTGTCTGCCATGTTATCCATTATAGTGCAACTTCTGCCTCTGTCCTATATATCCCGAACCATCACTCAGAGCAGTCATCCTGCCGTTCTGGTAAAGTACGTGTCCATGGAGCGTTATTCGAGTGTCTGTATGTCCCCCAAGATTAGCTCCAGTTGTGTCAGTAATGCCTCTGTAAACAACACACGCCATCATAAACCATGTTAAGGGTAACTTCCTTTTTTGCACTGCCACCATAAGCACAGGTGTACCATGCTTGAATCACACAATCTGAAAACAGAAATACTTGTGTAGCTTTTAGCAGGACTGCTGACTTAACGTCTTCAATGTTGTAGCACTTTGAATGTCCATCTCTCTACGGGTGTCCATGACACAATGAAGTCACACACTTCTCACAAGCATAATTCACATAATTTAATCTGCATCAGGCCTACTATTTCCTTGCATGGTGCTGACACTTGTCTTCATGGCACACTACTGAGACACATTGTCAACATCTGTTTCAAATGGCATCCATCTGCGGATCGGTGATGCTGTTTTCCTCACAACCACTGTTCAGACGTGCTGGCGGAGAGGTCCATGAGTTTCCAGGCAGCGCGGGGATTGATCTCTTCCTGGTCGCGACACAACGCCCAGACGTACAGTATCCGCATGATCTTGTCCTGGGAGAAACACAACATTATATGACACAACATTATATGACACAACACTTATCACAGCTACACTTTGTGTCCCTACTATTAATAACTAGTGATCAGCCTTCGAAATTCACGCTAATTCGCTTGCCCGAAACTATAAAATAGTGCCAAGGACAAGTAAAAATTCAATGATGGCAGTCCCCATTGACTAGTAGCATTTGAGGGATTTGACTCTGAACCTGTTCTAAAAGCTTCAATTTTGCTATAAATGGATCTGAATAAATATGATAGAAAATGCAAACATAGTAAGCATATTTGTCTTGTTCAAGCAGGACTAACTACAAACTCCATGCAAGCAATACATTAACCAGGCAACCAGTACACTAACTAGGCAACCAGTACAGTGACCAGGCAACCAGTTCACTAACCAGGCAACCAGTACAGTGACCAGGCAACCAGTTCACTAACAAGGCAACCAGTACACTAACCAGGCAACCAGTACACTAACCAGGCAACCAGTACAGTGACCAGGCAACCAGTTCACTAACCAGGCAACCAGTACAGTGACCAGGCAACCAGTTCACTAACAAGGCAACCAGTACAGTGACCAGGCAACCAGTACAGTGACCAGGCAACCAGTTCACTAACAAGGCAACCAGTACACTAACCAGGCAACCAGTACACTAACCAGGCAACCAGTACAGTGACCAGGCAACCAGTTCACTAACAAGGCAACCAGTACACTAACCAGGCAACCAGTATAGTGACCAGGCAACCAATTCACTAACAAGGCAACCAGTACATTAACCAGGCAACCAGTACACTAACCAGGCAACCAGTACAGTGACCAGGCAACCAGTACACTAACCAGGCAGCCAGTACACTAACCAGGCAACAAGTACACTAACCAGGCAACAAGTACACTAACCAGGCAACCAGCACACTAACCAGGCAACCAGCACACTAACCAGGCAACCAGTACACTAAGCAGGCAACCAGTACACTAAGCAGGCAACCAATCCACTAACCAGGCAACCAGCACAGTAACCAGGCAACCAGTACACTAAGCAGGCAACCAATCCACTAACCAGGCAACCAGCACAGTAACCAGGCAACCAGTACACAAACAAGTATTTGTCACAGAGTGACGAAATATCCCCCGCCTGTACACCATAGTACCAAATATGAAGACAATCCAGCGATAAGTTCTTGAGATATTGTGGCAACACCGTTTTCCAACTCCAAAAACAGATTTGCCTGCTGTGACCTTGAAAATGGGGTCAAGGTCACCAAATCTGACAGGTGTATGCGGTGTCTGTATATACACTATAGTTCCAAATATGAAGACAATCCAGCGATTAGTTCTTGAGATATCGCGGCAACACCGTTTTCTAACTCCAAAAGCAGATTTGCCTGCTGTGACCTTGACAATGGGGTCAAGGTCACCAAAACCGACTGGTGTCTGCGGTGTCTGTATATACACCATAGTTCCAAATATGAAGACAATCCAGTGTTTAGTTCTTGAGATATCGCGGCAACACCGTTTTCCAACTCCAAAAGCAGATTTGCCTGCTGTGACCTTGAAAATGGGATCAAGGTCACCAAAACCGACTGGTGTCTGCGGAGTCTGTATATACACCATAGTTCCAAATATGAAGACAATCCAGTGTTTAGTTCTTGAGATATCGCGGCAACACCGTTTTCCAACTCTAAAAACAGATTTGTCTGCTGTGACCTTGAAAATGGGATCAAGGTCACCAAAACCGACTGGTGTCTGCGGAGTCTGTATATACACCATAGTTCCAAATATGAAGACAATCCAGTGTTTAGTTCTTGAGATATCGCGGCAACACCGTTTTCCAACTCTAAAAGCAGATTTGCCTGCTGTGACCTTGAAAATGGGATCAAGGTAACCAAAACCGACTGGTGTCTGCGGAGTCTGTATATACACCATAGTTCCAAATATGAAGACAATCCAGTGTTTAGTTCTTGAGATATCGCGGCAACACCGTTTTCCAACTCCAAAAGCAGATATGCCTGCTGTGACCTTGAAAACGGGGTCAAGGTCACCAAAACCGACTGGTGTCTGCGGAGTCTGTATATACACCATAGTTCCAAATATGAAGACAATCCAGTGTTTAGTTCTTGAGATATCGCGGCAACAAACAGGTGGGACGTACAGACGTACGGACGGACGGTCGTGAATACTATATCCCCCGCTTCGCGCTTTCGCGCGGCGGGGGATAACCAGGCAACCAGTACACTAACCAGGCAACAGGTACACTAACCAGGCAACAGGTACACTAACCAGGCAACAAGTACACTAACCAGGCAACCAGCACACTAACCAGGCAACCAGCCCACTAACCAGGCAACCAGTACACTAACCAGGCAACCAGCACACTAACCAGGCAACCAGTACACTAACCAGGCAACCAGCCCACTAACCAGGCAACCAGAACACACCAACCAGGCAACCAGTTCACTAACCAGGCAACAAGTACACTAACCAGGCAACCAGCCCACTTACCAGGCAACCAGTACACTAACCAGGCAACCAATCCACTAACCAGGCAACCAGCACAGTAACCAGGCAACCAGTACACTAACCAGGCAACCAGCACACTAACCAGGCAACCAGTACACTAACCAGGCAACCAGTTCACTAACCAGGCAACAAGTACACTAACCAGGCAACCAGCCCACTAACCAGGCAACCAGTACACTAACCAGGCAACCAATCCACTAACCAGGCAACCAGCACAGTAACCAGGCAACCAGTACACTAACCAGGCAACCAGCACACTAACCAGGCAACCAGTACACTAACCAGGCAACCAATCCACTAACCAGGCAACCAGTACACTAACCAGGCAACCAGTACACTAACCAGACAACCAATACACTAACCAGGCAACCATACACACTAACCAGGCAACCAGTACACAAACCAGGCAACAGGTACACTAACCAGGCAACCAGTACACTAACCAGGCAACCAGCACACTAACCAGGCAACCAGCACACTAACCAGGCAGCCAGTACACACTAACCAGGCAACCAGCACACTAACCAGGCAACCAGTACACAAACCAGGCAACAGGTACACTAACCAGGCAACAAGTACACTAACCAGGCAACCAGCACAATAACCAGGCAACAGGTAACTAACCAGGCAACAAGTACACTAACCAGGCAACAGGTACACTAACCAGGCAGCCAGTACACTGACCAGGCAACCAATACACTAACCAGGCAACCAGCACACTAGCCAGGCAACCAGTACACTAACCAGGCAACCAGTACATAACCAGGCAACCAGCCCACTAACCAGGCAACCAGAACACACCAACAAGGCAACCAATCCACTAACCAGGCAACCAGCACAGTAACAAGGCAACCAGTACACTAACCAGGCAACCAGCACACTAACCAGGCAACCAGTACACTAACCAGGCAACCAATCCACTAACCAGGCAACCAGCACAGTAACCAGGCAACCAGTACACTAACCAGGCAACTAATACACTAGGCCGGTATTCAGTACACTAACCAGGCAACCAGTGCACTAACCAGGCAACCAGTACACTAACCAAGCAACCGGTACACTAACCAGGCAACCAGTACACTAACCAGGCAACCAATACACTAACCAGGCAACCAGCACACTAACCAGGCAACCAATACACTAACCAGGCAACCAATACACTAACCAGGCAACCAGTACACTAACCAGGCAACCAGTACACTAACCAGGCAACCAATACACTAACCAGGCAACCGGTACACTAACCAGGCAACCAGTACACTAACCAGGCAACCAGTACTTACTGGGTTTCCCTCCACTACTTTGTCCATCTTGTCTTTGACCACCATGATCTGCTGGGCGTTGAAGCTGATCACCAAGACTGGACCCTGGTCCATGATCTTACCAGCTACAACCTGTAAAACGAACATTCACTTGGAGATGAAATACAAAGTGACCCTATGAGAGTCAACACAGAGCATCAAACACTCAAGGTAAATGAAATGTCTTAGAGTAACTACAGAGTTATCTCCCCTCAACAGAGTTCACATGGCTTGACATCATGTTGTGCATCAGCAAACTAATAGCAATTATTTCCATTTGAGATGACTGACAAAATTCTGTATTCTGTATTTGAGACGTCTGACAAAATTCTGTACCTTATTTTCTTTAAATAAAATCAAAGGCTATAATTGTTTTATGATTTGAACTTCTAATATTAATTACGCTGGAACAAAACAAATCACTTTTTTTACCTTCGCAAGAAATAACCTGTTGTCAGGCAGGCAGTAATGTACAAATCACATGAGAACATGATTTCAGGAGAGAACACCATAACATTTTATATAATATCTCCAAAATGTAGGTCATATTCGAAAATAACATGATGATAGAAATAGAAAGAGAAACAGAGTGATGGTAATGGACGGATAAGACAAGGGGAGGACATGGTGTAACATGAGAATCAACAGTACATGTTGGCGGTGTAGTGTAAGGGTGCAAACAACCAGGAAAGACAACAGGAGAGTGAAATCATGAAATGACCGTTGTCTTGATTAATAATGGGTCATGCCCCTATGATTAGCTAAACAATGTTAATACATGGCATGGTCCTAATCAATCTCCCAATGACGATTTGAGGAAGTCTTGTCATCTCTTGCAGCACCTGGATCAGTCCAGTCAACGTAACGGATGGTGGTCATAGTGATCCTGCTCCATATCAGTACAGAACCAACCCTAAATCTGTCATGTTGCCTTATGTTGACGTTCGCAAGAATTCGTTAGGGTGGCTCCAGACACGTCCACACCTATCAAAAATGGCTCAAAACACCATTGGCGTCTGGTTTTGTTAATGATGGTACATGATTAGCTGCATGCAATTGATTTCTAATCCTCTGGTCAGAAAGTTGAAGTCTGGTGGCCTGGCGCAAGTGAACAGCAATGTGATTGGTTATTTTGACACAATTCTTAAAGCCTGTTTTCTGATTAATCAATCCTGGACTAGCGTTGTTGACCTAGCGCAATCTGTGCATGGCCAATCTTCAACATTTAGTGTCTGCAGAAATCTGTTCCAAAGTCTGCAAATCACAGACTGCGACACATTGAACATATTGTCTACCTCTCGATGAGCTCTACCAGTGTGAAGTATGCCAATAGCCCTTAGCCACATTGTAGGCGATGCATTCCCAATCTGATCACAAATACTGCGTTAAAGCAGCAGTAGAGAACTTACATGTAACTGTGGATAATGAAAATCAACAATACTAATGGCTCAAGAGCAATTTGACAACCTTTCACTGCATGTTCAAATAGGAACTGCATGGTCCACGTGCAATGTTTCGAGTGTGTTGGAGTGTCACGTCTTGGTTCCCAAACCATCCTTTATCTGGCAGTCATTTTTCAAAGCTGATATTCTTCTGACTACCGATCATAACAATTTATATTTCATGAACCCCTACACCAACTCCCAGAGACAGGTGAGTGAAGGGTGTGAGTGAGTATGGTTTTACACAGCTTTTAGCAATATTCCAGCAATGTCACGACAGGGGACACCAGAAATGGGCTTCACACATTGTACCCATGTCGGGAATCGAACCCGGGTCTTTGGCTTGACGATCGAATGCTTTAACCACTAGGCTACCCAACCTCCCCGAGTGAAGGCTAACACTGCAATATGTCCATAGACTGACTACATCCTGGCTTAAAACAGATTCCCCTCAGAGTCCCACCAACACTAAAAGGCCAGACTTAAAGCTTCCTTGTTCGATAGTCACCAATCTGCATAATACTTAGGCATAAAATTGTGAACCTCATGAATCTGTGCAGAGCCTGTTGTGTCTTTGTGCATCTTCAGGATAATATTGCCCCAAATAGAAAATTGACAAAGTGCAAGCATCCCACTTTACAACTAGGTTGACCAGGATGCAAGAACTTGTGAAAAGATATGACAAACTGATCACTATATCCTCTCAAGGACGCCAGGTGCTGATAACAATATTAATGAAGAATGAATGATGCGTTATCCTCTAATCTGCTGATTATGAAAGTGGCACTTACGTCTACATTGTTGACATCAAGGACTCTTGACGCAAACTTGTACCCTGCCTGCTGTGCTTGCTTGATGGGATGAGATAGTGTGTTGAATGGCTGAAACATATACAGCAAACATGCAGTTCGATCCCCAGTAACAATCCTGATGAATGCAGAGGACATAACTCAACAATTGACTTTATCTTTTCCGATTAATTTAGTATGAGAGAGAGAGAAAGAGAGAGAGGGGGGAGAGGGGGGAGAGGGAGAGGGAGAGAGAGAGGGGGAGAGAGAGGGAGGGAGAGAGAGAGAGAGAGAAAGAGAGAGAGAGAGAGATGTATTACGGAATTTCTAAACATAAAAGTATATATCTATAAATAAAACTATATCTTTAATCCAGATTAACACTTCTGCTTAATGGTAGAATAGTACTAGTTTGGACTATCAAATCACAGCAGCGAATGAAAGAGAAAACTTCTCAGATGATGACTTGGTTGGTAGGATTGGTCTGTTTCTTTTCAATAAGATTGAAATATATTGTACTTCTTTACAATTAGATTGAAATATATTGTACTGTTATTAATCTTTCTGTAACATCATACAAACACTATTCTTTCTGTAATGTCAAACAAATTTGTAGAATTTTCCTATTCGGAATATTCTATAAGTAATACGTTACCACTGTTATACCGAGGCTGTTGTCTCCCACAACTGCTGCTATAGCGAAATCTACCACAGAGATCTCAATTACCTCATGCAGCACGTGCGTAGCCACCTAGCTGCCATGTGACACCCTTCACTCTTGTCTCCTGCGAGAGCAAGTGCTCGGGGGACGGACGGGCGGGCAGCAGCCCAGTGGTAACGTATTACTTATAGAATATTCCGAATAGGAAAATTCTACAAATTACATTAAGTAATACGTTACCACTGTTATACCGAGGCTGACTACCACAGTAGGCGGTGGGGAGCACCTACAACCCGAATCCTGACTGCTAGCGTTCCTTCCGACCAGCGGAAGTAAACACCAAGGCGGAAGCACTCGATGCGCATGCACCTAGCTAGGCGTTACCCTATAGGAATACCAAAGCACTGTCAAGCGCATACCGTAAGGCTCAATCGTCATTGCCAAAACGATTGGTGACTCCAAACGGCCCCACTGGATAGGTATTTCATCGCCGCAGCGGATGAGAACACTGTATCCGCGTGAGCTTAATCTTAGATCAGGTTAAACAGTCGAAAAGAGGGAAATTAATTTCATTCAGACCGTATATCCCAGAGCAAGCCTACTTAAAGTATGCATTAGGCGCGTGACCTAATTCCAGTATTTGTAAGCATGCATCACAAGGTTGGGATACACGACAGACAATTAAATACATAATTGTCAAAATACAAATAAGGACAAAGCACACAAAAAGCCGCCCTCACCTGTGGTGTGAGTGCGCTGGTTTGCGGGACCCCAACTCCTGTACCCACGGCAGTGGGAACATTGGAGTCGACCCAGATTGACCACCGTGCAAGGTCAGACGCCTGAGGAGTTCGGAATTGCGCTGGGCACACCCCTTAGGTGCCCGCTTGCGCCGCGAACCGCGGGCCAAGACGGTGCACACTCTCCACGACGGCATCAGCGACCTGTTTGAGGTAATGATTGGCAAAAACCGAGTCAGAACGCCAGTAACAACCTCGTAATATTCTGCGAACAGAGATATTCGAGTGTAGGGCAAATGTTGCCGCTAGCGCCCTGATCTCGTGCGGGTTTGACCCCGCTACCGGTAACCCCCGAGACCGGTACGCCAGATTGATGACAGAACGAAGCCACAACGCAATCGAGTTGCGAGTTATGTCAACCGTGCGATTAGGGTTACACGATATGAACAGACGGTCACGCCCTTGTCTACGTTCATTCGAAGCCTTAAGATAATACTTAAGGGCCCTAACCGGACACAGCGCTCTGTCCTCAGTATCAGCAGGATGTAAGATTTCTTTGAGTGATCTTACAGTGAATTCTCTCTCCGTTTGCCCGACTCTCTGATTCTTGGCGACGAAGCCCATGAGCAGGCCCAGGCGGACCGCTCCTTCGTCACCCCTATCGAATCGTACCTTGGCGACATCGAGTGCATGAATTTCGGATACACGTGCCGCCGTGGCAAAGGAGAGGAGAAATGCTGTTTTCCAAGTCACATGCCGGAACGAAGCACTATGCAAGGGTTCATACGGAGCTTCCGTAAGTGATTGCAACACTAGGGAAAGATCCCAGGCCGGTGCCCGAAGGCGGCCCTTCTTAAGATCGTGCTGTTTGAAACCCTTGATAATACCCCGTATCACCGGCTCTTTGGAGAGACTGGTACCCATAGCAACGTCCCGTACCGTAGCAACGGACGAGACATAGTTGGCAATGGAACCCCCGGAGAGTTTCCGGGTCTCTCGCAAGTGAGACATGAAACGAGCAATATCCTGCACAGATACCTTATCTGGCGAATGAATGTGATGTTTACAACACCACTTCGTGAAAATAACCCAACGTGCTTTATACACCTTCTGGGTAGAATCACGATGCATACTAACGTATGCCCGAGACGCCCGGCGAGAAAAAACTTTACTCCTCAGACGCTCGGTGACAACATCCACGCGTGCAGATTGAACTGCCCTGCGTTTGGATGAAGCTGACGGGTGTGAGGGTGGATCAAGAGATCCAGTCTCACAGGCAGTGGAAGTGGCGACTGCGTGACCTGGGTCAGCAAGTCGGGGTACCACGATCTGTTCGGCCACATGGGCGCGATCAGTAACATTCGACAGCGAACTCCTCGGAGCCGGCTTAGAATGTGTGGTATCAACGCTGTCGGCGGGTAAGCATAAGCGACCAAGCCCGTCCAGTCTAACGCGAGAGCATCGTGATCGATGGCCCTCGGGACCGGGACTGGTGATACAAACAACGGGAGTTGATTGTTGAACCGCGTTGCGAACAGGTCGACCATCGGACGACCCAAACGTTCGCACAGCCACTGAAACACTACTGGGTTCAGCATCCACTCTGTGGGGCTCGGATCCTGAGGCCTCGATAGAGCATCGGCCAGTACGTTCCGCACACCTGGGATGTGACGGGCGCGTATCTGGCACGGGACACTGTCCACCAGAGCGTAAAACTCGAACGTGAGATCGAGTAGCGAGTGACTGTGGGTTCCCCCCAGTTTGTTCACATAGGACACTACCGTCGTGTTGTCGGTCGCCAGCATGAGCCGGGCGTCGACGAGACGATGCTTCCAGTGATTGACTGCGTTGATCACTGCCTTGAACTCGAGACAAGTGATGTGAAGACCTAGTTCGTCTAAGCACCACAGCCCCGAGCTCACCTCCCCCTTTAGATGGGCGCCCCAGCCCACTAGAGAGGCGTCTGTATACAGGGTCAACGTGGCCCGGTAGGGCCGCATAGAGACTCCTGATAAGACAATGTAAGGGACCGTCCACCACTCCAGATGCGGTCGGAGCCGATCCGGGAGGGCGACGGTCGCACTGTTCACCTCCGTTGCTAACAACTGGATTAAAAACCGTTGCAGCGGGCGGAGTTGGAGACGACCCCGTGCGGTGCAGTCCTGGGCTGATACAAGTAGCCCTAACAGCTGTTCCCAAAAGTGAACAGTCTGTTGCACCGCTAAGACTTTGGCAATCATCGCCTGAATTTTGTGCCACCGGTCTGGGGGGACAAAGAGGCGATGGGACACCGTGTTGAACCGACCTCCGATGAACAGCAAGTTCTGAGAAGGGGTTAACTCGCTCTTGGGGAGATTGATAATCCACCCAAATTGCTCCAAGAGCCGACGTGCGAAATCGAGATGGCGTGACAGGGTGTCCGTCATTCGATTTGCTACTAGCGAGTCGTCCAGGTACGCGAAGTACCGGACACCCCTCCTGTGGAGGAACCCCACTATGGGGGTGGTTAACCGGGTGAACAGCCAGGGAGCGGACGTGTGAATCATTCTGAGTTCGGCACTGTCCTACTTGGGAACGAGAAATATCCTGGAGTAAAACCCCGGTGTTATTTCTGGTAGAGCTAACTCCCGTACTGCCCCTTCTCCACCAACCTGCCGATGGCATCGGCGAGGATGGGAAGATCGGTTTCCGAATCGAAACCTGCCAACGGGGCAACGGTGAGCGGCGGATTCGCTTTGAGATCAAGCCGATAGCCGTACCGAATCGTGTTGACCACCCACGGGTCGTCGAACACTTGTTCCCAATTCTCCCAGTAAGTCTGGAGTCTGGCTCCCACTGGGTAAGGAGAGGGGGCCCTGACAGGTTGCGACAGGCGCAACTGTCCAGGGCCAAGTGACTCGGGTTCGCCTAAGGGCCAACCGAAGTTGGCGCTGTCGGCATACGAACCCCTCCAATGAGAGTCACCTGGAGGGGCCCTTGCCGTCCGTCGACGACTTGGGCTTCCCCCAGTTCCCCGTCTTCCCGCGAAAGGGCAGCTGATTGCCCATACCGGAGCCCTCAGGGCGGGGCTACTTCCCAGAGGAAGAAGAACCCGACCCCTTAGACCTACCGGCCGCAGCAGCCTGGGGCGCGCTCCGGTTAGGAGCGGCACCCAGGCGCCTATGCAGGGACCCAACAAGAGCAAGTGTGTGCCGAGAGTCCTCGGCAACGTACTCCAGGGAAGCATTTAAACTGAGCAGGCAGTTGTAAATGCGCTGGTCACGGTCCGTGGGAGAACCTTCGACCAGACGGGCCGCTGCAGCCAAGTAAGTGTCTCCGTGAGACATGGAGTGCCGAGCGAGGGCGTCCAGCTGGTGCAAGGTAGCTTGCGTTACCGTAGCAGCCGGTGGGGCACGGACACCCAACCGCTCAACATGGGCCTCCGCGGTAGGACCAGCCTCGGGAAAGGCAAGGTCATGTACCGGGAATAAACCCTTTCTCCACGACGTCGGAGGCAACGGGAGACCCCGACCGGAGGCCGCCGCGAAGGCGTTCTCCAAGGAAGGCTTGAAACCGCGCAGCAAGGTTGATGCGGGGAAAGCCGTGTCGGAAGACTCATCGCATACCTCGGAGGAACCCACAGTCGTGGATTCCCCGCGGTACCGGCCGGGGCATGTCCTCAAAGAGGTCATAAACCATGGCCACGCGGTCCTAAACCGATAGCGGGAGCAACGGTTCGGGGGAAGGACCGGTGACCACGGGAGCCGCCGCCGTACCGGTGGACCCCGCGTCCGACCCCGCGGCCACCGAAGTGGCCGGGGACGGAACAGCCAGCGGCCTATCCTGAGATAAGGCCGCCAGCTTGGAGTCCACAAGTTATGCAAGTAATGCAGCGACGGAATCCCCGGACAGCACACGGGCCGCCAAGAGATCCGCCGCTTTACCGGTGGACCCCGCGTCCGACCCCGCGGCCACCGAAGAGGCCGGGGACGGAACAGCCAGCGGCCTATCTTGCGATAAGGCCGCCAGCTTGGAATCCACAAGTTTCGACAACAATGCGGCGACGGAATCCCCAGACAGCCCGAGGGCCGCAAGGGGATCCGCCGCAGCCGAGGAGGTGGTACCCGCACGGGGACCCCGACCGGACGAACCGGCCACCACAGGGGTGGAGACGGACTGTACGTACAGCCGGTACCGCTCAAAATCCGCAGGCCCCAGACCCTCACACAGGATGCACCGGGCGTCCCCGCAAGGAACCCTGCACCGCGGGCAACGATCGTGGGGATCCCGGGACGACAAAAACTTTCTGCACACCCCATAACTCCGAGGAGCAGGGGTAGAGGGGGTGGATACTGGGGACAGATCCATGTCAGACATTGATTGTTTGCTATAAACAAAGAACAAAACATGGTTACAACGCACGCACCACAATGATTCACAAACGAACATTTTCACAAGAAAATAAACGAGCAATGTGAACATATAACATACACATATAACTTTTATTAAAGAAATAAGTTATGTTAACCCCCAAAACATACAAGAACAGGGGAAACGTAAAACACAACGTGCATACGCGAACCCCGCAAGTATATAGAAAAAAGGACCGGGAAAATTATAACCAAGCGTAGCTACCGCAACGCCCCATAAAAGCACAGTTTATTAGAGAATAAACTATAATAAATATCACCAAATCTTCAAGGAACGCTTCAGCAGGAGAAAACACGTCTTGCTAAGCAGACGAAGGAGACAAGAGTGAAGGGTGTCACATGGCAGCTAGGTGGCTACGCACGTGCTGCATGAGGTAATTGAGATCTCTGTGGTAGATTTCGCTATAGCAGCAGTTGTGGGAGACAACAGCCTCGGTATAACAGTGGTAACGTATTACTTAATGTAATTTACTTCATCTTTCTCTAACATCATACAAACACACTCCATCCTTCTATGATATCACACAAACACACTTTATCTTTCTGTAAATGTTTCTGAATGTTGTTTTTTGCCGTAATCAAACTGGTGTCTACACAGCATGGCCAATCCACAAGGCATGGGTCTGATGACACACAATCAACCAGATGACACTGTAACCATCAAAAAGTCCTTAACTTGTATGACAAACGTGCCGTACTGGGAATCCACGCTGGGAGACAAGCATGAATGTCCACAAGATTGCAACAATGACAGACAACCTACCCCTTCATGGCACCAGTCTTTCAGGACTTCAAGGTCACCTCGTATCATGGCCTGCAATTGCATCAATAGAATGTCCTTAATATACTCAGTAGGAAGTGAAGTGAAAACACCACAGTCAGCAATATTCCAGCTGTATCCTAGTGGCCTGTATAGGACACAATCTGTTCCAGGCACATCAATGGTCAACTGCATGAAGCAATGACACACAATCTGCCAAGGTCATACATGTTGTATCCACTAGATCCTCAGTCTGTAAGTACTCAAGCCTGGACCAGACAATACAGTGATTGAGAAAGTGAGAAACAAATAATGCTGTCAGGGTACGATGACATGCTATCAACCCAGTCACCAAGCCGGACGACCCGATCCATTTCTTCCCCATTCACGTCCAGCACAGGATGCTGGGGATCTATTCTAACCCAGAATCCCCACTGGGTTATCCTCAGTTTAGAAGCAGATGGTTGACAGTTTGGGTAGAATTTGTTTATCCTCACATATCAAAGTACCACAATTCAACGTCTTATCTAAATTCAGTATGTTTCCATGACGACTCTTCTGTAATTAACAATCTCTGACATCATCATCAAACTATATTCTCAAATTGCACAGATAATACCAAATGATAGAATCTACAGATAAATTCCTATTCTAGCAAGTCTCATTATTTCGGTATCAAATATTATAATCAACTACCATCACTATCCAACTCACCTCTAATACATTTGGAATAATTTCTTTTTCACATAGTCGCACAAACATCTCTTTATCAAAGGAGGGATCAATCTTACAAACTTCTGTGAGGACTTCGGACATCTCCGTCTTAGAAAACACCCCACCTGCAACATCAACACACAGACCTCGTCAGTTTAACGACATACCTCACTTGGTTTATGTCCAAAACACAACTGTAATGAAAAACTCCCACACAATAATAATGCAAGCTAGAAGTCACTACGGGTTGTCCCGTGTTAGTCCAACGTGGCTATTGAAATCAGCCTGTGTCTACATGGCATTTTTAGTATTGAAAGTATTTATCTAATGAACAGAAGACCAGTTTGTGTAAATGTCATAAGCAGTTTGATCTACTTCGGTAGAACTTGGCTGTTCATCCATTCGACTGGTCACTTTGTCTGGTCACTCATCCATCTGTTCCGTCACTCATCCCTCTGTCTGGTCACTCATCCCTCTGTCTGGTCACTCATCCATCTGTCTGGTCACTCATCCATCTGTCACTCATCCATCTGTCTGGTCACTTACCCATCTGTCTGGTCACTCATCCATCTGTCACTCATCCATTTGTCTGGTCACTCATCCATCTGTCACTCATCCATCTGTCTGGTCACTCATCCATCTGTCTGGTCACTCACCCATCCATCTGTCACTCATCCATCTGTCTGGTCACTCATCCCTCTGTCTGGTCACTCATCCATTTGTCTGGTCACCCATCCATCTGTCACTCATCCATCTTTCTGGTCACTCATCCATCTTTCTGGTCACTCATCCATCTGTCACTCATCCATCTGTCTGGTCACTCATCCATTTGTCTGGTCACTCATCCATCTGTCTGGTCACTCATCCATCTGTCTGGTCACTCATCCATCTGTCTGGTCACTCATCCATCTGTCACTCATCCATTTGTCTGGTCACTCATCCATCTGTCACTCATCCATTTGTCTGGTCACTCATCCATTTGTCTGGTCACTCATCCCTCTGTCACTCATCCATCTGTTCCGTCACTCATCCATTTGTCTGGTCACTCATCCATCTTTCTGGTCACTCATCCATTTGTCTGGTCACTCATCCATCTGTCACTCATCCATTTGTCTGGTCACTCATCCATTTGTCTGGTCACTCATCCATTTGTCTGGTCACTCATCCATCTGTCTGGTCACTCATCCATCTGTCTGGTCACTCATCCAGCTGTCTGGTCACTCATCCAGCTGTCTGGTCACTCATCCAGCTGTCTGGTCACTCATCCATCTGTCACTCATCCCTCTGTCTGGTCACTCATCCATCTGTCTGGTCACTCATCCATCTGTCTGGTCACTCATCCATCTGTCACTCATCCATCTGTCTGGTCACCCAACCACAGTGTACCTATGTGGGGAATCGAACCCGCAAAGCTAGTTGATAAACACCACACAAGAAAAACAACTAAATTCCCTCTGTAGACAAACACGACTTCACACTGAGGCGATGTGTTTGTTTGTTGTTTAACGCCGCACTCAGCAATATTCCAGCTATATGGTGGCGGTCTGTAAGTAATCGAGTCTGGACCAGACAGTCCAGTGATTGACAACATGAGCATCGTTCCAAGCAGTTGGGATCGATGACATGCATCAACCAAGTCAGCAAGCCTGACCACCCAATCCTGTTAGTCGCCTCTTACGACAAGCATAGTTGCCTTTTACATGGGTCGTTGAAGAATTATTCTACCCCGGATCTTCTCAGGCCCTGAGGCGATGTGAAAGAGAATGATGTGGCAGAGATAGACATGTGATCAGGTTGTGTAAGGTCACTGTGCACGGGATCACATACAAGGCCCAGTTCTTGGTAACCATCGCGATACTGGGATGTGTTCGGGTGAATTGCTCTCTAGAAGCTGGAAACTTTGTTAAGTATGTTTCCACATAGGATCAAGGAAGAAAGGAGAGTGGCATAGAGTGAGATATACATTTTGAAGCCTATGATTGTACATATAATTATTTTAATATGCCTACCGACAATGACTGTAAAGAAGTACTATTCTAAAAATATTTGCTTCCGCAGTGATGCGGCTGTCAAATCGACTGTTTCAATCAGAGGTGTTTATTGTCAAATAGTACCTTTGACTGACAAAATTCATGGTAAAATGCACATTTAACAGCCTTTGTCCATGTTCATAAACTGAAATATAGAAGTAACTGGCTGAAGTGGCTATTTCTTTCATGTAATTGATAAACAGAAAAACAAACATGCACCAGATGGAAAGCTGAGAAACATTTCCAAACATAAAAATGATACTCACCAAACAAGTATCCTACTTTATCTGTGAGAGCTCGAGTTGCACGCACCATAGCATTGTCACTTTCATCATACTTAACTTTAAGATCAAACATTTCTGAAAATAGAAATTATGAGTGAGTGAGTGAGTACAATTTATTAACTGTCAACATTCGGCAGGGTCAAACTGACCTGCACTGATTATTGAGACCATGCATTTGGTACTGTCTAAATCTCAGTAGAGTGAGTGAGTATGGTTTTATGCCGCTTGTAGCAATATTCCAGCAATATCACGATGGGGAACACCAGAAATAGGCTGCACACAAATCTCAGTAGAGAAATTGTAACTGACATTTCATTACAGCCAAAGTACAGGGTGTCATCAGAAACCATCACTTTTTCAAACAGAATTTATCATATTTTTCCCAATGTTTGGTCATAAGGACATAAGGCTTACTTTGAAATCAATCCTTACCAGATATTGGTAACAACTCTTTTTAAATGCTTGGGCTTTTTAATTCAGCAATATACTCACTATGTACATAAGGATTGTTATCTTTAAAGTTCTGCCAACTCTGAAACCACTTGGAATCTTTATGTAAGACCATTCCGGTGGCTTCTCTGCGAACAAAAACAGCTGCATAAACAAAAATATGTAGGTACATAACACTTAATTCTCTTGAACACATGGGCACATGGTACGTGACAAACTCAAGTTAATTCCCTGCAACACATGCTATATGACAGTTAACTCCCTGTACTACATGACATACTCGTACTACATGACATACTCATTAGCTTCTACTGTCTTTTCTTCCTTTGGAACTCCTGGCATTCCTTCTGTCCGCTTCCGAAGTTTGTCTGTGGTAAAATATTATGAAATGTACTTCTTTTTAAATACAGTGACATATAGTTTCAACAAACATTCATCAAATAAACAGACATAAATGAACATTTATATTTCTGAGTCATGCTAATAGTCATACTGAATTCATTATATACTCACAGAAATAACAGTTACAAAACCATTTGATATATCTGAAGTCTTTTACCATAATGTAGAAAATAATGTTCAGTTAAGAGTTTCTGATGTCACATTACAAATAAATAGTTACGCATTATATATAACATGCCAATGTGACAAATATCTACTGTCAAGCCCCTGGACACTAAGGCGACAAGGTAACAGTGTCTTCAAGTCTAATGACAAAAGACAAATTACATGCAAGTTTACACACGAGACCAAAGTATTTCACTAGCTTTTCCAATCAGAAACCAACCACGGTTAGTACTCTATCTGAGATGTAACACAAACCTGGAGCCTTGTAATGTTTGGCCCGAGACAGGGTCGCCTCATCAAACTCTTCTTTTACAGCTTTAACCCCCTAAAAAGGATGAAAATATTACTCATGTAAAAGGCTGTGTTAACATATGTCCCATCCCACCAAAATCCTTCCTGATAAACTTATACATCAAACTGGTGACAGTCAAGGCTACCATCACTGTGAACCCTTCTGTACAGGTCACAGAGGGCCAAGTCAAGACCCAGCGAAATCCTTCCTGACACATCAAACAGGTGACAGTCAGGCTACCATCACTGTGAACCCTTCTGTACAGGTCACAGAGGGCCAAGTCAAGACCCAGCGAAATCCTTCCTGACACATCAAACTGGTGACAGTCAAGGCTACCATCACTGTGAACCCTTCTGTACAGGTCACAGAGGATCGAGTCAAGACCCAGCGAAATCCTTCCTGACACATCAAACTGGTGACAGTCAAGGCTACCATCACTGTGAACCCTTCTGTACAGGTCACAGAGGATCGAGTCAAGACCCAGCGAAATCCTTCCTGTCACATCAAACTGGTGACAGTCAAGGCTACCATCACTGTGAACCCTTCTGTACAGGTCACAGAGGATCGAGTCGAGACCCAGCGAAATCCTTCCTGACACATCAAACTGGAGACAGTCAAGGCTACCATTACTGTGAACCCTTCTGTACACGTCACGAAATCCTTGTCCAATAGCCTACTAATTTGGAGGGAATCTATTGAGAAAAGCAACTGACATAGGAAAATCACATTCACATGTTGGCCATGTTTAAATCAGTTTGGAAGGCTGTGAGCACTAGAGACATGGACAACACATCATGCCGTGAGTTCACTTGAACGAGAGCATCAGGTGGGCTGGAAATGTACCCAAAAGAGAAGTAGCATCTGAGTAAATATGTTCAAATGGAAGACAACCAGGACATTACTGACCTCTGAGATAGATTTGAAAGTTGCACTCTTCCCGATCTGCTGCCCAGACTTTGATATAGACTCTGCTGCTTTTGTGGCTGACTTTCCCAGCTCTCCCGACGACTCCTTCACCTTCTTCACAAACTCCGTCTTCTGCACCTCATCCAGAGTCTGAGACAGAACAACATAACGGTACACAGGATGCAAATAACATCATAACAGCATTATGCAGTTTATTTGTCCGAAGACGATTCACCTGAAGACAGCATGACACCCACTTCAAGCAGGTCCACCCAGTGTACCATCCAGCGGGCAGAGACCCGGGATTGAACACAGTTCCCTTTCCACACACCTAATGTGTCGCTGTGTCACGTGCTTCATTAACTTGGAGACTATGTGAACCCCTCTAACCTACTGCCTGTTGTTAGCATGGAGACTAAGCGGACCCCTCTAACCTACTGCCTGTTGTTAGCTTGGAGACTATACAGACCCCTCTAACCTACTACCTGTTGTTAGCGTGGAGACTATGTGGACCCCTCTAACCTACTACCTGTTGTTAGCTTGGAGACCATGTGGACCCCTCTAACCTACTGCCTGTTGTTAGCGTGGAGACTATGTGGACCCCTCTAACCTACTACCTGTTGTTAGCCTGGAGACTATGTGGACCCCTCTAATCTACTACCTGTTGTTAGCCTGGAGACTATGTGGACCCCTCTAACCTACTACCTGTTGTTAGCGTGGAGACTATGTGGACCCCTCTAATCTACTACCTGTTGTTAGCCTGGAGACTATGTGGTCCCCTCTAACCTACTACCTGTTGTTAGCGTGGAGACTATGTGGACCCCTCTAACCTACTACCTGTTGTTAGCCTGGAGACTATGTGGACCCCTCTAACCTACTACCTGTTGTGAGCTTGGAGACTATGTGGACCCCTCTAACCTTCTACCAGTTTACTTACATCAGACATCTTCCCCTTGATGTCCCCAAACGTCTTCTTCAAAACCTGACTGCTCTTTGTTGTCTCTGCCTCAATATTTTCCTGCAAACATCAAGAGCAGCTCTGTAACATGTCCTCTCACAAACAGTGAGTGGGTTCCTGAATGGGTTACATGTCATAATCAGCACAAATCCATGACTTACTGTGGCCCAGCAAGTTAGTATAGGTTCGTAACAATCATCATGCAAATATTTGCTGACATAGTGCTATGAAGACTGAGATAAGAAACGCTTACTATGTGAAAGGCAAAAGAATGTTTTTTGTACGATAAGGATACCATGAAACTACTAGTTGACATACAGCAGTTCCAGAAGACCACTGGTGGTAAGAACAGATGAGAACATACAACATGTGCTCATACTGACAAGGACATGGTGACATGAACATAGCAGATGAAAGCTGTTAACTCACAAACTTCTGTCTAGCTTTCCGAATGGCATCAGACTGTTCTAACTTTTCCGTCTCTTCCTTGAACTTCTTGAGGTTTTCCTAGAGAATGAAACAGTGCAGCAGATTAGCAGCAAACCGGGATGATAAATGTTCCATCAAAGTTTCGAGATCAGATTCATCCTCTTACCTTCATTTCTTTATTTTTAGCAATCTCCTGTTTGATGTTGTCTACGAACTGAGCAATGAAGCTCCTCCTTCCACCTGACATAGCTCGACTCTGAAACAGGGAACTAAAATGACATATTTGTATCCAGAACGCTGAAAACTTTCTAGAAACGGTGTGTACAGAAGACACCTAGTTAAAATTATTGTCTTGTGCTCTCATTTGTAGGGCTCAAGTGTGTGTTGAATTTGTGTGTGATGTCTTTTTTTGGTATGGCTCGGGATTGTGTTGGCCTCTGGTGTGTGATGTCTAGTATTTGTATGACTCTAGCTTGTGTTGGAATCCAGCGTGTATGGCCCCAGCTTGTATCGGACTCCAGCATGTATGGCCCTAGCTTGTGTTGGACTCCAGCGTGTATGGCCCTAGCTTGTATTGGACTCCAGCGTGTATGGCCCTAGCTTGTATTGGACTCCAGCATGTATGGCCCTAGCTTGTGTTGGACTCCAGCGTGTATGACTCTAGCTTGTATTGGACTCCAGCTTGTATTGGACACCAGGGTGTATGGCCCCAGCTTGTATTGGACTCCAGCGTGTATGGCCCCAGCTTGTATTGGACTCCAGTGTGTATGGCCCAAGCTTGTATTGGACTCCAGCATGTATGGCCCAAGCTTGTATTGGACTCCAGCGTGTATGGCCCAAGCTTGTATTGGACTCCAGTATGTATGGCCCAAGCTTGTATTGGACTCCAGCGTGTATGACTCTAGCTTGTATTGGACTCCAGCGTGTATGGCCCCAGCTTGTATTGGACTCCAGTGTGTATGGCCCAAGCTTGTATTGGACTCCAGCATGTATGGCCCAAGCTTGTATTGGACTCCAGCGTGTATGGCCCAAGCTTGTATTGGACTCCAGTATGTATGGCCCAAGCTTGTATTGGACTCCAGCGTGTATGGCCCAAGCTTGTATTGGACTCCAGTATGTATGGCCCAAGCTTGTATTGGACTCCAGCGTGTATGGCCCAAGCTTGTATTGGACTCCAGTATGTATGGCTCTAGCTCGTAATGGACTCCAGCGGGTATGGCCCTAGCTTGTATTGGACTCCAGCATGTATGGCCCTAGCTTGTATTTGACTCCAGCGTGTATGGTCCTAGCTTGTATTGGACTCCAGCGTGTATGACTCTAGCTTGTATTGGACTCCAGTATGTATGGCCCTAGCTTGTATTGGACTCCAGCATGTATGGCCCTAGCTTGTATTGGACTCCAGCGTGTATGGCCCTAGCTTGTATTGGACTCCAGCGTGTATGACTCTAGCTTGTATTGGACTCCAGTATGTATGGCCCTAGCTTGTATTGGACTCCAGCGTGTATGGCCCTAGCTTGTGTTGGACTCCAGCGTGTATGGCCCCATCTTGTATTGAACTCCAGTATGTATGGCCCCATCTTGTATTGGACTCCAGTGTGTATGGCCCAAGCTTGTATTGGACTCCAGCGTGTATGGCCCTAGCTTGTATTGGACTCCAGCATGTATGGCCCTAGCTCGTAATGGACTCCAGCGGGTATGGCCCTAGCTTGTATTGGACTCCAGCATGTATGGCCCTAGCTTGTATTGGACTCCAGCGTGTATGGCCCCAGCTTGTATTGAACTCCAGCGTGTATGACCCCATCTTGTATTGGACTACAGCGTGTATGGCCCTAGCTTGTATTGGACTCTGGTGTGTGATGTCTAGTATTTGTAAGGCTCTAGCTTGTATTGGACTCCAGCGTGTAAGGCCCTAGCTTGTATTGGACTCCAGCGTGTATGGCCCTAGCTTGTATTGGACTCCAGCGTGTAAGGCCCTAGCTTGTATTGGACTCCAGCATGTAAGGCCCTAGCTTGTATTGGACTCCAGCGTGTATGGCCCTAGCTTGTATTGGACTCCAGTATGTATGGCCCTAGCTTGTATTGGACTCCAGCGTGTATGACTCTAGCTTGTATTGGACTCCAGCGTGTATGACTCTAGCTTGTATTGGACTCCAGCGTGTATGGCCCTAGCTTGTATTGGACTCCAGCGTGTATGGCCCTAGCTTGTATTGGACTCCAGGGTGTATGGCCCTAGCTTGTATTGGACTCCAGCGTGTATGACTCTAGCTTGTATTGGACTCCAGCGTGTATGGCTCTAATTTGTATTGGACTCCAGCATGTATGGCCCTAGCTTGTATTGGACTCCAGCGTGTATGACTCTAGCTTGTATTGGACTTCAGCATGTATGGCCCTAGCTTGTATTTGACTCCAGCGTGTATGGCCCTAGCTTGTATTGGACTCCAGCGTGTATGACTCTAGCTTGTATTGGACTCCAGCGTGTATGGCCCTAGCTTGTATTGGACTCCAGCGTGTATGGCCCTAGCTTGTGTTGGCGACAGTGACTACCTGAGATAACCTGACATCCAACGGGCTGTTCTGCTGGAAACAGGCCAAATAGGGAGGGCATCTTGCCGCTGTTGGACGACCACTATGATACAGCAACACCTGTAAACAGAATTTGAATTAAATAATAAACAGGATAACTTTGACCATAGTCTGCGAATCCTGGTCATGTCTGTACCTGTAGTTCATTTTCTTTTTTGCTCTGGTACATGGACAACATGTACAATTTTGTTTTTGTTTTGTTTGTTGTTTAACGCCGCACTCAGCAATATCCCAGCTATATGACGGTTGTCTGTAAATAATCAAGTCTGGACCAGACAATCCAGTAATTGACATAACGAGCATCGATCCACACAATTGGAATATGATGCATCAACCAAGTTAGCGAGCCTAACCGGCCGATCCTGTTAGTCGCCTTTTACAACAAGCATAGGTTGCTGAAGACACAACATGTACAATGATAGGCTAAAAATGCCGCAATTCTACAGTTGATCATAGTAAAGAATGAAATGCGAGTTGGCTTGTTTTAACACCATTTTGAACAGTATTTCAGTTTTATCACGGTGTGGCTGGCTGTGTAGCTTGCTGTGGGAGGAAAGCCCGAAATGATGTCACTTTGGTGAAAACCAAAAGCATGGGTATGGTGCCAACAAACCTAGAAACATAATCAGCGTGAACTGGGATTCGAAACCTATGATCATAGGTTTATGGCATGTTCAAAGAATGCCACTCTGCACAGCAAATTGCACATGTCAGGTGACTGGGCCATCCATGACCCCAAAGAACAACGAGGGCTTAGCCATTGTTACTGATGCCACAAGGGAAGACGGCTTTAGAAATAAATCTGAGAAAATGTAGCGAGTGAAAATGGAAGACAACAAATTCCACTAGACAAAATGTTTTATACTATACCACTTCATCGTAGGAATATGTTGACTTTTTCACGTGAAGAATAAAAGTAATTATAAAATTTAAAACAATAAAATGTACAAGAATACCCTGATAAGTGATTTTAATTTCACACTTCAGCACCCATCCTTGAAAAATCATGAGAAGGGGTTCAACCCCATTAGACCCCCTACACATCAACTGTGTGATTGGCATTCTAGAAGCTGGCAAAATAAGTAAGAAAAACGTACAACTTTATGGATAACAACTTCCGCTCAACTTCCGCTCAATCCGGCAGCAATGCAGTTTACCGGGCACAGCCCGAGCTCTACCATCCGCTCAATTACCGCGCTATAGTCATGGGGGCGGTCGGGTAGCCTAGTGGTTAAAAGTGTTCGCTCGTCACGCCGAAGACCCGGGTTCGATTCCCGACGTGGGTACAATGTGTGAAGCCCATTTCTGGGGTCCCCCGCCGTGATATTGCTGGAATATTGCTAAAAGCGGCGTAAAACCATACTCACTCACTCACTCGCTATAGTCATGATAGTGCCACTGCTGTCTCGTTATACCGTTACTGTGCCTCATGCTCGGCTGACTCTCGCTTCATGATCCAACCCGTTTTCGGTCTTAGGGAAACTTACACATCTTGACAATCCAACACCCGTTCTCGGTCATAGGGAAACTTACATGTCTTTACGATCCAACTACCGTTTTCGGTCTTAGGGAAACTTACACGTCTTTACGATCAAACACCCCTTTTCGGTCCTTAGGGTTAGCTTGCTTTGGGCAAGGGTTAGCCATAAATTCTTACCTTTTCAAGCATTAATCCGGTTAATCCGATTGGTCGGTCATGTTGACATAAACAATGGCCGCGCGGGAGTGGTTTCAAGAAAAGATGAATTGGAGAGTGGACCGTGACGTCACACGCATGCGCAATTCCTTGTTTACTGTATTACGCATGTATGTTAATGGGGATTCTAATGACCCGTTAAACAAGCACTGATTACATGTGATAGCGCCTGTGGTCCAGTGGTAGAGCGTTGGCTAATTAACGCATTAATTAGCAGAGCTGGTGAGCCGGCAAAGCGCGTTCGAGCCCCCACAGCGCTAATTGGATCTGAAAAAGTGCACTACTCCCCTCTTTTTAGTTACATATATTCTAAGGGGGGTTGGGGTGGTGTGTAGGAGGTGGGGTACGGCCGAAAGCTGTGTGACCTTCAGTTGCCTCATAATCAAAGTATGACAACTATGTCTGACAGTGCCTTTAACAAATCTATAATAAAATTGTCACAATTTGTAAAATATGAAAATGTATCAAATGAGTACAAACAAGTAGCCCACCACACAACTATTGAGGTTATTTGTATAACGACTTTACAAGCACGTGAGTACACATGGTAAAGGGCCGAAGAGGCTGTGACACCCAAGCATGTAAGTATAGCGATTGTATGAGTTGAACATGTACATGTACCCATAGTGTGACGATATTAAACATATTGAAATATCTCGCAATTGTTTAAATTACCTGCAAACTATATCTTTGTCGGCAGAGGTTACCGACAGATCTGCACATGGAAGCCATGATGAAACTTCTGTACCTTCTACGCAGTTCTCACAAGGGGGATAACTCTCGTCTGTTATCATTTAATACACACCGGCATGACATTGTTTACTTCTTCTGTACCCTACCGAACTGATTATTTATCTGCAGAAAAAGACATCCGACTGAGGCTTTCAATTTATATATCATGTAGCCCTGTAAATGGTGCTATATTCCAATAAATGTATTTATTATTATCACTTTATCAGAGACCACATTTTATGGTCTCTGTTATTATATATTAAATACATATTTGTTTTATATATTTCTTATATTTCAGAGACTGAAATGTTATCCGCCGTTTTACCCTCCTCCATTTTATTTGTTTTAATACTAGACATAATATATTATTTCACGAAGATAACAGAAACGTTTTGCAATGCATGGCGAAATACGCAAGCCTATTTGCATCAGGAATATGCAAGGCAAAGTGTAGAGTGAGTGGGTGTGTTAGATTTACGTCTCATCCGCGATATCTCAGCTCAGTAGCGATTGGCTTTGACGTCCGGAGGCTGCAGATAAAAAACAATCCATGTATGGGAAACATTTTTTGCGAACTTTCATTTATTTCAAGATGCCAACGAAAGTTACGGAAAGTTGTTATAAACTCGTAGCATATAGGATTTCATTGAAAGACGAATCTTACAATGATGAACTGCATTGTTGGAGTTGGATGCTGATTATATTTCAACATAATCCCACCGAGGTCCTCACACTTCTGCCAACGTTGCTGCAGTTCCTCGACCCCACTGGTGTAGAAGGTCTTCTCCTGGTCGTGTAAAAGGTTTCCTAATGATGGTGTAAAAAAAACCTCCACAACAGAAATGACGTCATCGTCAATTAGTGAGTGAATGAGTGAGTTGGGTTTAACGCCGCTTTCAACAGTATTCCAGTTATATCACGGCGTGTCAGCTTGATGTGGGAGGAAAGTCCGATGTGATGCAGGTCTCAGACGTTTACCACTTCGGTGAAACCCACGAGCACGGGTATAGTGCTGACAAACCTAGAAACATAATTGGGGCGAACCGGGATTCGAACCCACAATCATAGGTTTCTGGCGTGCCCAAGGGACGCAACTCTGCACAGCGAATCGCGGCGCCTTAAACGACTGGGCCACCCGTGCCCCCCTCATCGTCAATTACACAATGCTTGCCGGACGGTTCTTTGTTCAAGTTGGGGAAGAGATGAAAATCATGACGGTGCCAGTTCTGGGGAATACGGAGGACGTTCAATGAATTTAAAGCCACAGTCATGCATTGCAGCCATACTTGTTCACGATGCACTGTCCTGGTGGAACAACACACATTTAATAAGTTTTTTTACGACGTTTAACCTTGATCTTCTCATGCAGTTACCTTAGCACATTAGCATACTATTGGTCATTAATGGTCTGACATTTCGGGAGGAAATCCAGCAGTGAAATTCCTTCTGAGTCCTGAAAACTGAAGCCATCACCTTACCAGCCGATGGAACTGACTTTGCCTTTTAGGGAGAAAGAGGCGTTAGATCAGAAACCATAGTATCTGGGTGGATGTTTCCACTGATTTGACTGCTTGGTCTCTGGCTGATAGTGACAGTAAACCCAAGACTCATCCATGGTTACATGTCGCTAAAGAAATCATCTGGCTCCACCAAATTATCTAAATATTCACGAAAGATGACGAACTTGGAGATTTTCTGATCAGGGGCCAGAAGCCTTGGAACCCGGCGTGCTGAAACCTTTGTTGTGCTCAGTTCATTCCCCATAATCTTCTCAACTCTCTCATGAGATATGCGTACTGTCTATGTCACATGCGGTGTCGTCGATTATACGTTATCCCATCATGCATTTTACCCATATTTTCCTTAGTGGTATCGGTTGAAGGTCATCCTGATCTTGGATCATCTCCGAGGCTCCGTCTCCCCTTCTTGAACTGCACTGCCCACCTCCTAACAACAGCAAGTGAAGCAGCAGCATCCCCTTACGTTGACGCCATGTCCGCACGACTGGCTGATGGAGGTAGCCCTTTCGTTTGGAGACACCTGATGACAAGTCGGCAGCCTATTTCGTCCATTTTACAGTAACATAGAATACCTAATGCAGAGATATGCTGGCTGGTTGTGTATTTAGTTCAAAAGAAGCATGTAAGCATGGACAATTATATTAAACAATATAATTATTAAAAAAACGTGTATGAGGTAGGAAAAGCCGTGACTTTAACAGTGATGACTGAAGCGTTGCTGTTGGTATAAATTAATATCAATATATCTATCGTAAATGTTGAAATCTATTCATATGCCATGCGCGAGCATAACATGAGAAAACAAAAACATGTTCTTAATTATATTTGCTCACATTCATTTGAATTTTGTATACTGCATTTGTTAATAGAGTCGTGATTCCGGGGTAGAATAGGTCTTCAGCAACCCATGCTTGCCGTAAAAGGCGACTATGCTTGTCGTAAAAGGCGACTAACGGGATCGGGTGGTCAGGCTCGTTGACTTGGTTGATGCATGTCATCGATCCCAATTGCGTGGATGTATGCTCATGATGTCAATCACAGGATTGTCTGGTCCAGACTCTATTATTTACAGACCGCCGTCATATAGCTGGAATATTGCTGAGTGCGGCGTTAAACAACAAACCAACCAACTAATAGAGTCGTAATCATTAATATATGTTCATTAATATATAGATACGAACAGATATTAATGACAAAGCTTATAAATTGAACTCTCAGGTATTATGCAGCTAAAGGTTAAACCTTGCAGTAAATTAAACCTTATATAGGCGCGGGCGCTTTTTGTTCAGTTATGTATAGCCTGAAGAGACTCGTTGGTGCCTATACAAGGAGGAATGTGCATCTAGGTGTGACACCTCGCTCTCTCTCTCTCTCTCTCTCTCTCTCTCTCTCTCTCTCTCTCTCTCCCCTCTCTCTCTCTCTCTCTCCCTCTCTCTCTCCCCTCTCCCTCTCTCTCTCCCCCTCTCTCCCCCCCCCCCCCCCTCTCTCTCTCTCTCTCTCTCTCTCTCTCTCTCTCTCTCTCTGTATGCGTGTTTCGGACACAGCTATACCACAACAACATAACACAGACTGCACTGATTCGCTAATGTCACACGGTACATGTGAAAGTGTGTCAGCGCACGTGTGTTGACTGACAATCAATACTGCCATCCGGTCTCAAGTCTACATCATGGGGTCAGTAGTACCCGACGTAGCTGCATTAATATTGAATTCGATCGATTTGTAATAAGCAGTTATTGATTTTGGATTAGGGGGATGTGATTAATTATAAATAACCAGTTTGAAAATATTGGAAATGATTCTGTGTTCACTGACAGAAATTCGTTTGCAACAGATGAGGTATGAGGTTGTTAATTTTCCTTGGGGACCAACATTCAGTATCACCTGCAACACGGAACAGGCAAATCTTTGATCCAATTAATCAACAAAGGTTGGTTTATCACTAATAAGATTCTGTACAATTGGAATACCGTTTCAGTTACTTTAACGAATTCCCGTATATGGTGGACTTTTGTAATGACAAAAAAAATTAAGTGATAACGTTATTTTATCCAAAACGACCTTATTATCCTAGAGACATACATTGTAGTATTAAGTAACACAATACATACATGTTTGACGAAATTGAACAAATATTACAGAATAATATTTTTTGTTGCATATCAGAGAGTAGATATACTTGCACGTCATGATTTGTATGTCAACTTGGTGCAAGTAATGTGTCAATACGAGTACAACACAATACATGTAGACTGACTGATATTTGTTAGGATTGTTTGGGTTTGTGCAATCTCATTAAAATCAGACCTTAGTTCTCGCTACCGCTAAACAAAGCTTTTAGCGGCAGCGAGGACTAAGATCTGATTTTAATGAGATTGGGGTTTGTGTTACAAAACCAAAGATGAGACGACAACCTGCATAAAATAAACCTACCTGCATAGCTAATCAGACAACTGAAATCAAGCGGATGACAAGTCCCAGTTTGGACAATTAAATAGTGGCGTTAAATAACTTACATGCACTTGTTTATGCTAAAACATAATACTGGCGTGATTTTAATAATAATAAATGAATAAAACAAAGAAAGCAGTTTGAAACAGCACTCGCCTGAATAACAAGTTTGGAAAACATATCCCTCCTGACTACCAATGCGCTACATCGAAACAATGCACATTATTTTGAAATATGTAACAAAGGAGTAGTATGAGTCAGATGTGCCAAGAGCAGAAATTATATACCTCGTATTTTGTTCAACATCCCTCATCATAGTCCAGATCACGTTTGTTTGTTGTTTAACGCCGCACTGCAAGGCATTTGGTTTCAGGGGCAATGGGGTTTAGCCTAGTGGTTAAAGCGTTAGCTCGTCAAGGAAAAGTCCATGTTCGATTCTCCCCGCGCATTTCTGGGCTTCACCCCTTATTTCCAGGAATACTACCAAAAGCAGGGTTTAAATACGTTTTAATAAATATTAAATCGAAATAGCCTCTTCAGTGTACTCACGTTGTACTCTTCGGTAGGTTAATAACACCCGACCTTCGTATAGGTGGCTATCTTGATTGGAGGCGAAGTAAATTGGTAAAATTGTCCTCACAGTATAATAGGCACATTACTGCATTGATGTGAATGTACAAAGAAACTATACTCACGCGCAAAAGAAACGCAAGTCGAGTATGCAGTATACATGTTATTCATTTTCAACTGTAAAGACAAGAAATACTAATAGGGCAGGATTGACAAAAAATCTGACTAAAGACAGTTTAATGTTGTTGGTTGGTTGGTTTGTTGTTTAACGCCGCACTCAGCAATATTCCAGCAATATGACGGCGGTCTGTAAATAATCGAGTGCGGACCAGACAATCCAGTGATTGATATCATGAGCATCGATCCACGCAATTGAGATACAATGACATACATCAACCAAGTCAGCGAGCCTGACCGCCCGATCCCGTTAGTCGCCTCTTACGACAAGCATAGTCACCTTTTACAGCAAGCATTGGTTGCTGAAGACCTATTCTACCCCAGATCTTCACGGAACCTAGATCACGTACTTTGCGTACCCCTCTGTCAGTACGTGATACAGACTACCAATTTTTCGGACTTTCATATTTGTGAAGCATCGGTGGCTGAGTGCGTTAGATCGCTGACTTTGTGTGCTGACGATTAGGTGCCTCACTATATGGTAGTGTGGGTTCGAATCCCGGATTGGACTCAACCCCAAAAGGTACTAGAATCTGTACTTTACAAAAAAAGTGTTATCCCAAATATAACGTTTGTCACAGAATGAATGTTGTTTTACTCGCAGACGTCAACAATCACCTCTATCATGGTAGGGGGCGGTCGGGTAGCCTAGTGGTTAAAGCGTTCGATCGTCACGCCGAAGACCCGGGTTCGATTCCCGACATGGGTACAATGTGTGAAGCCCATTTCCGGTGTCCCCCGCCGTGATATTGCTGGAATATTGCTAAAAGCGGCGTAAAACCATACTCACTTACTAACTCACTCACTATCATTGTAACCAGCATATGGCCGTGTTTGGTTCAGGTAAACCAGTGGTTGATAGCATGACAGCGACCCATGCAGGCGGGACACGATGGCACACAACCAGCCCAGTCGCATATTATACACAACGTCTAATGGAGGAAATACGGTATGATCATACTTCACTCGGTCGTGGTTTAGGGGCGGCCGGGTAGCCTAGTGGTTAAAGCGTTCGCGTGTCACGCCGAAGACCCGGGTTCGATTCCCGACATGGGTACAATGTGTGAAGCCCATTTGTGGTGTCCCCCGCCGTGATATTGCTGCAATATTGCTAAAAGCGGCGTAAAACCATAGTCACTCACTAATTCAGGTTTAAGCGTACAAAACAATCGCGCGCAACTACTGGATGGGTTTCGGGATTTCTTGTATATACCTATTTAATTTAAAACATTGTGATCAACTTTGTATTTGTTGCGGAAGTTGTAGAAAATGGTAATTTGGTCTTCTCAAATGACGTTGATATTATTACTAGGTGATCTCAAACTGGTTCGAACTGTACATGTCAAAGTTGGATTGCAAAAATATAATCCAAAAACAAATGTTTTTGTATTGTCATTGACGTTTTTCACATGACCAGACCATGTGTTCTCGCTCATATCCTGTCATCCAGAAATCCAGATTGTCTGGGTCAGAACGCCATTTCCTTAATGGGCCATCCTTAACAGGTTCGACACTTGTTATGTGTAGACTGAGTCTAGTCTTCCATACTAATGTGGCATTATAGCTGATACAGTGTTGTTTAACGCCGCACCCAGCAGTATTCTCGCTATAATTGACGGCGGTCTGCAAATAATCTTGTCTGGGTCAGACAATCCAAAGATTTACATTATGAGCAAAAAAAACATGAACTCAAACAAGTCAGCGAACCTTACACCCGATACATTTAATCGCCTCTTTCGACAGGTATAGGTTGTTGGGGACCTATGTATTTTCTTACCTGGTAGATCGCTTATTTTATACAGTTATGCATCATTTAACTCGAAGTCCATTTTCTCGATATATCGTGTAAGACGATATAACGTATCTTCTCGATTACTTATCAATACAACATTGTATATAATATCGAGTCTGGACCAGACAATCCAGTGATTGACATCATGTGCATCGATCTACGCAATTGGAACACGATGACGTGCATCAACCAAGTCAGCGAATCTGACCACCTGATCAACAAACAAACTTACAAATACGGACATCACTATCAATAAGGTTGTTGTGTATGCATTTACATCTATAAGACACACATTATTAAACGAATTTATCTCCGGTATGTATTGAGAAGGTTCATGAGACACCGTGGAGCATTCAGCACTTGTTACTAGTACTACTAATAAATTATATTAGCGTCCATAATTTCAGGAATATTTCGGCAGTTGATATACTGTTGATATGGTCCAATATGCTGATTTATGGTTTGGGTTAATATACGGTTCCGCTGACCCTAAACAGACACCCGGAAAGGCGGGGAGGGGATATGTTCAATCACTTTTCTTGGTATTTTAGTATTCCAGCGATTGCAGACAGACATGATTTGTTTGCCACACAAAACTGTGTACAGAATGTTAAACTACAAGACGGAAGACACCCCATGAACACTGCATGTAAACATATTAAGAAAGTATTTCGAAAAACCAAATCTGAAATGTCTGTTTTATTGAACATTTGTCCACTGATGGCAGTTTTCCCGAGAAACGAACTTAAGGTTTAAAGGGGAACTCGTCAATCTAAAGCACCTGTTCGTCTGCTCAATCTTATGTTGGTAACCTATCGAAGCGTTTTCTCGTGACGCCCAATGCCTGGGTTCGATTCACGTGTACAATATGTGAAGTCCAGTTCTGGTGGTGACGTCGTGATAGATAGTGTTGGAGCATTCATTTAGGCGGCGTAAAACCACACTCACTCACTCAAAAGTTTATGCTATCGATGAACCGAATGACCTTTTATGTATGGTTACCATGGCTACACACGCATTAGTCGCAATGGCTCGGCCTCAAATTGTGGGGCATAGTCAATTACGTCTAGTTTGAATTGCAATATAGTGTCAGATGCCATTAAATAGATTCTCCCATATATTACACATGCAGGCCAGGCTGTGCGGTGTCTCGTATATATAAACCACACACGCGTATTGAATAACGACGACAGGACATCATGCAATTGTTGCACGTACACAAATCAAGTAGATTCCAGGCCAGGCCTCCAGAGCTTGTGGAACTCCAGAGCTTCCTTCTTTTATAGATTGGTAGAGATTTGCACAGTAGGTTAATAACCTGTTTTATTCATGACCCACAAGATAATGATCAGTATACAGGTAGGGGTGACCCCGGATATTTCTGTCATATAAGATAACCTCACACAATCCTTTGCCTCAGTGTGTTAATTGTAGGAGAGCAACCCAAATCATGTCACAGGTCGATTTGGGAGTAGGAGTGAATGAGTTTGGTTTTACCCTGCTTTTAGCAATAACACAGTGGGGGACACTAGAAATAGGATTCACACATTGTACCCATGTCAGGAATTGAACCTGGGTCTTCTGCATGACGAGCTAACGCATTAACCACTGGGCTACCGTGACGCCCCTGGCAGTGATTCTGTCACATGGTTTGCCACAGGGAAGAAGTCACCTGACACAGCATCAGGGCCAATCAGTTGTTTTGTTTCAGTGGAAGAGTTGTCTGTCATATTCCCCCCAACCAGAGAGGTGATAACAGTTGCGAACAATTGGATTCCTATAGTTTGTTCAGTTCACCATTAGGTGAACCTGGCTGTAATATCTGGGTTTGACCAACCTCCCGCACTTACAGGGCAACTAAATATAGCTGTGATATTTCTGTGTAAGGAACAAAAGAACATTCCCTCACTCACTCAAGAGTTTGCGTTGTTGTTAGTGCAAGAGTTTGTTTCATCCCAGAATCTTTCCAGTGGATTTTCTTTTAATATGGATGCAATAGTGGCTATGAGGATATAGGCTCAAGGCCTTTTCACGACATCAGTTGTGGTCACTGCTGGGACACCATTCTAGATTTCAGCTTCATTGGTCCACGACTGGGTCGTAAGGACTATCACAGGCAGATGCTAGATAGGGGCTCACTTGACCATTGGTTGACTGAGTCGTAAGGACTATCACAGGCAGATGCTAGATAGGGGCTCACTTGATCATTGGTTGACTGAGGTCGTAAGGAGTAGGTCTAGATGCTAGATAGGGGCTCATTAGACCATTGGTTGACTGGGTTGCAAGGACTATCACAGGCAGATGCTAGATAGGGGCTCACTTGATCATTGGTTTACTGAGGTCGTAAGGAGTAGGTCTAGATGCTAGATAGGGGCTCATTAGACCATTGGTTGACTGGGTTGCAAGGACTATCACAGGCAGATGCTAGATAGGGGCTCACTTGACCATTGGTTGACTGAGTCGTAAGGAGTAGGTCTAGATGCTAGATAGGGGCTCATTAAACCATTGATTGACTGGGTTTCAAGGACTATCACAGGCAGATGCTAGATAGGGGCTCACTTGATCATTGGTTGACTGAGTCGTAAGGAGTAGGTCTAGATGCTAGATAGGGGCTCATTAGACCATTGGTTGACTGGGTTGCAAGGACTATCACAGGCAGATGCTAGATAGGGGCTCACTTGACCATTGGTTGACTGAGTCGTAAGGACTATCACAGGCAGATGCTAGATAGGGGCTCACTTGATCATTGGTTGACTGAGTCGTAAGGACTATCACAGGCAGATGCTAGATAGGGGCTCACTTGACCATTGGTTGACTGAGTCGTAAGGACTATCACAGGCAGATGCTAGATAGGGGCTCACTTGATCATTGGTTGACTGAGTCGTAAGGACTATCACAGGCAGATGCTAGATAGGGGCTCACTTGACCATTGGTTGACTGAGTCGTAAGGAGTAGGTCTAGATGCTAGATAGGGGCTCATTAGACCATTGATTGACTGGGTTTCAAGGACTATCACAGGCAGATGCTAGATAGGGGCTCACTTGATCATTGGTTGACTGAGTCGTAAGGAGTAGGTCTAGATGCTAGATAGGGGCTCATTAGACCATTGGTTGACTGGGTTGCAAGGACTATCACAGGCAGATGCTAGATAGGGGCTCACTTGACCATTGGTTGACTGAGTCGTAAGGACTATCACAGGCAGATGCTAGATAGGGGCTCACTTGATCATTGGTTGACTGGGTCGTAAGGAGTAGGTCTAGATGCTAGATAGGGGCTCACTAGACCATTGATTGTTTGGGTCATAAGGACGACTGCAGTTAGATGAATATAATATTTTAAACAAAATAAATAAATTGTGTGTTGCCACATGAACATAAATGCATCAAAGAAATAACAGAAATTGGTTCAATTGTTTAATGCAAAATATATGGATCTTGTGAGTAACAAATGTCATATATACCGGCACAATTCTGTTTGAGCAAACATCATTCCAACACATACACAGGCCAGCAGCATCTGAGGTATTCTAAGTGAGGTGTGCATAAAATAAAGAGTATAAGAAACTCTGATGTATATTTCTCCACCAATACAAAAGATTACATGAAGAATACGCCATGATAATAATCCATCAATAACTGTGTACAAAAAGACCTTAAAACAGCAGGAAAAAAAATATACAGACCAGTTATACACAGACCAAATCATACAAAGTAGAACATTGTCATACAAAATAGAACACTGTTTACAAACAACTGTCTTCATCCTTGAACCACTTACTGCCAAGCTCCTTGAACACATAAAGGGTGGTCAAACCTTTGACAGTTTACAAGTTTTGTCAATGTGGGCTTCATTAAATTTTAGAATGAAATTATTCATTCTATAACTTTTGTATATTTCAAGAATGAAATGTACTGACAATATAAGAAAGAATCATCAACAGCCTGTTATAAAAGTAGAATCTTGTGATGAATATATTTATATGATAACTTCTGTTTCAATATATTACTCCAGACACTTCTTGAATGGAACAGTAACAGTAACATTGCACATACTGTCAAACAACAAACATTTCAAATAAACTAATCTGCATCATCATATATAATAAGTTCATATAACAGTTTGGCACAAATACGAATGCAGCTAACAGCAATAAGTTTTGGAGAAATAGTATTTGTTCTTGCACTTAATAAACACATCTTTTGATCATTATAAAGGACACAACCATAACAAAGGCTATCACATTACAGGTTTATCATCAAGGGTGGCCCTACTCTTGAAATATGAAAGACTGACAAAAAAACATTTCTCGAACCTATGACAGATTTCCCAATTAGCAAGAACAGGTGCACTCTCCACTGCCTTAACATGGAACTTAAATTCTGTTGTCCCTCAGTAAACTACCACACGGTTTGTTTGGTCACCCTTTTCATTTAACAGACAAAATGAGATCAGTCAGGGTATTATATAACATATCTATTGAGATGTAATGTGGTCAGTGTGTGAGTGAGTGAGTATGGTTTTATGCTGCTTTTAGCAATATTCCAGCAATATCAGGGCAGGAGCTCCAGAAATGGGCTTCCACAAGGCTCCCCCACCGCCCCGGTCAACATATGAAAAACAGTCACAACACTCACACTTTTAAAGATGTTAATTGAAATGTCTGCTGGTGTATATTATTACTTATTTGTGTTTTATTTTCTCCTCCAGAGTCAACTAAAACAAATAATGAGTAAAAATATCAAACAAACACAGGTGTCCAGATAAAATGTGTGAATATAATAATGCTAATATGCTGGTAAATAATAATGATAATGGGTTCATCCAAAAGTTTCAAAATACAAAAACAGGAATGTAAAAACTAACATCAATTTTCATACACCATCCTTTGTTATTTAACACATCGAATGAGTTTTGAAAAGAGTTCCTGCACCTTGTTTTCTTGTAATCCATCTACAAATCTTCCTCTCACTTGAAGAGTCTCATATAATTGACCGGTAAATAAGAACTGTAACTGGAAGGTGTGAGTAATAATCAGTGCAAACATTCAAGGCCATACATTTCATAAACACTTGCTTCACACATCTATAAAAGTCCAGTTTCCACCCTTGCCGAACTAGGCTGCAATTCTGGAGTTTAGGCTGGACTGACGAGTCTGACTGACGAGTCTATGCATAGTCCAATCAAAATTGCTTACCGAAATAGGCATCCAGTTTGTAAGGAACATTGATTTCAACATGCAGAATTTGCAAAGCATGTGTACTGCCAACTGGGCGTCAACAGATATTTTGCAAATTCTTTCATATTTTTAATCATGGTGCTCACGTTATTTGATGCACTTTGCAGGGTAAAACCTGTTTTATTACAATATAGACCTTGATTATTGAGCATATCATCTTGACTGGACGCCGCCATATGTTTGAAGCAATGAAGAACCTTGAAGGGACATAATTCATAATAGCCACTGGTGGCGCTACAATCAAGCCTGGAAATTGCAGCCTAGTTCAGCAAGGGTGGAAACTGGACTTTCATAGTCAGTAAATGCCCTTGTCTCGGGAAAATGCCTTCACATGGTTAAAATGCATTATACCTCATAACGATACACCCATAATAAGAACATTTCACACTTTGTTGCTTGGAAATCAAACTGCTCCTGTTAACCTCCAGGCATATGGCAGGAAACACAGCAGCCATCTATATTATGCACGGGTGGGAGAGTGATGCTGAGGATGTTACTCAACCTTGCTCTTGGCACCATCTCCATATGTTATCAACAAGACGAGGCGGGTGACGTTGATGATGACCCCGGGAATGTTGGGGGCCTGAAACACATGAAACATGTCAGACATTATACACCAGCTACACCGTGATGAGACATCTAGCTACACCGTGATGAGACATCTAGCTACACCATGATGAGACATCTAGCTACACCGTGATGAGACATCTAGCTACACCGTGATGAGACATCTAGCTACACCGTGATGAGACATCTAGCTACACTGTGATGAGACATCTAGCTACACCGTGATGAGACATCTAGCTACACCGTGATGAGACATCTAGCTACACCGTGATGAGACATCTAGCTACACCGTGATGAGACATCTAGCTACACCGTGATGAGACATCCAGTACACCGTGATGAGACATCCAGCTACACCGTGATGAGACATCTAGCTACACTGTGATGAGACATCTAGCTACACCCCGATGAGACATCTAGCTACACCCCGATGAGACATCTAGCTACACTGTGATGAGACATCTAGCTACACCGTGATGAGACATCTAGCTACACCGTGATGAGACATCTAGCTACACCATGATGAGACATCTAGCTACACTGTGATGAGACATCTAGCTACACCGTGATGAGACATCTAGCTACACCGTGATGAGACATCTAGCTACACCGTGATGAGACATCTAGCTACACTGTGATGAGACATCTAGCTACACCGTGATGAGACATCTAGTTACACTGTGATGAGACATCTAGCTACACTGTGATGAGACATCTAGCTACACCGTGATGAGACATCTAGCTACACTGTGATGAGACATCTTGCTACACTGTAATGAGACATCTAGCTACACCGTGATGAGACATCTAGCTACACCGTGATGAGACATCTAGCTACACTGTGACGAGACATCTAGCTACACTGTGATGAGACATCTAGCTACACCGTGATGAGACATCTAGCTACACTGTGATGAGACATCTAGCTACACTGTGATGAGACATCTAGCTACACTGTGATGAGACATCTTGCTACACTGTAATGAGACATCTAGCTACACTGTGATGAGACATCTAGCTACACTGTGATGAGACATCTAGCTACACTGTGATGAGACATCCAGCTACACCGTGATGAGACATCTAGCTACACCGTGATGAGACATCTAGCTACACCGTGATGAGACATCTAGCTACACCGTGATGAGACATCTAGCTACACTGTGATGAGACATCTAGCTACACCGTGATGAGACATCTAGCTACACTGTGATGAGACATCTAGCTACACCGTGATGAGACATCTAGATACACTGTTATGAGACATCTAGCTACACCATGATGAGACATCTAGATACACCGTGATGAGACATCTAGCTACACTGTGATGAGACATCTAGCTACACCCCAATGAGACATCTAGCTACACTGTGATAGACATCTAGCTACACTGTGATGAGACATCTAGCTACACCATGATGAGACATCTAGCTACACTGTGATGAGACATCTAGCTACACTGTGATGAGACATCTGTCTGTGTGATGAGACATCCAGCTACATCCTGATGAGACACCCAGCTGTGTAATGAGACATATTTGTCAAAGATGCGTAACTTACTCCTTCTCTCTAATACACTTCATTTCAAACATTCTTTGGGCTACAACTCTACTGACAGTACTCACGTATATGTTGAAGTCATTCAGCATATACCCATAGAGGAGCCAGACGAAGGAGCACATGAGACCCCCCATCAGTAGCGAGAGAGACACGCCCTCTGAGCTCTTCCGTCTCACAACCTCCACCTGAAACAAGACACCATACATCAGGCAGACATCACCGACACTTCAAGGTTGTTTGAACTACAGGAACCATCTCACTCTTCATTGCATGTTTGTTCCCTGTCTCGTGATAGAGCATCTGCCTGGAAACCAGAAGGTTGATGGTTTCGATCCCAGGCCATGTCATACAAAAAGATGTTAAATGATGGTGCTTGTTGCCCTGCTTGGCGCTCAGTATCAAGGGAATGAGTTAGTGAGTGAGTTGGTTTCAACGCTGCTTTGAACAGTTTTCCACGCTACATAAGTGCAATAATCTTGAATGCAACAGCCCCATTTCACCTGACCTTCGTGTAATCAATGACTCATATACTCACTATTTCCATTGCTGGTAGACACACTAAGACGATAGTCCACAGGAACAGCATGCTGCCTAGCCGGGCCACAATCTCGTCATGTTGCTGCACGATGTAGACCAGGTACACCACGTGGGACAGGAACAGGGCAAACATACCCGTTACCTTGGAAACAGGCTCACTCTGAAACAAGGAACACCTTGGCAGTGACTAGCAACCTATTTATGACAGCAGATGACATCCTTCATCAACAATGGTGGATTCTACTGGTCGTTTAAGCATCTCATTTATCATAGAATATGGATCTACAAATATGTATAATCTAGGGCTGGGACGAGTCCAAAATTACTACCCGGGTACCCACCCCCCTATTACCCGACCCTACCCGGATACCCACTGTACGTCTCAAGAGATGGGAATAGTTTGACCATAGCCCTGGCAAAATGTATTTAGATACACATCATGCATAAACTGAAGTTGACTGAAGTTTTATCTTTACTCATACATATAAAGTCAGGAGGAATGCATGCATAGTCAAAAGGAAATGCAAACTTTAGTCACTTGAAGTGTAACTGTAGATTTCAAGATAACTTTTTGTCATTAAACAACATATCACGTGACTAACCATGGGTCCGGGTAGTCCTGTTGGTATCCGGCTCCTACTCAGTACCCACCCGACCCGAGTTCCCAAGTTACCCGTCCCAGCCCTAGTATAATCAATATTAATTAGATTCATCTGTGGAAAATTCCTACTTTTTCCATATATGTTATTTGTGTTACTAAGAAATAATAAATGTATAGTCCTAATGCAGAACCAGGTTCAACAACGTATGTTTGTCGTAAGAGGCGACTAACAGGATCAGGTGGTCAGACTCGCTGGCTTGGTGGATGCATGTCACCCCAATTGCATAGATTGATGCTCATGATGTCAATCACTGGATTATCTTGTCCAGTCTTGATTATTTACAGACTAGGGACACTCTTAGTGCTTCATGACACAGTTTCCTGAGTCCAGGAAGATCCCATTGTCACACTACAACAAAGAAACAACAACTTGCCCTAAGTCGGACGAGTAAAAGAATAAAACACAAGCGTGTCACTGGGGAGATGGTACCTTGACTTTAGACACCAAGATATACACGAAAATGTAGGTGGCCCACAATGAGGTGCCCACGAAGTTGAGCATCTTCAGCATGCCGTTGTCGATGAGCGAACCATAGTAGAGTCCAATCATGCTACTGCAATACAAGACACAACACATCACGGATGACACAAGACAGGTTATGGGCGGCCATTCGGTAAAAAAACTACAAAGTTGAAATAAAGGACAAAAGTTATGAACAAAAAATGTTACAAATATATTTCACTATTAACATATGAATAATGAAGTCAAAATACGAAACGATACCAATTAACAACTCGCAAACAAAAGATGTCATATTTAAAAATAGAACAATGTGTACTATCAAACTTCAGTGTACAAAAAGGACACTAAACTGCTAAAGGACAATGTTGAAAATAAAGAACGCCAGATGGCGCTGCTTGTTCTGCCATGTGAATGATAAATGCATGCTGAAGTTACATCATTACATCATTCCACATGCACTCATCGTGTGACGTCATGTATACACATACATGTATATATGTGCATATATTCTATCTGTACATGTTCTTTATGTCGTAACATTTGACTGTTATTGTGTATGTTTGTCCTTTAAATTATTTCAACTTTGTATTGTTTTACAGAATGGCTGCCAATAGACAGGTCCCACAACATTCGAGTGGTGTCAGTCATAAATCTGACTATTTATGAACAGCAAATAGTTAATAAATAAAGCAAGTGAAATATTTAACAATATCATGTATATTTTACATTCGGAGTATCAACTTCCTCCTTCTGCAATTGCCGATGTTGAGAACAAACGCATCTATTCGCTAATGCCACATTTAACGTTAATTACGTTTGTGATGCTTTTATTTACATGTACACCGAATGTGTTAATCAACAAGTATTTGTCACAGAGTGACGAAATATCCCCCGCCTGTACACCATACTACCAAATATGAAGACAATCCAGCGATTAGTTCTTGAGATATTGTGGCAACACCGTTTTCCAACTCCAAAAACAGATTTGCCTGCTGTGACCTTGAAAATGGGGTCAAGGTCACCAAATCTGACAGGTGTATGCGGTGTCTGTATATACACTATAGTTCCAAATATGAAGACAATCCAGCGATTAGTTCTTGAGATATCGCGGCAACACCGTTTTCTAACTCCAAAAGCAGATTTGCCTGCTGTGACCTTGACAATGGGGTCAAGGTCACCAAAACCGACTGGTGTCTGCGGTGTCTGTATATACACCATAGTTCCAAATATGAAGACAATCCAGTGTTTACTTCTTGAGATATCGCGGCAACACCGTTTTCCAACTCCAAAAGCAGATTTGCCTGCTGTGACCTTGAAAATGGGATCAAGGTCACCAAAACCGACTGGTGTCTGCGGAGTCTGTATATACACCATAGTTCCAAATATGAAGACAATCCAGTGTTTAGTTCTTGAGATATCGCGGCAACACCGTTTTCCAACTCTAAAAGCAGATTTGTCTGCTGTGACCTTGAAAATGGGATCAAGGTCACCAAAACCGACTGGTGTCTGCGGAGTCTGTATATACACCATAGTTCCAAATATGAAGACAATCCAGTGTTTAGTTCTTGAGATATCGCGGCAACACCGTTTTCCAACTCCAAAAGCAGATATGCCTGCTGTGACCTTGAAAATGGGGTCAAGGTCACCAAAACCGACTGGTGTCTGCGGAGTCTGTATATACACCATAGTTCCAAATATGAAGACAATCCAGTGTTTAGTTCTTGAGATATCGCGGCAACAAACAGGTGGGACGTACGGACGGATGTACGGACGGTCGTGAATACTATATCCCCCGCTTCGCGCTTTCGCGCGGCGGGGGATAATAAGCTGAGGCCATGTGCTTCTGTTACCCAAATTTCCTTCGGGATAATAAAGTGTAATCTTATCTTATCTTATCGTATAAGTTGGAATAATATTACTAGACTGGCAGGACTCGAGTGTTTACATATCTCAGACTGCTGGGGCAGCCTTTGCTCCTGGAACCCACCCGACCCGGGTAAATAACACTGGCTGAATAAACTTGGCACCCCTCTAAAAAATATGTTCGTCTTTCAGTCCCTGAGCACTGAAAAAAGTCCCTTATCATTCAATGTTTCAGGATTATACCGTAATCCTGACCTGCCTAACAACATCATATCACAGGGCTATGGATTATTTAACAAAGGCCTGGATTATTGGCAAGTGGCCAAAGTGAAATATTAATATGTGCAATATGATTTCTATGTCAGATAAGTATATATTTATATATATATATTATGTAGACACATAGGAATATCACAAACTGTGCATGGATAAGAGGGAGATGTAGGGTTTCATGCTGGTTTTAGCAATATTCAAGCAATATTATGGCAGATGATCTAATGAAAGGATTCCCATGTTGGGAAACAAACCTTGTTTGTTTGTTTGTTGTTTATATTCCAGCTATATGATGGCGGTCTGTAAATAATTAAGTCTGGAACAGACAATCCAGTGATTGACATCATGAGCATCGATCCATGCAATTGGAATACAATGGCATGCATCAACCAATTCGGCGAGCCTGACCACCCAATCCCATTAGACGCCTCTTACGACAAGGATAGTCGCCTCTTATGGCAAGACTGGGTTGCTGAAGACCTATTCTACCCTGGATCTTCACGGGTCAGAATCAAACCTGGGTCCTCAGCATGACATGTGAACAACTCAACCATTAGGCTACCTCATTGTTCAGATTATGATGATGATGATGATAATAAAATGTGCATCTATAATGCACCAAATTCCATTAACATAAGAATGCACATGGCACAACATTACTGTTACCCTGGTTAATGGATAAACCAAGGGTGTAAATCTAATGGACTTAAAATAGTCCTGTGTGCCGAGGATGGATTTGTGATACTTACTTCATGAGGCAGATAAGGAAGAAGAAGAATGGAATATGCTTTGTGTCCTTCGTCTTGTACATGGCTATACATGGTGGTCTGGAACCAAAGGAAAGGTCAGTCAGGACATGCTTATGAATGTGTTAATGATTACCTACCCAACACAGAGAGCTTGCTTATGTCTTTCAGGGGCATAATTGTATATTAAATATTTCATATGTCTTTCAGGGGCATAATTGTGCATTAAATATTTCATTGAAATCAATAGTAATGATTACTATTGATTTCAAAACACATTGCCAGTGTGCTTATGGCTTGTCATGCATGCTTGTTAACATTATAATGAACATTTTTAAGAGGTCGGGTCCAAAGGTTTATCAATAATAAAATGCTCAATAGACGTTAAAGTAAATATGATAATCAATATATGACTATCATGCTCAACAGCTGGTGGACATCGTCTTGTTCTATACAAAACAACGTCTGCGGTTCCATCAGTACCAGGAGAGTTTCTGACTCCTTCTCATGGGCACATCCTGAGGCTACAGGGACAAAAGCATCAGCACAAATAACACATGTTGTGAAAACATTGTTGCCATGGAATATTGGCTTAAGGAAATACATGGTTGAATGACACCAGTAGCTTTCTCGTAGCTCTGCACATTTCTCTGATACTGACGGTTAAAGCATCTTGTACAGATTTATGTACTTATTTATTTATTTATTTATATAAGCATAAGTGACTGTATATGTAATACAATGTAATACAATGTAATACAAAGATCTTTGTGTGTGCAAACCTCAGCATTAATATTGCATGATTAAATATTGAAAAAGTGATATTTTGCTTTGTCATGCTTTGTTTGATTAACACTGATGAGCTCACTTCCAAATGAAATCATAATTTTTCAGGTCCTACAAAAGCAAATAAGCCAAATCCTTTAAAAGAAAGAGGCTGAACCTATTATTAAAAATATTCAAATCATTTATTAGGAGCAACTTCTATTTTCAAACACATTTCATAATGTTTCTTTGCAAGTTTTACGGTTTCACGATTTGTCTGTAAACACTAATATTTCACAACATTTACATTTAACCTTTCAAAAAGTAAAAATCCTTAAAGAATTGAATCAGGTAAATTGATGTAACTTGGTTCTCCATCTCAAGCAATCAATACCATCAATGCGGTGTCAACAAAATCGCTGATCAGCTGCTCTGATGCAGAAATGGAAGCCTTTCTACGAGCTTAGGTGAGGTTCAATGTTCTCTCCTGGGGCATCATGTAATTCTCACTCCCATCACATATTTGCATATACATCACAGCAATACAACCTTATTGATCAGACATAAAGGACACCTCACTTGATAGCCTATTAACACTGTCCCTCTCACAACACGGCCAGCCAGATAAAGGTAGCCTTGAACAGAGAGTGTCATGCTGCTAATTAATCCTGGACAAGGGACAATCAGACATTATTGATTTTTTGTGATAACGAAAATAAACACAGGAGTAACGATTGGTTCCATCTATAATGGCACCAGTAGTCAATATGTCAATGGAAGACAATATGACAGCCATGAAATAGTTTCACACTGAACCTAGGTGTGATGGTTTTGTCCAATTTATATGTAAGACCACACATTTTAAATTTTCGTTTCACGGGCTTGCCACCCCTACTGAAAAGCTGCCTTTCCAAGAAATAAATTAAACACAAAAATATGTATTTTTAATATGTCTCAACAGCAGAAAGACTTCCAGATAAATAAATATAATAAATAAATGATTAACATAGCTATTTTATTTTATTTTTATTTTGACCAACCTTGTGTGGAAAAGCTGGAAAATATCCATGAAACTAACAATTAAAATAGTTTGGCCTAAATACTGTCATGTTTACAATGGTAAGTTTACATGTAGATCATGTTGAGTATGCAAGTCCCACTAGTATTTGTGTACCTGGTTACTGACGATATTGATCTTATATTTCAAAAAGGTTGATATGAAGGTTTATACAGAAAAAGGTGATCAATTAATCAGTAATCCATCACTAAAAGTATCAAAGTGGCATTTTACTGTGGCCCGGAGATGAATCAGGCATGTCAGTGGTGAGATGGCATTATCGATATTGTTGGACTGGAGGTTGGGAGCATGTTTTATTAACACAATTCTGTACATGTCCCAGGCTCCGAGTGTTTATTGCCATAGTCGAATGAATGCTGGAAATTTCAATGACTTGCTTTACATTGCGACTAGGCTCTTGCCAACTGGCAGTCCTGGCAAGTCGATTCACGTCACGCAAGTTTCACATTGCATATTGAACGAGGAGCACCTTAATTACACATAGCACTGGCTTGTCCATTAACAGCACTAAAATTGTCATATGTCTACATGGTTTTACCCTAACTTACATAGGTGGGGGTCCAGGGGACCTCTAATAATGAATTTGAAGGGTCCTTGCGGACGATATGACTTCTTGTAGATTCTCAAGTAATTGTAACCATTATTTCGACTGAATCAAGACATAATTTCTCTCTTATTTTTTGCGTTTTAAAAAAATTTAGAATGTCTGAATGCGGGCAGGTAACTTTAAAGAAGGGCAGGCAACATTCATGGGTCACCTGTCTGTCTTATTTAAGCCCTCCTTTAAAGTGTAGAACTTAGCCCCCCTTTGAAGTGTAGAACATATTCCCCCTTTAAAGTGTAGAACTTAGCACCCCTTTGAAGTGTAGAACATAGCCTCCCCTCCCCAAAGGGTAGAACATAGCCCCTCCATTAAAGTGTAGAACATGAATGTGGGAGATGCGCCTTTAAATTAGTTAGGAGCACAGATCCCTTTAATAGACTGTGGAACACACCCTACCTTTAAATGACCGGGAAACACAGACCGCCTTCAAAATGGGTCAGTGTTACACAGTAATTTAAGGTGTGTGTGTGTGTGTGTGTGTGTGTAAATATTACATTGGTGTTTGATTCATACAAAAGGATTGACATTCAGGTTTTATAGTGTATTACAAGCCAAACACATCCCCATCTCCAACTGTGCTTGTTTCTCAATACCCAGCTGTCACTTTTATCTTCGCGATAAGTCGGTAAGTATGCCATGTGCTAAATACTGTGAACTACTGGCCAGAGGATAACAACAGTATATGTTGTATCATATAAACAGAGGTTATTCCTGTGAAGGGGGATTGTTATTACATAATTGGCATTAATTGATATGGCTAGTTACATTTTCAGTTAATCATGTAAGGCGCTCAGAGGTGAAATGTGTCATACGGTTACAGAAGGGGAAATGCATCACGTTAATATGTTTCTTTTTGTTATTGTTATATTGTTATACTTCACATTTCACATTCAATGTGATATTTTGTTTGATTAAATTTACTTTTTTCCCATGTTATTTCAGTTTGCATAAGAGTAATTTAAACAAATAAACAGCCAAACTTTTTCATCATAAGTTCTGATGAGCTGACGGCTACAGTGAAAATATCAACGGAAACACCCCAGAAACACAAGCAGTACTTTCATCTTTTATTATGACTTGTACAATGTACTTGTAGTAATATATCTATAAACAAGCACATGCATCAGGTGTGTACATTCCATCGTCACATTCAACCAGCCACACATCCAATAAACTCTTTGGGGGTGTCACAAAAGACAAGGGCCAGATTTAGCTCTTTATCAGTGACAAATCTTTAAAATTTTAAAGTCTTTGGCCTAAAATATGGACAAATATGACAACTTAATTCTGGCTTTAGTTGCTGCATCATCCTAATATTATTTTCAACCTAAAATATTCCATTCCTTTGTTTGTCAGAGCTCCAGAAAAGCTGCATATTTCTGTAAAATACACACACTAACTCACCATAACCCAATTAATGTTGAGCTGCTTGTTTACAAATAGGCATGAAGAAATTTGATCATCAAATAGTATACAACACTGCATAATTGCCCAATGTATTTATTAGAGCTTGAATACATGCATGTTTTAAAGGATCTGTTCTAACTGATGCCTATATGAACCTACTGTAGTGAATAATGGATGTGCGACATCCTGCTTATTGTAACACATATCACAACAGCACATAAACATATCCTAATTCCAAGTTACCTGAACAGCATAGAAGAAGAATCATTTTGAAAATTGTCCAGTGATCAGTTTACAATACCCAATAAACTAGACCCAAGAGATTACAAATTTAATACCCAAAGAAAACTATCAATACCCAATGTGAATTATACCGTGAGTAAATACTCAAACTTTGGTTAAATATATTGTGTGGAGCCCTGGTTTGGATTACAATACAGCAGTCCAATTCAATTTGTGTTGTGAAAACCAGATCGGTTATCAAAATTATTTATTAAATAATTAAATATTAACCTGGACCAATTCTTACGGAAAATGAGATGACACAAACTGCCTGTCGAAAGAGGGCATACACCAATATTTGATAGTGGCTAAAAATGCAGTGTTTTCGGCAGTTTCTCATCAGTTAGAGTAACCATATGGCTTATTGAGGGGACAGGCTTGACACGGATAGTTGGAGAACTGCAGTGGATTGATAGCAGTAAGTTGATGGTACCGAGAGAGTGAGTGAATTTGGTTTTACTCCGCTTTTAGCAATATTCCATCAATGTCACGGTGTGGGATACCAGAAATGGGCTTCACACATTGTACCCATGTCGGGATTCGAACCCAGGTCTTTGGCGTGACGAGCGAACACTTTAACCACTAGGTTACCCGACTGCACCGGTACAGACAGATGAGAGATCATTTTCAACTGCAAACCCTCATTCCCCAAAGTATAATGTCTGAACAAATATACAAACAATAGTATTAATTTATTCCTTTCCCAATGAACATGAAATTAAACCGTATATAACTCAGCGTTAAAAACTAACAGTTTTAGTCCACTAGTCCTTATACCAGAGACCATATAATAGATTATATGGTCTCTGCTTATACTGATACACAAACCCTTAAAAAGGGCAAATTCTTCTGGTCCTTATGATACCTTAAGTATTGGCTAGTTTGGCAAGGGCACAGGACTAGTGCCAATTTCTAAAGCTGTCAAAACTGTTACTGTACATAGGTAAACACAGAATGACACACTTGAGAGATGTCCACACTATTCAAACAGTTTCACTCTTTCTTGAAACAGAAATTATGGTTAAAAGGGATATAATGACAACTCTCAACTCTTCTAAAAACATGTCGGCCAAGTATGTTGAACCAGGAATAAGGTTTCTCGGTTAATATATACAACATATACCCCTTTTGTAAACATTATCGCCAATGCATGTTGATCTGTTTAATGTCTGATACAAAAATACCAGAGACCATATAATATCTATTATATGGTCTCTGAAAAATACTAAAGTTGCCTTTAATAAGTTCATAAAAAGTTTACAAACTTACATTCCTGACATCATCATGAGAATGGTGAAAATGATTGTCGACCACTCCACTATGTTAAGGAAATCCATTTTGTGAGTTGTGAAAAGCAAGGCGCGACTTAGATTACAACAGCACTTTACTGTGCCAACTCTACAAGTTCGTGGTTGACAGATCCGGGACGGACAACGCCTATTTATAGTGTACTGGGATACTGTCTACACGCCTCAACGCACGGGTCGGTGTGCGTATCAACAGAGAACCAGTTTTCAGCGGCTGATCAGAGATACACCATTTCAGTATTGAATACAGGGATGCACAGGAAATAATATGTTTACATAGAAGGCACACACAGTATCCGAGTGTACATGTTGCCAGCCGGTACACGTTCCTATAACATACAAGTTAGTATTATTGTTTTATATTCAATTTGAATATTTGAGGCCTACCACATAAAAAACATCTCTATGGAAATTCAACCACCCCACCCCCCTAAGTGGAATGGAATAAGTCAACCGATAGATGGCGCAGTGTCGAGAAGGCTATATAAATGCGTTATACCCTGTCCGTACGCAGTTGCGGTATTCTCAGTACGATATGGCCTGTAAATTGTCAGATGACAAGGTGATAACTAGTAAAATGGGAAAGGTACATACACGTTTTCTTGAACCTAGCTGTGTAAGGCAGTTATGCTTGTCATTTCAGCACACTACTCAGTCGAGATCCATAACTGCTGAAACAGTCATGGTTGCAAAACGTACCCCGTTTTCGTGAGTGTGACAAACTGTCAACGCACATGGATATCGTTATGTCATAAAATGATTGAGACATTGAGAGATATATGTACACTACAGGTGTAAATAAAACAATGATCCGCAGCATCAATACTCCCAGTACTTCAGTCACAGGAACTTGTTATTGCTCAGTAAATGAAAATATACATCCCTATATATATATACACTGATATACATTTGACCAATAACGAGTTCATGTGTGTACAGTATTATTTATGATTACTAAAGTTACTTTGTCTTAAATATATATTGATGCAGGGGTCTGGGGATAGATGTTTATATATTGCAACAAATCAAGTTTGGCCTCAGTTTTTGATATTTCTGGAAGTGAAATATATCTTGGTTGTTGATCCGTGCAATCACATGAAACACAACTATTATTCTGTCAACAAAGTTGACATTTTTACCCATGACTGCGCAACTCATAAAAATATCAACCTTTTTTAGGCCACTCAATGACCTAAACAAGACTATACACAAATATCCTCTATATATTTAGGCTTATCAAACATCAAAAGCATATCCTTAGAATAAATTGTGTAAGAGTTTTGCAGATATGTAGAACATTCAGTGAGTCTCTGCTTCATAGTAATGTGAATGTGGTCTACAGATGGGGTCCATGTCGATTTCCTCCGAGAAGCAGGGGCAACTAGGAGACTTGACCAAGAAGACTCTGCAGGAACTCCGTGAGCTGCTGGACAGACAGGACAAGCTGCTGAAGAAAGAGTAGGTTCACTACAGACTAGGTGGTGGTCAGGTAACCTAAAGTGTTCGCTTGTCACGCCAAAGTGACCTGGGTTCGATTCCTGACATGGGTACAATGTGTGAAGCCCATTTCTGGTGTCCCCCATCGTGATATTGCTGGAATGTTGCTAAAAGAGGCGTAAAACCATACTCACTCACTCACTACAAACTAGGCCCGGGACGAGTCCAAAGTTACTACCCAGGTACACACTGCCGTATTACCTGACCCTACCTGGGCACCTGTTGTAGGTCTCAAGAGATAGGTACAAAATGTCCAATTGGGAATAGTTTGGCTGTAGCCCTGGCAGAATGTGTTTAGATACCGTATAAAGCAGTCTGGTCATGCATACACTGAAGTTGACTGCAGTTTATTCAAACATACAAACGTCAGAAGGAATGCGTTCATAGTCAGTCAGAAGTAACTTGACTTGTGTAACCATGGAGTTCCAGATAATTTTTGTCATTAAACAATATATCATGACTAACCACAAGTCTGGGTAGTCCTGTGGGTACCAGGGTCATACTCAGTACCCACCCGACCCAAGTACCTGAGTAACCAATCCCAGCCCTACTACAGACTTGTCCTAATGAGGTAGATGGTCACATAGTTGCTTGCCACACAGACCCTCGATCGATTTACATTTTCATATACCAGCCTTAAATTGTCTGATGGGATTTAAACCGTGGATAGTCATGTCCGAGGTCACATGACCAAAGTAGTTAACCCCATCATAGTGGATAGTAACAATGTCTCCTTGTCTCCTTAAGGTTGACTCCACGCCATGCGACAGTAACATTAAAAAAATAGTACACTCGGTAACAAACACTACTGTGATGCACATACTTAATATGAAATGAACTTGTAGTTGTGTCCTACTGTCAGTGCTTGGTCAAGTGGTTATAAACCTACTGCCACTTTTGCATTTTGTATTGTACATATCTTTCTATCCTGTAATAACCTCTTGGGAAGTTTTAGTTTTTCGAAGTAAGAGCTCATCCCGGGTGTGAGGTTTAACTTTTTCTAAGTAAGACCTGGTTTGAGGTTTTACTTTTTCCTAGTAAGACCTGGTTTGAGGTTTTACTTTTTCAAAGTAAGACCTGGTTTGAGGTTTTACTTTTTCCTAGTAAGACCTGGTTTGAGGTTTTACTTGTGCTAGTAAGACCTGATGATGTGAGTAGCAGATGGAATTGTTTCAAGCGTCCAATGTTCTAAAATCGAAGACAGGAAGTGAAACCTTTTCATTATGGATGATGGGAATTGAACCTGTAACCTCACATATCGTGTTAAGTTTTGTAATCAACTGTTTTCCCAGTGAGCCACGTGGGCAGGTGGTGAAAGAACGTTCAATTTTAGATGTCATGACTTAGTTTTGTCTATGCTGCAAGTGTTTCTTCTATTGTGGCAGACACAAGTATTAACATACAGTTTTGTTGTATATATGTTTTATCTATTTGAGGTCCTTTAGGTTTGTATGTTATTTTAAGTTGTTAGGAAAGTAGGTTCTTAATTCAATATATATTATGGGCTTCTGGATTAGTTTACTTATAATGTAGAGGGTGGTTGGGTTGGTCTATGTTTGTGTCATTGTTTCTCCTCTTTGTTCTAACCCAAGCCTTGTTTTCATTGGCTTGTTCAAACTGTGCACTTTTCATCCATCTTGCACTTGACAATACACCAATTCAGAAGTCAGTCAACAATTTGGACTCGGACAGATCTGGGATAAATAATTCGATTATTAAGGTTAGTAATCTATAAAATTGCTAGCTAATATCTATGTATTTGTATAATAATATAACTTATGTTATCTAAGTTATGTGGAATGTAATTTCAGTATTATTAACATGCTTATCTTTGGTATGGTGATTGTGTCACCATATTACTAAGTTAATAATTAAATAAGGCTAAGTAAACACTTTAAATGCTTGTCATCCTTCTTCTTCCTGTGTGTGAATGTTTGAGTGAATGCGTTGATTTTTATCATTGTGTAAATACTGAATTTGTATGCAATGTCAATCATTGTATGGTAGTTAGTAGTTAGTTATATTTCCTAAATTGTATTCTGTATGTTACATTTATTCATAGTTGATTCTGTAATTAGGAGCGTGCTGACAGCTACAAAGCTACCACGCCAGGCGGCTGCCTAGAGAGGACAAACACCCCAGTGTCACCCACAGGGTACGCATAATTTACATGTTTGTTGTGTCATGAAGTATATTTTGTAAATAGTGTATCATACCAAATGTATGATCAGGTAATGAATTAATATAGTAGTTTCAACAAAGTGGTAATTGAATTTGTAATGTTCATTGTATGTTGGAACCGTGGACCATATATATATTGTAATCTTATCAGTAATGTCGGGATCGAGTTATCGCCCTTGATCAATCGTTTGTTTACTTCAGGGTAAGGTAATGATTTTATATATCATTGATTATTAAGTTCATGTTGATGTAATGAATATAGACTATGTTTATATTAAATGAAAGGTTGCTTTGTATTGTATTAATATATGTGTGTATGAAACCTGTGTACTACTGTTTTTATAATCTTATTGTTTGTACATTACAGGGTGTCATTGTTATCTACTAATAAGGCAATAAAGACTCACACCCGTAGCCTGTGTTGGACCTTGTATTCGCCAACACAAACCCGGTTACAAAATGGAGCCCCCAGTGAGGACATTTGCCTAAGAAATGTCAGCCAGCCTCTTCGTGGGATAGACAGCTCCCCTTCCATTCTGTGTACAGGCACATGTACTGAGATCTGCCAAGCCATGTGATCTGCCAAGCCATGTGATTCCCTTCACTTTCACGGCATCTGTGACTGACTTCTGTGTATTGACATTTGTGGATACTACGTGGATATAACTTTGTGTATTTTGTAACTTGTACCTTATTCCCGTACACAAAGCATATTTCTGATATCTGGTAATTTGTAAATTACTTCCCTTTGCAATCAATCATGTAATATATTTTACTTCATAGTATCTATTTGTCTTTGCCGGCTTAAGTTTTTCATTATTGTACATATATTTCAATTATCTGCATTTATGTAAGGTTTTCGTAATTGTAATTACATTCAACCTTTCTCTACATTTGTAATTATAGATATTTATCTGGCCAGTAAACCTTGTTATGTAGCATTTCACAACTTGTGAAAACATTTTTTCGGTGATCACCAAGTTTGTATACTTTGGTATTGTGTACATTTGTTTACAGCATGTATCGATAGTTTAGTTTAGTTTAGTTTAGTTTAGTTTAGTTTAGTTTAGTTTAGTTTAGTTTAGTTTAGTTTAGTTTAGTTTAGTTTGACTATTGGCTAAACTGTTTTGTTAGTTTCAATAAAGTTTGAAATATTTGCCTGCCTTAGGTAGACTTGGTTTCCTTAGATTGGTTTAGTTAGTATTTAGTTAGACTTTTAGATTAGTTGTTGAGTTAGTTTCAATAAAGTATAATCTTTAATTATAACCAGGTGAGTGTGTGTGTTTGAATCAGTTCTATTTGCTTCTTTCACCTTTCTACACGTATGCAAATAAACTTGGATAGGTATTAAATAATAATAATAATCAGATTAGAATTAGTTTGGGTTGTTTTTTTTTGACTGCCCTACCACAGACTGACTTAGTTTGAAATCATTTTCCCCATCTGCACTTCTTTTTTTTTTTTCACATTTACATAACAGCATGCCTTGATCTATTCCTTCGTGTTGTTTTGTGGGTCTTATATTCACACCGGGTATTAGTTATCTTAGGTACTTTATTTCATTATGTAGCATTTTAGTATCTACTTTTATTTTTCACTGAGGTTATTTTTTGTTTCTAGGCAATAGTGTTGCAATCCATTTTTTTATATTCCATTGCAGCTGTTTTTCTTTCTGATTGCAGTTGTGACTCTGTGATCATCACTATTAATTTTTAGATTTCAGTTATCAACATCTTTCAAAACTTCTGTGACTTTTTATAGTCGTTGCACATCTTCTTCACAGGCTTTTGTGATCTTTATTTAGATTTTGTAATCCTTCCACTCGACTGCATCATACTCTTACATCATGAATCTTGAAGAAGAGGAGATGAAAAGTTTGTTAACAATATTTACAAAGATGGGACTGTCTCCAAAGGTTGAGAATCCGGATGACTTTAAAGCCTGGATTCAAGGAATGGCACAACAGGAAGGACCTATTGTAAAGACAGAGCCTGATGTCAAAGGCGCCTTCTCAGCCACTAATCCTGAACTTGCTGCTCCACCTTCAACCTCTGGCGTAACATATCACCACTTTCCCAAGATACCATTCTTTAGCGGAGAGACTGGAAAGGACACTCCATATGACTTGTGGAAATATGAAGTTGACTGTCTTCTACAGTCAAAGACTCATTCTCTAGATGTTATACTCCAGGTTATCAGAAAATCTTTGAAGGGAGAAGCCGCACTGGTTGCCATGAAGCTTGGACACACTGCCACAGTAGAGGACCTCTTGTTCAAGATCCATTCTGCTTTTGGAACTTTGAGAAGGAAGGAGACCCTGATGTCACAGTTTTATGGTACTTTCCAAGGAGACAAGGAAGATGTTACAGCATGGGGTTGCCGGCTGGAGAACCTCATGTACCAGATAGCCTCCCAACGTCAGATGAACTTTGAGGAACAGGATGAAATGCTCCGAAGCAAGATGTGGGATGGCCTTAAGCCTGAACTGAAGAGCCTTGCTGCCCACAAGTATGATAACATCTTCAACTTTGATGAGCTTCGACTATGTTTAAGGGAAGTTGAGTTTGACATGAAGCGGGATCAAAGTCACAGCACAGGAAAGAAGACAGCAACCATAAAGATGGCCTCTACCTCTGACTCTTCTTCTGCTGTTGCTACTAAGGAAGAAGTGATGGATCTTAAAGCCATGATGAGGGATATCCAGACAGAGCTAGCTGACCTAAAGGAGCAACGTCAACATTCAGCTCAAGTATTTTTTCAACAGCCTCATCAACCATCACCAGCCTCTCAAGGTACTCCTCAGACTTCCTGGAGGAGGAACAGCAAACATTATGGGAAACGGAATGGACCATCACATCCGACAAGCTCGTTCCAGTCCCAGATGCCATCTGTTATGCCTCAGCAACAGCATTCTTACAGTCAGCCTGCGCCTCCAAGGCCACAAGCGCCATATATGCCCCAGCATATTCCACCACCACAACCCCCTCAAGTTGATGGGTATGGATTGCCGCCAGAACCACAGGAACCCATCTATTGTTACCGCTGTGGATACCCTGGACATATTGCAGTTGGGTGTAGAGTGAGACTGGACCATCTTCGATGCCCTTTAAACTTGGCCAGGCCTATGGGAGGGGGCAACCATTAGGCTTTATTGGGCGCCCCAAGTATAAAGAGATTCCAGACGGACTAGTAGGAGATGCCACAGAAGTTGAGATCAGCATTGAAGGATTTCCTGTTCGTGCTCTGTTGGACACTGGTGCTACAGTCTCTATCATATCTGAGACATTTTACAAGAATAATTTACAGTCTTTGCCCTTGGAACCAATCAGTGATATCTTGGATATTGAGTGTGCCGGAGGGGAACAGCTTCCATATCTTGGATATGTGAGTGTAAGACTCAATATCATTGGTGGAGGAATAAGCAAAACTTCGGATTCATGCCTCATGTTAATTGTTCCTGAAACAAGATACAATGCCAAGGTACCCGCTTTACTTGGAACTAATGTGTTGCAGCATTTCTTGAATGAGTGTAAGTTACAACACGGAGCACGTTTTCTTCAGAAGGCCAATCTCCACACTCCTTGGTACTTAGCCTACAGGACTTTAGCATTACGGGATAAAGAACTGGAGCGACGAGGACACTGCCTTGGATTTGTTCGCAGCACAGAGAACAAGAACCTCATCATTCCACCCAACACCAACATGGTTATCAAAGGACAAGTAACCAAGGGGTTCAATTCACCAGTCATATGTGCTTTACTCCAACCTACCAGCTTTGCTTCATTACCACGGGATTTGGACATAGCACCTACGCTTATATCTTACAACTATGACAGTCGGAACCCAGTGGACGTGCACATCTCTAACATTACAACTAGAACAGTAGTTGTCCCTCCTAGAGCTCTGTTGTGTGAGATTCAGCCTGTATCTATTCCGGAGCTACCCCTGGAGAACAAGGTGACCCAGATGACATCATCAACCAAGTCGATGTTGATGACACTGACCTGACAAGGGAAGAGATACAGATGGGACTTGACATCATCATGAAGTTCACAGACATCTTCTCCAAACATGATGATGACATTGGATGTAGCAACATGGTGCATCATCGGATAGATATTGTTGATGAAGTTCCCTTCAAACAGAGACATCGCCGAATACCACCTGCAATGTATGATGAAGTTCGGAACCATCTTCAAACACTACTCTCAGCTGAAGTAATCAGGAAGTCACACAGTCCTTGGGCATCCAATATTGTACTTGCCAGAAGGAAAGATGGGCGTCTCAGGATGTGTGCAGATTTTCGCCAGCTTAATGACCGAACCATTAAAGATTCCTACGCTCTGCCGAGGATTGAAGACTTACTGGATTGTTTGGGTGGAAACAAGTTCTTCTCAGTCCTTGACATGAAAAGTGGTTATCACCAGGTGGAGATCGAGGAAGCTCATAAAGAAAGAACTGCCTTCACTGTAGGACCTCTAGGATTCTACGAGTACAATCGTATGCCATTTGGACTTACCAACGCCCCAGCCACTTACCAGCGTCTCATGGAACGATGCCTTGAAGGTCTACACCTAAACATCTGTTTGATCTATCTCGATGATTTGATCATATTCTCTAACACGTATGAAGAACATATTGAACGACTCAAACAAGTTTTCCAGCGGATACAAGAATGTGGGCTCAAACTCGCCACCAAGAAGTGCAAGTTCTTCAAAAGAAAAGTTCGGTATGTGGGGTACATTGTTTCCGAACATGGAATTGAAGCTGACCCTGAGAAAATTGACAAAGTGCAACATTGGCCAACTCCTTCCAGCCCGGAACAAGTCAGGAAATTTCTAGGATTCGCTGGCTATTACAGAAAATTCATCAAAGATTTTGCCAAAATTGCCAAACCACTTTCAGAGTTAATGCCAAAGTCAGCTTCAAAGAAGTCAAAGCAACCCAAGGACGTTAACTGGATGTGGGGGGAAGCCCAACAGAGTGCTTTCAACGAACTAAAGCAGCGACTCTCCATGCCACCAATTCTGGGATATGCTGACTGTACCAAGCCCTTTGAACTACATACAGATGCCAGTGGTCATGGATTAGGTGCAGTACTCTACCAGGTGCAGGACGGACAGCCACGAGTAATAGCTTATGCAAGTAGAGGACTCAGTCGTTCTGAGAGAAATTATTCAGCACACAAGCTGGAGTTTTTGTGTCTGAAATGGTCTATCTCAGAGAAGTTTCATGACTACTTGTGGGGTCATGAATTTGTGGTTATTACCGACAACAATCCATTGACCTATGTGCTGACTAGTGCTCGATTAGACGCCACAGGTCATAGATGGCTTGCTGCTCTCTCCAGCTATAATTTCAGCATTAAGTACCGCCCTGGGAAATCCAACAGTGATGCCGATGCTCTGTCTAGGTTACCAGTCAAGGAAGACCATGATGACATGGATGAGATTGCCAAAGATTATGTCACAGCTATTTGTCATTCAACCCATGTGACGAATCTTGTGGAAAGTTTGTGCCTCTCTGCAGATGTGGTTGAAGATGAAGACCTTGACTTAACTGAGGACAGATGTGAACAGAATGCCAGAGACTGGAGACGATCACAGGCTAAAGATCAAGCCCTAGTAGAAATTATCACACACTTGAGGAATGGAGCAAGACCAGACCGGATGAACTACCTGAAGGATCCTGAAATGACATCATTGATGAAGAACTACAGTCAGTTCAAACTCAAGCGAGGAGTTCTATACAGAGTCGCCAGTGTTAATGGCGTAGACCGGGAACAGCTAGTTCTACCCTCTAGATTAAGAACTGCGGCAATGAGGAGCCTCCATGACAATGTTGGACACCCTGGAAGAGACAGGACTGTATCACTTCTACAGGACAGATTCTACTGGCCAGGGATAACACGTGACGTGGAGACCCACCTAAAACATTGTGAGTGTTGTCTAAGGAGGAAAACTCCAACCAACATCAAAGCTCCCTTAATCAGCATCAAGACTTCCGAGCCACTAGAGCTTGTATGCATGGACTTCCTTTCCCTAGAACCCTCTAAAGGAGGAATAGAACATGTCTTGGTTGTGACAGATCACTTCACTCGCTACGCCCAAGCCTACCCAACCAAGAACATGTCAGCAAAAACAACAGCAGAAGCCTTTTTCAGCAATTTTGTCATCCATTATGGTCTTCCAAAAAGAATCCATTCTGATCAAGGAGCCAATTTTACAGGGAAGGTGATGCAGGAATTGTGCCAGCTTCTGAAAATAGAAAAGTCCCGGACAACGCCATACCATCCAATGGGCAATGGGATGACAGAACGGTTCAACCGTACTCTTTGTAACATGCTTGGTACTTTGGAACCAAATGAAAAGAAGAACTGGAAGGCGCATGTAGGTCCACTCGTCCACGCCTACAACTGTACCCGCCATGAGACAACATCTGTAGCTCCCTTCTTCTTGATGTTTGGAAGACATCCAAGACTTCCAGTTGATCTTATTTTTGGATTGGACATGGAAATTCAGGAAAGCAAGTCCATAACAGAGTACACCAAATCCTTGAAGGACCGTTTGAGGCAAGCCTATGACATAGCTTCAACAGCATCTCAGAAATCTCAGGCCAAGCAGAAGACTTACTATGACCAGAGGGCCAGAGCTGCAATGTTGGAACCAGGAGATCGAGTCCTTGTAAAGATTGTGGCCTTTGATGGAAGACATAAATTAGCTAACAGATGGGAGGAAGATGTATATGTTGTGCTGCGCCATCCAAATCCATCGATACCTGTCTTTGAGGTTGGAAAGGAGAATGGAGAGGGAAGAAATAGAGTGCTACATCGTAACCTCTTGCTGCCAGTTAGTTCTTTGCCAGTCAAAATGCCACCAGCCATTAAACCCAGACGACGACAAGTACCAATACCTGTGCCTAAGCCGAGGAAGAACACGGCTGTCGAAACAAGTGAAGATCTGTCTGATGAGGAATCAGCAATTGGCTATACCCGTTCTTCAGAACCTTCAGTTCCTACTGAGATCACAGTGGAAAGGCCAACTGAAGGAGAGTCAGAAGAAGCTTTAGAAGGAGATGAGACTCCTACTGAAGAAGGGAGGGAAGAAGAAGAGCCAACTGATAATACTGTTCACCAGAACGAGCAAGATGAAGACAGATCTGAGACTGGGGCCACAGGTAGTGAGGATGACAGAGAAGAACAACCCAATTTGCAGCCAGAAGATGCTTCTCAGCCACGGCGGTCAACCAGAACCAGGTCACAGCCCAACTGGATGAGAAGTGGAGAATATGTTCTTTCTGCCATAAGTGATCCTGGAAATCCAGAATGGCTTGCCAGAGCCAACTATCTCAATTCTCTGCTAGCTGATGATAGATTCCGGGATCAGCGACACCGAGTGGCTGATACTCTTCTCGATCTTGTCAGCGGCAAGGTCAAATGATGAGACATCATTTTCCTGTGGGGGGAAGTATGTGGCAGACACAAGTATTAACATACAGTTTTGTTGTATATATGTTTTATCTATTTGAGGTCCTTTAGGTTTGTATGTTATTTTAAGTTGTTAGGAAAGTAGGTTCTTAATTCAATATATATTATGGGCTTCTGGATTAGTTTACTTATAATGTAGAGGGTGGTTGGGTTGGTCTATGTTTGTGTCATTGTTTCTCCTCTTTGTTCTAACCCAAGCCTTGTTTTCATTGGCTTGTTCAAACTGTGCACTTTTCATCCATCTTGCACTTGACAATACACCAATTCAGAAGTCAGTCAACAATTTGGACTCGGACAGATCTGGGATAAATAATTCGATTATTAAGGTTAGTAATCTATAAAATTGCTAGCTAATATCTATGTATTTGTATAATAATATAACTTATGTTATCTAAGTTATGTGGAATGTAATTTCAGTATTATTAACATGCTTATCTTTGGTATGGTGATTGTGTCACCATATTACTAAGTTAATAATTAAATAAGGCTAAGTAAACACTATAAATGCTTGTCATCCTTCTTCTTCCTGTGTGTGAATGTTTGAGTGAATGCGTTGATTTTTATCATTGTGTAAATACTGAATTTGTATGCAATGTCAATCATTGTATGGTAGTTAGTAGTTAGTTATATTTCCTAAATTGTATTCTGTATGTTACATTTATTCATAGTTGATTCTGTAATTAGGAGCGTGCTGACAGCTACAAAGCTACCACGCCAGGCGGCTGCCTAGAGAGGACAAACACCCCAGTGTCACCCACAGGGTACGCATAATTTACATGTTTGTTGTGTCATGAAGTATATTTTGTAAATAGTGTATCATACCAAATGTATGATCAGGTAATGAATTAATATAGTAGTTTCAACAAAGTGGTAATTGAATTTGTAATGTTCATTGTATGTTGGAACCGTGGACCATATATATATTGTAATCTTATCAGTAATGTCGGGATCGAGTTATCGCCCTTGATCAATCGTTTGTTTACTTCAGGGTAAGGTAATGATTTTATATATCATTGATTATTAAGTTCATGTTGATGTAATGAATATAGACTATGTTTATATTAAATGAAAGGTTGCTTTGTATTGTATTAATATATGTGTGTATGAAACCTGTGTACTACTGTTTTTATAATCTTATTGTTTGTACATTACAGGGTGTCATTGTTATCTACTAATAAGGCAATAAAGACTCACACCCGTAGCCTGTGTTGGACCTTGTATTCGCCAACACAAACCCGGTTACACTATCTCACACGCTTTGATTGCATTCCTTTTATACCGCGACACACTGTATTGTTTCACTATTAGATATCTTGATGTTTTCTCGTATTTTTCTGTTATTTCTAACATTTGGACGGTTTATAAGTGAGATAAAGCACTCCACCTCAGTTATGGTCGAGGAAGTAAGACCTCGCCAGTCATTTTATCGGCAATGTAAAACCGAGGAGCAAATACCCTCTTACCTCGGTCTTACTTCCTTGACCATAGGGGGCATGGGTGGCCCAGTCGTCTAAGGCGCCACGATTTGCTGTGCAGAGTTGCGTCCCTTGGGCACGCCAGAATCCCGGTTCACCCCGATTATGTTTCTAGGTTTGTCAGCACCATACCCGAAGTGGTAAACGTCTGAGACCTGCATCACTTCGGGCTTTCCTCCCACATTAAGCTGACACGCCGTCATATAACTGGAACACTGTTAAAAGCGGCGTTAAACCCAACTCACTCACTCACTCACTCCTTGACCATAACCTAGGAGGAGTGCTTTATCCTTCACATAGGGTGTCTGCCTGGTGAGTGGATGGTCGTGTTAAAGGTGATTTTAGCATTAGGGGCTAAAACAAGCAATAGTTGTTTCGGAGTCGGTATACTGTGTCTGAGAGGGGTGTTCATGGTGTGTCAGTGGGCTAACGCTATATACCAGCATTAGTCCAGACTATCACAAGAAGGCACACACTCCCACATACATCTATCATGTATATGTCATTTAAGTGCAATAATCATGAAGGCAACATAAAACCCCATTTCACTTCACCTAATGCCACACAAAAGAACAAAGATTATCAATTTATGTGTATTGTTGTTGAATTGTATGGGATTAGTATTCGACAGCTGCACTGAGCTATGCATGAATAAAGATGACTGGGCAATATGCAAAATACTGTGTTTCATAATGAATTAGTTTCCCACAGAGTAAACTTATCATATTCAACAGGTGGGGACATTATTACCATTTTAATGAGGCCAAGCTGTTACCGGCTGTACTTTTAGATTGTCATTGTCTTAAAAAATTGACATGGATTGTACTTGTTGGAAATGGTTCATTATATCACTAGTGTTCTTAGTGTGTGATGTCTATGCTATCACTAGTGGTCTTAGTGTGCGATGTCTTTGCTAGCACTAGTGTTCTTAGTGTGCGATGTCTATGCTATCACTAGTGTTCTTAGTGTGCGATGTCTATGCTGTCACTAGTGTTCTTAGTGTGCGATGTCTATGCTGTCACTAGTGTTCTTAGTGTGCGATGTCTATGCTATCACTAGTGTTCTTAGTGTGCGATGTCTAAGCTGTCACTAGTGGTCTTAGTGTGCGATGTCTATACTATCGCTAGTGTTCTCAGTGTGCGATGTCTATGCTATCACTAGTGTTCTTAGTGTGCGATGTGTATGCTGTCACTAGTGTTCTTAGTGTGCGATGTCTATGCTATCACTAGTGTTCTTAGTGTGAGATGTCTATGCTATCACTAGTGTTCTTAGTGTGCGAAGTCTATGCTATCACTAGTGTTCTTAGTGTGCGATGTCTATACTATCACTAGTGTTCTTAGTGTGTGATGTCTGTACTGTCACTAGTGTTCTTAGTGTGAGATGTCTATGCTATCACTAGTGTTCTTAATGTGCGATGTCTATGCTATCACCACCCTTGAAGATCAGGGGTAGAATAGGTCTTCAGCAACCCATGCTTGCTGTAAAAGGTGACTGTGCATGTCATGAGAGGCGACCAACGGGATCGGGTGATAAGGCTTGCTGACTTGGTTGATGCATGTCATCATATCCCAATTGTGTGGATTGATGCTCATTATGTCAATCACTGGATTGTCTAGTCCAGACTCGATTATTTACAGACCACTGCCATATAGCTGGAAAATTGCTGAGTGCAGGGTTTAACAACAAACAAAATAAATATGCTATTACATTATTCCAAGGCTATTTAAAATTCATATAGACTTGTCAAAATTCTGTTGGATACTTAGATTGTCTGGTAGATAATTTTGTCACTACATTTTACCTATGCGTTTTGTCTTGTAAGAACCAAACATTCAATTGTTGAAATATTCCTAACAATTTGTAAAGGTCTTGCTTAATTATTAAGTTCTGCAGCTACTGTGGGCCATTAAGGGCCCTTATCCTACATGGTCCTTTAGTCAAGTCAGTTAGGAGATTAGGCAAAACAAAATTTGATAAATAAACACTATCAACAAGGTGAATCTTTGATAAACACTGTCAATATGGTGGATATTCCAGAAACAAACACTGTCAACATGGTGGATATTTCATAAACAAACACTGTGTACATGGTGGATATTTCATAAACAAACACTGTGGACATGGTGGATATTTCATAAACAAACACTGTGGACATGGTGAATATTTGATAAAGAGACATGTTGGAATAAATATTTGATAAACACTGACAACAAGGTGAATCTTTGATAAACACTGTCAACATGGTGGATATTTCATAAACACTCTCGACATGTTAAATGTTTGATAAACAAAATCTCTGTCGACATGGTAGATATTTTATAATCAGACATATTTGATAAATACTGTCAATCTTGTGAATATTTGATAAACAAACATTGTTAGCATGGTGAGTATTTGATAAACAGACAGTGTCGACAAAGTGAATATTTGATATTTGTTTTGCTGTTAATAGATCTGTTCGTTTAAAAAAAAGAAGATAACACTTGTTTTGGTGGTCACATTGATATCCATATATTTTTTGATTCCATACAATTCCACTTCTGTCAATCTCACAAATGTTATGTTTGATCTACAGGAAATTTCTTCAAACATTACCAGATAAGGGGGTCAAAGTGAAAACCTTTGCCCAAACCTTGAGGACACTGATTGCCCAGAGAGAGGAAATAGAACGGGCAGCTGCAACTCTAGAGGGTGTGACAATATCAGGTCATGGAGACAAACAGACTTCCAACAGGCATAGAGACAAGAAAGTCGCAGCTATTGAGACAAATCAAGAGAGGAAAGTGCAGCAAGAGGGAGACAACTCCAAAAATGAAGCTGACGTGTGTGAAGCTTCTGTCACAAGAAATGACACTGAACTAAGGGGAGATAAGTCCACTGCTATGGATGTGAGTGACAGACTGAGTGAGGTTTTGGAGCGGGTGACTATATCTACTGATCATCGTGTATCTGTGGGAGAGGATGCGTACATCAACAGTTACGAACGTGTTATCAAAAAGGCGAATGAACAAACACCACTAAAGAAAGCATTCAAACCAAACAGGTAAATTATACTCATTCAGATACTGAATTATGCCTTAGATGTAATGTTATGTAAACTATGCTGGTTCAGATACTGAATTATGCCTTAGATGTAACGTTATGTAAACTATGCTGGTACAGATACTGAACTATACCTTAGATGTAATGTTATGTAAACTATGTCGGTTCAGATACTGAATTATACCTCAGATGTAAAGTTATGTAAACTCTGCTGGTTCAGATACTGAATTATACCTCATGTAAAGTTATTTAAATTAGGCTGGTTCAGATACTGAACTATACCTCAGATGTAAAGTTATGTAAGGATGTATATCATTTTTGTATTGTGTCTTTTATTAGCGGCAGAAACTAACATTTTTAGTCCACTAGTTTGTTGTTTTCTTTGTTAGAGATATATTTGTTTTATTATCTTCAAGTTTTATATTTTTCAAAGATATGGTTCAGGCATATAGGAATTACAAGTTACAGATTCTGTGTTTAAGCATATCATGGATTATTGATGTACACGCAGACACCCTTTAGTTATTGTTTCATACAGTTCTGTACAAATAGTACAGACAAATTACTTCATCAGGAAATTTGTATCAGTCTTTGTTGAGTTAATTCAACCACCCTTACTTTCAGCACTTTAAAAATATCAAAGGTGGAAGACCTACCAGAAGTATATAAGTTCAGATCAAAACAGGACAGGTTGAAGGTCAGTCAAAGCTCAGGAGTGTCAGTTGGATCTGAGAGGAAGGCAGAGAGTTCAGTGGACTCTTTAAAGTCCAGGCCCAAGGACGAGTCCGCGGTGGTACTGCCGGACTACAAGCATGACAAGAGTGTGCTGATATCTGTGGAGGAGTCACTGCAGCTCGTCTCACAGCAGAGGAAGCAGCATGGGGTAGGGCTACACAATGTTCTGACGAGGCAGCCGCCTTGCAGGATTCTCACAGTATTTTATAGATTGACGCAGGATATTTTCTCTCAGTAGGGACAAGGGGCCCATAAATGTTGATTAATGTTTATTTCATTATAATTATAGGGGTCACTTACTGTCTCAAAAACAGTTTACATCAGGGGACAGCTGCTTCTGTTATTGAATGTAAACGTCGGGGCATACTACTGATGTTTATGTAGGGGGGCATACTACTGATGTTTATGTGGGGGGCATACTACTGATGTTTATGTAGGAGGGCATACTACTGATGTCTGTGTAGGGGGGCATACCACTGATGTCTATGTAGGGGGGCATTCTACTGATGTTTATGTAGGAGGGCATACTACTGATGTTTATGTAGGGGGGCATACTACTGATGTTTATGTGGGGGCATACTACTGATGTCTATGTAGGGGGGCATACTACTGATGTCTATGTAGAGGGGCATACTACTGATTTTTATGTGGGGGGCATACTACTGATGTCTATGTAGGGGGGCATACTACTGATGTCTATGTAGGGGGGCATACTACTGATGTTTATGTAGGGGGGCATACTACTGATGTTTATGTAGGGGGGCATACTACTGATGTTTATGTAGGGGGCATACAACTGATGTTTCATATATGGCTGAAATAATGCCGATGCAAACTTAAATTTTAGCTCACTCACTTGACCTCACTACTGATGTTTGTGTACAATGATGGTCCTTCTGTCTCCAAGGAGCTGATGATGAGACAGGCGACGGAGAGGCTGGCGGGCCGCCTCCACATCCGGCTGGACGACTACAACCCAGAGGGAACCAACATGGAGTATCCTTTCTATGTGCTCAAATTCCAGGTCACAATAGGTCCCCAGCAATGTATGCTGGTCGTAGGATGTGGCTTAAAGGGGTGAGCGGTTTATTGTGTGTCTTCGTACCCAGATGGCGTGGATCATTGTTCACAATATCTGGACCTGGATCACATGCACCACACACACAATAAGGGATAAGGTTCTATATTTTAGATGAAAGTAGTTTATTTCAGCTTGAAACTATCTTTGAGCAATTAATGCTTCCTTAACCCTACCAGTTACCGTGTGCCAGCCTCTGACACAGACAGTGATGATGAACCGGAAATGGGTGGTTACAATGACGATTGATCGACATGGACCTAAACATGGTCTGAAAGATACCTGGACTGAAAGATACCTGGACTGAAAGATACCTGGACTGAAAGATACCTGGACAAGGTCCTCTTCACTCTACTGTGACGAGGCATGTGATTGACAATGTGGTGTCTGATTTATGTATCTTGCTCTGAAACGACATGTTTGACTTGGGTTTGGACGACACGAGACAAATAAAGGTGAGCGTATCCTGACCCAGGACATCACAGCTTGATTGTTACAAGTGCTACTCTAAATATGCTACTGTACTATTTCTTGAAAATAAATACAGCAGAGTGTTGTTGTGTTGTTGATGTTGTTTTGTTGTTGATTTGACACTAGAATCCTGTGGTATGGATTAATATGACACTAGAATCCCATGGTATGGATTGATTTGACACTACAATACTGTCGTATGGATAAATTTGACACTACAATCCTGTGGTATGGATTAATATGACACTACAATCCTGTGATATGGATTGATTTGACACTACAATCCTGTGGTATGGATTAATATGACATTACAATCCTGTGGTATGTATTAATATGACACTACAATCCTGTGGTATGGATTGATTTGACACTACAATCCCATGGTATGGATTGATTTGACACTACAATCCTGTGGTATGGATTAATATGACACTACAATCCCATGGTATGGATTGATTTGACACTACAATACTGTGGTATAGATAAATTTGACACTACAATCCTGTGGTATGGATTGATTTGACACTACAATCATGTGGTATGGATTGATTTGACACTACAATTCTGTGGTATGGATTGATTTGACACTACAATCCTGTGGTATGGATTAATATGACACTATAATCCTGGGTATGGATTGATTTGACACTACAATCATGTGGTATAGATAAATATGACACTAGAATCCCATGGTATGGATTGATTTGACACTACAATTCTGTGGTATGGATTGATTCGACTCTACAATCCTGTGGCATGGGTTGATTTGACACTGCACAATAATGTGGGATGTTTGATTTCCTTCTACTATGGGACATTTGTTGACAAGCCAAGGCGTCTTGTGTACACAGTTGGCATATAGTGATACAATTCCCACTGAGGTGTTTGCTGATGGGGCTTCCCAACTGAGTGAGTGAATGAGGATATATTTCCGCTTCTTGTACAAATGTTGAATCACTGGGAGAGGCTGCAGAAACTGTTAGTGAACTGACCAATGAAGGTGTGGTATGGGTATGGTGAACCCCTGCGCAGGCGAATAATCTCCTACCCATACATTCATGTTTGCAACCTGGACAAGTTATTTGAAACAGACATAAAATATTCATCCATTCAAATTCTGACACCAGCTCCTAACATTCAGGAGTTTTGCACGGACATATGACCCCCCACATGCTAGATTCTGTATGCGCATCACCGCACGCCAGCGAAACAAGACAAAAGGAGAACATATTCAACATGATGACATATTTTATGTAAATACAGTGTTGTTAATGTATGCGAGATACACTGATTGAGATATTACATCAATAAAGCGCTATTTGAATTAATACAATATACAATATCGCAGATAGGAATAGAAAGCCACACTGGTATGCTCCCGCTTGCTCATTCCTCTTGTCTTTGTGTGCAGGAAACGTTTTCTTTAGAAACATTGTGTCACAATAGCAAGGGGATATTAACTATAACAGCGATGCTCCGTGAAATATGCTTTTCCCATATGCTAGCTCCAGGTGCCGAACTGCCTATTGTGGGCGAGTAAGACCCACGTATTTATAAGTAATACCCATTTCGTAAATCATAAAATGTTGAAATACAAACATGCACAAAACGAGATATGATTGTGAGTCTATATTATATATGGCATTGGACAAACCTGTTACATTACTGCACAGTTCTGGTATAGTTTAGAAACGTTTCACCTTTTTGAACATTTAGCCACATGGAACAAAAATAAATAAACTAAACTATTGATTTCAAATGACAACAATGAAATCAAACAAAACAATTCATTATGATAAAAACCAGAAAACTGTCGCAAAATAATTATTACTTTCATAATATATTTTGAAATAAAAACATGTTACAATATACTTGACGTGTTTGTTTAAAAAAATCGCTGTAATTATTATCGATTTTACCTTAATAGATATGCTACTGGTATATGTGTGTTTTAAGACAAACGCTGTTATTCACTTTCTAATACATCGATTAGATAACACATCGCCTAGTTGTTGGTGTTAAAGTTTCGCCAGTATAAGTCTGAGCTGCTGCTGTCTTCCGAGAAGGCAGCTTCAACTTCAGCATCGATCTCCCCACAGTCCTCATGCCAGGGACTCCCGGGTGGTGTGATCGGGGGGTCGTACCTGGTGGACTCTTCTACTATGAAACATAATGATGACACCTGGTCGTTCATCAGATCCGCACGTGACGTGTCAGATCTCGGTGAGGAGTCATGAATTTTCTCATTGATCAAGTTGATGCTGAAAAATAAAGAAATATGAAATCTTTACAGTGTTTTCGTTTGGTTGTATTTTTTTGCGTCATGTAGAATCTAATTCTTTATTGAAGTCCTTAACACATACATCATGGGCCCCTGCTATAGAAATAAAATATTTACATGGTTTTGGACGGCTTAGAAATGTTTTTTAGTTATATCACAGCACGTCAACGTAACGTGAGAGTACTGCCAAAAATGAAAGAGATCACAGATACGTATAGTGCTGACAAACCAAAGATCACACTTTAAAATAGAAATAGCAACACAAATTACAAACAAAGACACAATCTCCGTACAGGTCCTGGCGCGTGGCAAATCCGCCAGCCCAAGGAACTACTTCGCTATATTAGGCCTAGCAAAGAAAACCAGAAGACAGCTACTGGTCTATGGACTGTTATATGCTTTAGATATCAATAGCCGTACAAATTAATTACAAACAGTAAATAACATAGGCCGTAACAAACTGTCAAGCACTGGGTAATGTGCTGTGATTTAGAAAATTATTTTATCCAAACCTCAAATTATCTATTGTGTGCTCTGGTGGTCGTACATTTCTTGATGTTTCACAGATGGTGGACTGAAAACGCACCAGGCATAAACTCTCATTAACAGAGACTCGTGTTGGATATAGTTGTTTTGTATTTGAAAAGAAAGCGTTTACAAATTACAGAAATGTCACCTTCCATCTGATGAGGCTGGCGAGTGGTCATCGTTAAGCTTGTTGTTGGAGGACCTGTTGTCAGACATGACTTCAAAGTCTGACCAGGGTGACTTCTCCACCTGGTTCTCCTCTGGTGAGCTGCCATAAACGCTCTCAGTAGAGGCGATGCGGGGGAGGCCAAGTGGATCGTCATCAATCCTGTCAACGCATCTTGTAAGCCCCACAGCCCCGTCGAGGCTGCGTGACAGCAAACCGAGACTTGATTCGTTTTTCTTTGCAGGGGAGGACGGGGCAGACGACACAAGTTCTCCTCTCTTCCTTTTCCGGCCGCAACCAGCAGCTCTCAACTTTTCATAGAGCTGATCAGGGGCTATTGTATGACACTTTCGCCATCGAGGGTTCCCGCTAGTGGTGGTGATCTTGGTTGTGACGGTCACCCTGTTTTCATCGTGGGTACTGAGAACGCCGTTGCAGTTGCAGTTCTTCTGTAACTGTCTTATCGTGTACGCCCTGACGGTTGACTTGTGAAGCCACACACGGGAATCTTTCTTGAAGCGCCTTCCATTCTTGCCAATGACTGAGAAGACTTGGTCATACGTGAGCTCGCCATCGTCACCGTATTTCTTCTGTGATCGTCTGTTCCTGTTCTTGTGGAGCCAGAACCGGGAGTCCTTTTTGAACTCTTTCTGTGGTGGCGCAGGACAATGAGCAGCTCGTTTATAAAGCTGATCACATCTCTGGCAGAATTCCTCGAATGCCTCAGACATGACCTCTTCACAGTCCTCCTCAATATCGGTGTCTGGGATGGTGCCGTCCATCAGGTCACAGCTCTGGGGTGTGGAGTAGACAGAGTAGATAAACCTACCCCATCACAACACATTCACTGGGTTGAACACTATACCACAATGGGGTGACGTCACAGAAGTGAAGCATGACAATACACGACACAATGACGTCACATCATTATGAGTATTGTGACGTCAAACACTTTTTTACGGCAACAGGCAAGTGAATGACCGTCTCACCGTGGTCAGTTTTACTCCAGCGGCCTGAACACAACCAGGCCTGGTCCAGGCAAGCCAGTGGTGTTATAGAAGCAACGATAAACGCAAACGGGGGAGACACAGCCAGCCAGATTTCACATTGTAAGCACCCGGTACACCACGTTTTTTTGTTGTCGCGTGTGGGCACTGGGGTCATAGCCTGCAGTTTTGAATCCCCACCAATCAACCAGACTATATGAAGACGAAGATCAGAGGAAGTCTCGCGCTCATACATGTGGGAATATTTTCTTGACAAGTAGTTACAAAGCAACAAATCATAACCAGCCTAGGCTAATCTGGGACTCGAACCCTTGATCATGGTATTCCGGCACGACAAAGGGACACAACTCTGCACAGAAAATGAATGCGGTGCCTTTGACAACTGGGCCCCCTTGCTTCCCGAACAGATTCAATCTAATTATTTTGGTAGTTTGTTTAACGCCGCTCTCAGCAATATTGCAGCTATAAGACGGCAGTCTGTTAATAATCGAATCTGGACCAGACAGTCCAGTGATTGACATCTGCTGAAGAGTCAATCTAATTAAATCAGATTTTAGCGCTGGTCACCGGTGCACAATGTTTAGCCGTAGCGAGAACTAAGATCAGTGTTTACTGAAATTAGAACAGATTTAGAATATCCGAGAACATCAACTAAATGAGCACACTCATACTTAGATAGACTCTTCTTTGTCAATTTTTCAAAAATGGAAGCAAACACCATCTGAAGTTTACTGAGAAAACAATATGCGAAATGTTGGAGTTCATCATTGATAACATCTATGTAGATATCTAGACTTCGGGGGTAAGACATTTAGACAGGAAGTAGGCACCCGCATAGGCACAACTTGTGATCCCCTTCTTGCTGATCTGTTTCTTTATGCATATGAATCGGGATTTCTGCTCAGATTTGCAAATTCAAAACAATATAATTTGGCCATGAAGTTGAACTTAAGCTTCAGGTAATATCGATGATCGGATATCGTTCATTAATCATCAAAATGCCAATTCCTTTTCACTGATTTACCCACCCAAAAGTAGAAATAAAGGAGACCAGTGAGACCGCCTCATACATATTTAGATATCAGCATGTGTGTCATACAGATTTTACGAAACGAGTATCAGAATTCTTGTTTTCCCCGAGCCAGAGAGAAGGTAATACAGGAATTCTGACACTCGTTTCGCAAAATCAGTATGACACACATGTAAGTGTAATAATTTCTTTATTACCCATTGTTTCTTAATTCCTTTGAGCTCCCCTTTGGAAAAATGCACTGATCACCACCGAAAATCACAATGACTTCAACAATCCTCAGCTATGACGTCAATTCATGCGTGGCGTAATTCCAACCTTATGCACAGTAAAATTCGAATGACCTTAACAATGTCGTCCGGATTACGGAATCAATACGCTGGTGCATGAGAAGTGATATTTGCACTAGAGCACATACAGAGAATCTCACCCGAGTGTCTTTTTATATCAAGCCAAGCCTCAGAGTTTTTCCACTTTTATCAACTCGTGTTGATATTTTTTTATATTAAAAGACGTGAGGGTGTGATTTGATTTATCATCCAACATCATTCTTCCAACTTTTTTCAGTTTGCAATCTCGTGAAAATCAGATCCTAGTTCTCGCTACAGCTAAACAAAGATCTGAGGACATCCCATTACGAGTCACGTCAGACCCACCTTGCGCGAACTACGACTACGCTTCGAAACATATTTTGACAAGTTCTCGATTACAAATTTGAAACCTGAACAAAAGAACATCCTGGAATGGCTAATAGATGGTCTAGATTGTATGGATTCAGATGTAACTATCGTTCGGAGTTAAAGGTTTCGAGTTGCATGATTAGAAATCACATAATGATAGTCACTTTCATAATCTGGTAAGCGATGCTCTGATTGGCTGGATGAAAGGTCGTTCTGACGTGACCCCTGATGGGATGTCATCAGATCTTTGTTTAGCGGTAGCGAGAATTGAGGTCTGATTTTCATGAGATTGTTCAGTTTGTAAACAGTTATAGGCAGTGCCAAGTGTAAAAAGAACTGCTAAAAGCTTCAGTAGCAGAGCCATTAGTGATGTCACTTGATTGTGACGGCATGGTAACCAATGACGTCACAATGGTCTGCAAAGCATTGTGATGCAATTTCATTACAGCGATATCTACAATGTAGATCTCACCCGAGTGATATCTCCTATGGGAGCCAGTTTGGGATGATAAATAATTTTTATTAAGTCGGTTATTTCTAGCCCTGTTATGGTAAAAATTAGACCTACGAATAAAGATTATGAGTGACAAAACACTCTCCACAAGACTACAATCGAACATGCTCTTTTGAGGTACAATCGAGGTACAATCGAGCATGCTCTATCGAGGTACAATCAAGTATAATATTTCTACCAAGATTTCAAAGAGCCTCATACCGACTCTTGCTCAGAAGTTGTTCGACCAAGGGTTACAACATTCAAAGCCTCAGAAAACCATTTTTTTCTCTCCAAATTTCCAAATTTGATCAAATCTGTTACAAAAATGATGTCTGATGCAATTCCCTTTTTTGACCTGTACCATATGTTCCTGTTGTTTTCTATTCTGGTGACAGTTGATATTTGCATGTGTGACGGATGCCACCTGTGGGTCAGGATACGATCACCTTTTCGCATCAAACACCTGGCATCATTACTATGTGATAATATAAGGGTAACGCTCTTTTTCAGGGCATTATCATTTGCAGAAGCCCGAGGTTTTTCATTAACTGCCCGACGAAGGAGGGCAGTTGAAAAGACCGAGGGCTTCTGCAAATGATAATGCCCTGAAAAAGAGCGTTACCGTTATTATAGCTAAAATGGATGGAATTTGTTATCAAATAAAAAGAAACAACAATATCGGTTTTGAAACATTTACTGCAATCAACACGAATGTCACTGACCACATTTTACAAATATGGAAACGTCATAAAACAAACCAGATGACGTCACTATAATGCGTGACGTCATTTTCTCAACCCTATGACGTCACCTAACAACGGGCGTGATAATGGCCCGTCGTCAAGTAATATGAGGGCATTATCAAGTTACAGTGGCCCGCTCATTTCTGATAACGTGCGGGCGGTTTAATGATAATTCTATCCATTTTAGCTATAATGATTGATAAACACATACTCATGACATAGTCGGAGTCGTACAATCAACTCTGCTTTCGGAAGGTAGTTCTTAATGGATATTGAAAGGGTTTTGTCGCCTTTATTTCCAACTTGAGCTTTCGCCTGCTGGTAATTATTCCCTCATGGTACCATGCCACCGAGTCTACTTAACCCCACAACGTAATATCAACATTTGTTCTGAACAGAAATCTATCAAATCGGGTACAACAGAGCAAAAGATTTCACACAGATTTAATATAAAATAATATCAACAACATATGGACTGAACTATGTGAAAACCTGATATTGTCCTCACTGAAATTTTTATTTGAATTTTGAAGACTGAACTCTCTGAATGGATTTGTTTGATGTTGTAGACAAGTCACGAGTGTGGAGTTAATTAACTTGGTCCAGGATTTCTGAATGTGGTGACCCTAAGATTGACCTATATATTATTCTACTTATGTAAAGGATCAGTTATTGATAACTTAATTGACCCTGGATGAAAGCGAATTCTTCTCTGCTTACATCTTGCACTGAAGTTGTTCTGACTGAATGGTGATTGTGGGCCTTTTTCCAGAGAGAAAGAGAGACGTTTGTGGTAAAAAGGCAGACAATTTCTGAATTTTCATCAGATCATCGGATTCGTGTAATAGAGTGGTATGTTCAAATAACTCTTGCACACTTTAATGGCACTTTGTCATGTGATTATCAAATTATAAATCAAATTATAAATCAAATTTCTAAAACAGTGTAATAAACAGACCATAATGCAAAAACTATTCCCCTCACCACTGGTCTATTAAATATTCGGGCAGATATTTATCAAAAATTAAAACGTCCAAACAGGTCATGATCATCAACACATAAATTTACATTTATATTCGAAAATGAATTTTTTTTTTCAACAAGTAATTGCATTATCACGCTTGTGAGTGTAGTTATTCCATATGACTGTCCTCGGGTCTAATTAATTTCGCCAGCTCGGCCCCCAATTTCTGCAAGACTGCTGATGTGTTGAGCAATATTCACTCACTCACTCTGAACCTGATCAATACCTGTATTACTCAGTTCTGTTTTTCATTTCCTGTGAACATCTGCTACAGGGTAGCTGCCTGCTTCATTTACACATGAGAGAACTTCATGCTCCAGGAATCTTTCATAAAACCCACAAACATACAGTTATTTCAGCAAATTAAAGTAATATATATGTAAATTTGCATGGGAAACTGAAATAAAATGTAATATAAACAATATTAGATCTGTTTATTTGAAAGGGGACAACATGGAGGCTGACATGTTTGATCCTCCTAAAGGAATGTATTGCCTGTGTCTAGCAAGCCTTGCATTTTGCCATTGTTGTTTATGATATACAGATGTATAAAACTGTTCAATCCTTTTCTAGTGCTCTATGCCCTTTATTTAGTAAACGGAAACCATTGTTAATCGGGAGATGTCATAGCCCTGATTAATAGGTCAATGTATACCAGGTATATGTATCTCATCACTATGCTTGTCGTAAGAGGCAACAAACGGGATTGGGTGGTCAGGCTCGCTGACTTGGTTGATGCATATTATCGTATCCCAATTGCTTGGATGGATGCTCATGATGTCAATCACTGGACTATGTGGGCTAGACTTGTTTACTTACAGACCGCCATCATATAGCTGGAATATTGCTGAGTGCGGCGTTAAACAACAACAACAACAACAACAACAAACAAACAAACAACATACATAATGCCACTCAAATATGAAACATACATATTATTTTTGTACAGTGAAACCCTTTAATCCGGGCTATGGAATTTTCCAGATTAACATTTTTTTTCATATTAGTGAATCATGGAAGAGCAATGTCACTTTGTACGAGTGTAAGCCTTCCTAATAGTAATCATCTGGTTGGTGCAGTGTCCAGATTAATGACTTTCACTGTACAAGGGGCACATTGAATACGGCTTATACTTCTGCAGTAGAATATCAGCATTTTTCAGGGTTGGTCCTCTCAAAGCAGGTGGCTAAGGGTCCATGGCTGCTTTCAACAACCACCCTTCCAGTGAACTGACTTATACGTAATATCTACTCATACTCAAAACTCACAATTAAACAAAAAGAAACATAATTTATTTCAAAAGTAACAAAATGTAAAACTCAAAAACTTTAACTTTCACCACAGATGCACATCTACGAGATCCTCCTTGACCCTTATACACAGGTTGTGTAAAATAAACACTGATTACATGCCTCATAGTGCAAAACCAATATACATTCACCCAGGATATGAGATGAACTAGCATAGTGTACCACATGCGTACAATGTCGAGTCCTGATATTTCTGGAATATAGTCAAAAGTGGTGAAAAAAACCAAATAACTCAGTATAGAGGGCACACCCTGTTATAGTCCACACCATAGTGTTAGACAACTGTATTCTTAATTTTGATAGCACTGCTACCAGGAACTGATTTAAAAGGTGGTGTTAGTTATATCCAAGTCATCTGTATTTGGGTAAATCTTCATCTTGATATATTACGATTGTTGACTTGATGTGGGATGCTGCTGAGAGGGTAGAGCAGCCATCACCTGGGCTGCAATCGTTTCCACCTCGGCCATTGCCCCATACCCTGAAACACACGCGTACTGTACACCAGCTTAAATCCAGTCTGAAGACTACCTTACATTTTCACTAAGGAGTGTGCTGCACACATTTTGGTTGACACTTTCCACTTATTGGCCAGTATTTACCTACTTTACAGCTAATCTATCCACATGGTATACTAATCTGGATTAGACCCGTGAAGATCCAGGGTAGAATAGGTCTTCATCAACCCATGCTTGTCGTAAAAGGGGACTAACGGGATCGGGTGGTCAGGCTCGCTGACTTGGTTGATGCATGTCATCGATCCCAATTGCGCGGATCGATGCTCATGATGTCAATCACTGGATTGCCTGGTCCAGACTTGATTATTTACAGACGGATGTCATATAGCAAGAATATCCCTGAGTGTGACGTTATACAACAAACCAACCAACTGATCTGGATTAAAAGTGCTTTACAACCACCTGTCCATGTTAACACTCTATCTCATGTTGTAAATGAGTGATCAACTTCAGAGGGCAAGTAAAGTCAGCACAGCAACTTTGCAGATCTAAATACATTGCGGCATACCTAATCACAAATGCTTCATCAAAATAATATATGAAAAAGGGAAATAGCGTAAAACAGATGATAAAACACGACAGGTGAAATTGTTACCCAAACAAACAATTCTGCCACTGAGGGGATTCCCCTTACTGGGGTTAAAACGGGTTCCAACTGTTAGACACTTCCCAATTTCAACAATCATGACGATTGGGCCCACCCCAAGTCTGCCTGCTTCTGCCTCAGATTTTATGAATACATAATGTCATTTTTCTGTTTGCTCATACATTTGATTACTGTTGACAACTTAATTCACCTTAGTAACAAGACTGACTATGCCTTCAGTTGTTTACTCAGGGGATTCATGCCTGACATGCATTGATTGTGTGGAATAGGGCCAAGGGCAGATAGTGTTTTCTTACCAAAACAGAATGTTTGTAATAAAACGTTAGTTACTGATTGTTAACTGTTAGTTAATTATTTACAATGTGAAGATCAAAGGTCATGTCACACATTCAACAATGTATGCAATGTTGTTATTATGTTAGATTAACAGAAATAGTGGAAACAGTATATGTATCACGGCTAGGAATCACAAGATAGATAAACGTGAAAACCATTGCCAATGAAAAAAGTTGTCACTATTGCGCTGGTATCTTGAGGCCATGGCCTCAGATGGGTTTGTTTGGAAGTTGATTACAGAGCATGAGATTTCAGCACTTTCACACAGGCATTTAAATACTTAATAGAAATATTACAAATTATTCTCTCTAGGAAATTGACTTAATGAATGTAGGAAAATTGATATAAGCAAAATTGCAATAATTCTTTTCACTCTTCCTGCCCTTTAAATACTAATTATCATGGTTTGGGACCAAATACATATACTTGTTCCAGAAAATATTGGATTGGTTAATTTTTTTAATTTTTTTTATTGGATGACCTGAAAAAGCATTTGTTGTGGTCCAATGGTGTGGCTGCTTTTTTTCTGAGAAAATAAATAATGTCTTGAACATTCGTCCAAGCAGTAACCGAGCATATATTGTGTCCCGCATTCCACCTCCCCAAAAATTTAATTGTTTGGTTTCAAAGCATATAATAAACTGAAGAGAACCTGTGTCTCCACATGCCAGTGTCTTCCTGATGCAGGGGATCTCCTGGTAGCCCAGGCCCTTCAGTGTCGTCAGGTGTTGAGCCGTGAGCGGGTGCTCCCACATGTGTGTATTCATTGCAGGAGCAAACAGCAGAGGGCGCTTCATGTCCCACGCTCGGACAATGCATGTCTAAACATAGAAATACCACCATCATTATAATACAAGTGTTTATTTTTGTGTGACTCAAAGTGTAAATAGTGTGGTTTAGCTAAACCCTAAATGGGCCCCATCCTTAATTTGGGTCAGCCAAAGATAATATAGGGGAGATAACTCTCACTAGCATGCAGCTGAGAACAAGCACAAGGTACCAGCCCAGCTCTTGTGTCCAGCAACAATTACAGTGATTAAACATAGTTATTAAACAAAGACATCTTTGTCATGTCACCACAAATAGAAACAACACTGATCTTGAATCCACCAATACTACAAATGTAGCAGATACTATAATAATGTGTTTTATCGGCAGGATAAAGCCAACGGATAAAAACGATATCTGTTGGGGTCATATGCGGATAGAGATGCAAATATCAAAGGTCAAGTAGGACTACTTTCACTGTTTATAAACAAACATGGCGCCGTCCTCGTCATTCGGCGATCGAGTTAAAATTAACCATCGGGAATCTGGATCAACAACAGGGATAATTGCTATCATTATCAAAAGAACAGTCTAATATACTGAAAATCAGTGTCTAACTGTGACGTAGCTAAGGCATTTTATAAGTTTTGGCTACTTTGGAGGTATAAATTTCGAAACAATTTTGCGAGGGCGCGAGGCCTAGCCAAGCGGGATCAGTAGCAATATCTGTGCTTGTTGACCTCTGCAACTTGAAACCTTCTCCACAAATTAAAATAGTTGGATTTGGCCGAAATATGTTTGAATTGTTACCTTGTTTGGTTTTGTCGCTGTGTGTACATCTGACTACACTTCTTAACATTATGTCAGGACAGACCGACTGTCAACGTCTGACCGTGCCCGTGACGTTGCATAGACTAGGGTTAGAGTAGCTTCCCTTTGACAAAGGGCAGTTACTCTAGCGGACAGACTGATGGATTGCCGCGAAAGGCAATTAAAAACAACTGTTGTTTTGCGTATATGTTGCTTCGCCACTGTATAAGAAACAGATTTCAGTTGGAACTATATTGGCTACTGTCACTGTCCGACTGACACATCACTTACCCTGTGACGTAATAAATATTAATGCGCGCATTCCAGGAAAACTCGCAATGTTTCGGTAATGTTTGTGAGAGAGGGATAGGGATTTTAAAGCACAGAATTAAAGCATGACATTATAGGATAAAGAGGTTATCACGCTTGTGTGTTTGGGGATGGTAAATATCCTGTATTAGGAATAAACACTATGTATTTAGCTCGCCAAGGCTCGCTAAATACAATGTTTATTCCTAATGCAGGATATTTACCATCCCCAAACACACTCGCGTGATAACCTCTATATATTTGTTAACAATTTAATCATGAACATATATAACCTGACCTTGTTTGTTACACACACATTCATTCATTACCAACATCATACCACATGAGAAAGGTTAATTAAACACTATATATAATACTGATGTGTTTTCATCATTTTTTAATTATTTTTTTTATATTGTTTGCTTGTATATTAATGGACTCAGCAGTATACCAGATACAATACGGTGGCTTGTGGATAACTGAGTCTGGACCAGACAAACCAGTGACTGGTATTATAAGCAATGTATTTGTCTTTAAGTCCGATGACTTGCAATCAACCAAGTCTGAGAATCCGACCTCCAGATCCATTAAGTCGCTTCTCAAGACAAGGATAAAGGTTTCTGTGGCCCTACTCTAACCCGAAGTCCCTACATTATTATTTCCTCAGTGATTAATTGTACATATAAGAAATCTTTACTTTGCTACCTACTGACTGTAACAGATGACATTATTCTGAAATGCAAGACAACTCTTATTGAGTGAGTACCGGTATGTGACATAGGGCGTTAAAATTTTTGTAAAGTTTGAACTATGTCATTATATTCCTGGGGGTTAACATTTGGGAATGGTACACTTTCATGGAGTACATTTTCTATTTCTTTGTATTGCAATTGTTCTTATATAATAAGTGTTCAAAATACCCTAAAATTTCAGTCAGACAACTGGGCTGGCAACTTTGCAAAGTCACCAGACCAGATAAAATGTTGCCAGCCCAGAATTTTCAAGACAAGTGTAAAAGGAAAGAATAGGGTACACATAAGAATAGTACTGTTTAATGTTAGTCTTTAGAAAAACAACAACAACCTGGTGGATTATCAACTTAGTAAATTTAACTTTTTGAAATTTTATTCATAAATAATATGTTTAACATTTACAGTTAATTTACCTCTTCCATTAAATTATAATTTAGGTAATTTACGAAATACAATAATAACCTGACAATCAAGTGTGCAACTTTTCAAAACTGACCGTCCATCAGCAAAACAGACCGTCTCGAACTGTCTGGCAGGCACTACTTTAATCACTGATAATAAGCAAAAAATCAACTTACCAACAAGTTGTCACAGATGCCATTTGTAATCTTCGCCATGGTGTTGGCATCCAGAGGTGCTATGACCATTAAATCTGCCCATCTCCTCAGCTCAATGTGAAGCACTGGGTCCCCTATTTTTTTCCAACTCTGGAACATGAAACAATAGAAGACAGTTGATATAGTAAAAGAAATTTGAAACTCTGCTAATATCAAACCGAGTATTATTATTAGATACTTGTTTTAAGAATAGTTATGTAAGAAACAGTCAATCTTATTTGGATTTGAATCATATATGTATGTCCTCATGATTCGAGAAATTTCTTATTTAGTTCTTGTTACCGCTAAACAAAAATCTGAGGACATTCTGTTACAGGTCATGACATAACGACCTTTTGAGAACTTTGACCTACCAATGAAATGACTAACAAGAAGTCGGGAGCCAATCAGACACCAGCTTTCTCAAGCTATACTGCATGAGTTTGTTTGGTGGTAGTGAGAACAAAGATCTGATTACAATGAGATTGTACTTTGACCAAAATAAAGTCGACCATTTGAATTGTTTTACTTTCAAAGAGAATATTTTCTATTTTCTCGTTGCAGATGTTAATATTTCGTCAACTTTTGAATATCATTTACTAGTTATGATTGAGAGAAGAGAGTTATTTTTAGGTAATTAATCCCTTATATATGGTACACAGTTCCTTATAAAGAAATGGGAGCATAAGATTCTGAAGAAAGAATAATATAATTTAAAAATGGCTCATGACCCTGGTGACAAATATAACATGATATACACCTATGCAAAAAAATAACAAACAGTCTTGCAAACACCATTCAGCTACAAAATGTTATGTAATTTTTAGGTTTGTATACCTCCCATTCCTCAGCATCTTTGTGAACTTTAACTGGCAACTCCTCTGGGTTGAAGAAATGTGTGGCATTCTGTGTCGTCACTAACTTGACTTCTATCTAGGGTAGAACAAAACATTAGTAGGCTTATTTAGTTCCAAAAAGTGGATCTATTACCACAAAGTTTGCAAAATATGATGTATTAAAAAAAAGAATACAATTATTATCTGAATTTGCTCATATTAAAAAAATAATAATATCCATATATAACCAGATCAAAAAGACCAAAATCCAATAGCTTTGCAGAAAAAAAATAGCTATCAAAATGGATTCATACACATAATCATGCACATAATCTAGTAAGGATACAAGTATATTTTTTTATATTATTAATAAAACCTTAGAGTATGATTTGATTTACATTCATGAAATATATTTAATGATAATATCAATAAAATAGCAAATAGTCCACATTGTAAAAGTTGCAGGTTATGAATAGATGTGACCTTAAATGATTAAAAAAAGAAAACACGTACCTTCGTATGTGAATTTGTTAAGTGTTCTATCAGTTTTGGTATCTTGATAGATGCTACGCTACCTGTACAGGCAACCAGTACGTTGCTTTCACCCATCTAGATTAACCCACAATGACAAGGAAATCCCGCTACAGATTGATTGAAATGTGCACCTTGTTTGGGATTTCCCCGGATTGGTTCATTTGTTGAAAGGGGGATTTGGTTTGAGATATCGACACGATATATGTACTATAAATAAAAAATAAATAAAAAAGTTATAATTTATATTTATATCACAGTGTTTGTATATTTTATCTCTTATTTGGAGTTTCAACTAATCAAACATGTATATATCTCTCGTAACTTACAGCCTGTTTCCTCCACATATATAATAGCAGACGCCATAGCTTTAGCCTCTAACAGATATCACTTTTACTGTATGTCATGATCAGGACTCTATCTAATGCTGTAATGCTCAAAATTAATTTCGTTAAGATTAAAAAAATATATTTCATATATAAGTTTGGATTAGGGATGGTATTAACGATGTATTGTGTAATTTATACAGTAAACACTTTGTGAGGATTTTAAACATGGCGGCAGAATTAGACGACGTGGATGCAGCAGAAGAGAATATTTTATATGATTTGTCTGTTCAGACTGAATGGCGCCTTGACAACGAACTATTTGTACGTTCAACATTCCATTACATTCATGCAATATGATTTTAAATCCAACGAAACCGCTCTTCGCAATAATATCATCACAAAGTGTCGGACCATCATCTCGTGTTCTCAAAAAACACAGTTCACCTCTCCCGAACACATCTTCTTGCATTTTGCATCTTCTATCTACTCATGTCTCATGTCTAACATAATTTGGCAAGTTTAAATTTCATATTACAGGAAAAGAATGTCTTATGACACCAAATTATTATTGATTGCACTTTATTGCTTCGTCATTGACACCTGTTAACGGGTCACAGAAGTTTTTTACGTTTGTTAAGCTTCACACTACTTCACGGATTACAATTTGCGAACTGATAACAGGTGTTATGATTATGCGAGAGTGTACTAACCTGCAGTGATAATGTTCACATAGTTTATCTTGAGTCGAGTTGATATCAGTACATGTCACATTGTTGGCATTTTGCCTATCAGTATAATTGTATCAAGTGCCCCGCTTCAGCAGTCACATGTATCAACCTTCCTTCCTTCCTCATCCAAGCCAAAGGTCAATAATTACATATTGTAAGAGCTTGAACCGACCTCTTAACAGTGATAATAGCTTACTACGACTCTGGCATACAGCCACACGTGTTGCCATTACCAAGCATGGGCGTACTGTGGAATTTTAAAATGAGCTATTATGAGAGTGATTTTTTCATGTCTAGTATAGATTTTAGTGAAAACAATGAGCTCAAAGTATGTGAAATCAATTCATTCACTGTCATCTGTTATAACTGGATTGCCAGGAATTCGATTTTCTAAGGTAAAACACAAGATTTCAATTTTCATTTTATTGTTGATCTATCTTATTTATGCTTATCATATGTATGTTTACATCTCACGTAATTCAAATCAATTCAATACAGATTGTTATTGCTGTTGATTCAATTTTTCATTCCCCAAAGGTGTGGAATGTTGTGCAAAATTTCAGTTATGGCATGGTTTGTCTGGTCCAGACTTGTGCAGCGGAAATAGCTGTAATATTGCTGACTGCAGTGTTAACAACAAGCAAATAGACACAGGCTTGAAGTAAACATTATTCCACAATATTTTACCATGTTTACAGTTACAGAGTATTGCTAGGTCAGGAAGTATTGCTCTCTCTCTTTCATATTCATCATATCAGAGAGAGAGAGAGGAATTCATCTTTAAGTTTAAATGGATATTTTCAGAATCCCCCAAATGTGTCCTTTAAGAAATGGCACATACTTTTTCAATTTCATATTTTCTTGCTAGAATATCTGTTTAGATGAGTTTCTGAATGTATATTCATTTCATCAACAAGCAGAAGAAGTAAAATGATCAGTATCTAATATTGGTATGTTTTATCATGTTAATGTTAACAATAGTTATGATGTACAAATCTAAATACTCTGGATGTTAGGTCTGCATGTAACTTGACTTGTGAACAATGGTAAATATTTCTAATTAAGTATATAGGCATGATTATGCACCACTGATGCTTATCATTAACTTTTCAACTGTCAGGCTCTCAAATATATTGTTTGATTTCAGCATGTTCAGTGGTGGTTTTTTTTTTCTTATCTCAGGTTTGTGTTATCACACATGAAACATACATACCGTATTCGACGTAATAAGCGCCCCGCTCTAATAAGCGCCCACGGCGATATTTGTTAATATATTGGCTCATGAACAATCCCAATTAGCACCCCTTCTGATTGATGTACACAAGACTTATTTATTCGTGTATAATACGCACTCGTGTGTTATATGCACCCTTAATTATGGGCAATTAAATTCTGAAAAAATATATCTGTCGTATACAAACATTTTCAGGCTGTAAGCATAAACCACGAAATTTATCTTTCAACTCTGTTTTCTTTTTTTCCACCAAAATACCATTCTAATAAGAGCCCCTTATTTCTAATTTTGAGAGCGCCCTGGGCGCGTATTACGTCGAATACGGTATATAGTTCTATGTGCACAATTGCAATGGTTGTGAACTTTGGATGTGTTGTTTCAACCTGGTTTTTTTTATACCAGGTATTTAGTTGATGCTCTTTTTGAACCATACTACATGTACTAACCATTGCTAACCATTGCTAACCATGCCAATAAGAGTCATCAGCTGATGATGTCAGTGACAGTGTTACTAACCATGCTGACCTATTGTTGCATTGTTACATTTCCAGACCAGAAGTCCAAGGGACAAAGACAAGGTTTCTATTGTTGGACGATTAGCATCAGCCTCTCTAAGTAAGTTGGATTGTTTACAAGCATCAACTTTAATGCATTGAGGAAATTGTCATCAAGAAGCTTTCTCATTTCCCCTTTGTTGTTAGATATGTTGGATGCTCATGGAAAATATCATTAAGTCAACAATGACAACCGAACATGCTGAAAACTGTAAGATTAAGTCCACAGTAAGCATGGTAATAGACTTGGATGCATTATGTTAGCAGTTTGAGGCAGGGGAAGTCTTTTACCAATTGCTTGTTGTCTGGGGTAGCTATGATGGGTCATGTGACCACAGTGTTGCTACGTGTGTGTAATACTTGACCACCAGGCGTAATCACAACTCACAACACTCACAGTACTCTCAACTGTGATCGGGCTGGTCTTAGAGAGGCATGATGCTTCATGGTCTGGTGCCCTTTACAAATCTCGGTCTACACTTTGTATTTAGTACCACATATACAATGTGGACATTAACCTTTGTTATTAGGGTAACCATTATCTGCTTGACTTATCTCCATCATAACATTTGAGTCGGGAGTCAAACAAATTGGTGTTGAAATGACTTGAATAAACATATTACTAGGACTGACAGAGTCCTATGTTAGGGGTACTTGATGGATTGGTCAGATCTGACTGCCACAGACTTCTGGTATGTCTCGTCAGTGAGAATCGTACTGGCATTGTCATATTGGTTGTTGACTCTTAGAGGCTGAATCCACAGATTGAACGTTGCTCATTCCGGACAATGCAGTTCTGTAACATAGGACTCTGTGGAAAAATAGTTTTAAAAGTATTTATGGTATCCCATGACTTGCTAGAACAACCAATTTATTCTGGTCAGACTTAGTTTATGGTACTCAATGGGTTCATTATATTTGACCTTTGAGATCAAGTGTTTGTTTTCGATTATTGGCAAGCAAGTGAATTCACAGATTGACATGTCTTCTTGGTCTTTCTTACAATTTTGTGTCATTGTATTCAGTGTAACAAAAGTTATATTTGGGATAACATTTTCTTTATACTAGTACTGTTTTGGGTTGAGTCCCATCCGGGATTCAAACCCACACTGCCAGAGTGAGGCACCTAATCACCAGCACACAAAGCTAGCGATCTAACTCACTCAGCCGCCAAGGCTTCCCTAAAAATGAAAGTCTGACAACATTCGGACATTTGACCACTTTCTAAATGGTTCCTGCTGGCTTTGGAAATGACCAGTCCCAGTGGACAGGCAGCTCTAAAAACTAAAGTCCTCCCCAGTTTTTGTTTGTTTCAGCTTTGGACAAATAAGAAATCGCTTGAAAAGTACTTGGTTTTGATTCTTTCAACACCATGTTCAATGTAGCCTGCATCCATGGATGACAAATTCAATGACATCATCTCTAAAGTAACTAAGTTAGAGCTACATGTCATTCCCTTAATGTTCAATCACAATTTTCTCTTATTTTTAAAAATTTCACTTTGGTTCAAGACTGAGTTGCTACAAATAGATATTTAACCTCAAAGCAAGGCATAATGTAATTTCCTTGCACTAAAAATTGACAACGGGAAACCCTGATAATTAAAGACAAACTGACTTCTTTAAAAAATTTACTTTATTGATTGTCGCCAATTGTTTGTTTAAGAACAAAGATTTGTAAGGTACTTGATGTGACGGTCCACAGGGTCTGGCAGTCACATGAATTACTGGTCCAAGCCTCATTTTACCAGTAAAAAACTGGTAATTACCGGTAAACAGAAACACTAGTATTCTCTGGAAAAATTCCTTAAAAACATTACCGAGGCTAGGGTATTTTGCATTATTAATCATGTTAGTCAGTCTGTAGTATTGATCTGTAATGTTTTTGTGCAATACAGTAAACCTAAGTACCCACTGAATATACCAAAGTCTGGGCGTAATGTTTCTTCATGCGATAACAACATGGTCTAGACAATGAATAGTGATGCTCTGCTGATAAGTATGGATATAATTTATTTTGATTAATTTCTCTTATTGGTTCGCAGGACTTTGAAGTGTTGAACTGTCAATGTAATTATGGAAGTGCATTCTGTATCACTATCAGGATTATATAATGTACATGCAGGAAGCTACAGACATGACTAGAGAACCATACATGTATCATGTGTACGCTTGTAATGGTTAATACTGTCTATCTATAGTCATGATAGTTGTTGAATGGTTATGTATTGGGTGTTTGTAGTGATGTAATGGTTATGTATTGTGCATTTATAGTTATTTATCATCCAAAACTGGCTCCCACAGGAGATATCGCTTGGATGATATCAAGCGATATCGCTGCAATGAAATTACATCACAATGCTTTGCAGACCATTGTGACGTCACTGGTTACCATGACGTCACAATCAAATGACATCACTAATGGCTCTGCTACTGAAGCTGTTTGCAGTACTTTTTACACTGAAGACACTGCTAATTACTGTCTACAAATTGAAAAAGTTGAAAGAATGATGTTGGGTGATAAATAAAATCTCACCCTCGTGTCTTTTGATATCAAATATATCAACACTCGTTGATAAAAGTGGCAAAAATCCTCGGCAAGCCTTGGAATTTTTCCACTTTTATCAACTCGTGTTGATATATTTGATATCAAAAGACACTCGGGTGAGATTCTCTATTTAATGTTTATGCATTGTGAATTTATAGTTATATAATATTTAAATGTATATTTTAAGTTAGTCAATGGCTATATTTTGTGTGTTTTTTAGGATCTGTGTGGACGTTTCTAAGGACAGTCGGGGTTCCTCTACAGTAAGTTGTGATAATATTGATTATGCTTTCCATATCCTGCGTACTACAAATCTACACTGATCATGCTTATGACACATTTTTACTGTTACCATGGTTATGTCTTTGTCTGATACTGTAACACGTAGAGAAAATCACTGGTAATAGCTATGAAAGTATATCTGAGTATGATTCATGTACATCTCGATAGTTTCATGGTTATTTGTATGTTTAGACATCAACAGGATATAATTAATGACACAATTTATAAACTGAAGGGAAGCTCGTGTATATTATCATGATAATGGAACACTGATTCTGTGAGATATTAATTATCGGGTATATCCTACTCAGCTTTTGATAGGGATTATGAGATATGTCATTCTATTTGAATATACACTTGGCATATTGTGAGAATCTGTTTTGTGTATCAGGGAAAGATAAAATATCTGTATCAAAAGTGGACTAGTATGGATTGGTATTATTTGAATCTACAAATTCAAAAAATCAAATCCTGGTAAATGGCTGATGTGATCCGAATGTTGTGATTCCCTACCACTGTGTACAGGGAGTTACTAGCTCTCTGCATCTACAACAAGTGTAACCATGGTAACCAGATACTGTGTTGCATGCAGCAGGGAGGTGGTTCTATTTTCACATTCCTGGTCTGTTGATGAGGAATGAACAAAAGCCATTTGGCACCGTGCCCAGGTTTATCTGGCAATCTGCAGCTGAAGCTTTTTTCTGTATCATGTCAAACAGTAAACTGTGGATTAAGGACATAGTTAATGTGGCACCTCCATATACTGGGCAGTGGACTTGGACTTATATTGAAACATGATACACATTTGTTTTGGACACTGTGACTGTTGGACCCTTGTGTCAGAACAGTTAAAGCGCCAAGTCGGCAGTTTGATTTTTAATTTTTTTAGATATTTGGGTGGAGGTTATTTAAAGCTGCCTTGATAGATACAAAAATAGTGTATACACATGATAGAGGTCAATGACTATTTTTGTGAATACAACAAGAACAGGTATTGACCTAGAATTGTCATTATTTGTTTACTAACATAGTTAACAAACACCGACGTGTTCAATATTTCCCTTTCATATTACGAATTAACACCCATCATATTTCTGAGTTGCCTGGAATGTTAGTAGGCGTCTCCAAGATCATGATGATACACAGCAATCTGATTGGCTGAGCAGTGGGGAATACCACTGGGGATTCCCATGCTATTTTAAGCAATATAAATTATATATCATAATTTTGTAGGCCCTGGGCTGGAATCAGTATGTGTTTCTGTAGTAATAGTTGCATGTGACTGTGTCCTGACGATCAGAATGGAAAAAAATGTTAAAATTTGATAATAAACATGTTCATCATTTTCTGTCTGCCCCCTCCAGGACAGCGACTCCATGTTTGTTGCCCGAAGCCCTGGTGAAGCTGGTCAACAGTCAGATAAACTGGCACATTGCTGTCGGAGGGTAGGTCGCCATGGAAACATACAGGTCATCGTGACCTTGTTCAAGTTATTTTGGGATCTTTAATATTATATAGAATCAAACTATCATTAACTTTAATTATTTTAATGCATCATAAGGGTAATTTTAAACGATAGGAGTGAGCCCTCAGTGAGGAAGCAGGGGAAATACTGATGTTTTTATCAGCAAACAGTGACATAAACACTGACAAACTGTCTTTAATAATGTATAACTGTTTAGGTGATTGCTTGATATTTCATTAATAGGCTAAAATATCTCATCCTTCTTGAAGTTTGTTGTGGTTTCCATGTCACAGTCACCGTGTCTGTGTTTTATCTGCGGCCATGGGTGGCCCAGTTGTGTAAGGCAACGCAATTCGCTGTGCAGAGTTGTGTCCCTTAGACCTGCCAGAAACCTGTGATCGTGGGTTCAAATCCATGATTCACTCTTATTGTATTTGTCAGCATCACTTCGGGCTTTCCTCCAATATCAGGCTGACACACCGTGTTGTAACTGAAATACTGTTCAAAGCTAATTTAAACCAAACTCACTCACAAACCTTTTTATCTTGTTTCTCAAAGATTGTCCCTTGTTGTTATGTGTGTACCTTATGTGTTCCAGAGAAGGGAAGGTGGTTGCCATCCTCCAGGAGCAGTGTGTAGATATCAGGTGGGTTGGACAGTCGCAACACACATTATGAGCACAGTGACATAGAGGTCCTATTGGTAACTGTGCAGCCTCATTGAAACCAGCTCTTACACTCCAATTGGCAAACTACATAGAAACACGAACATGATATTGTGGTTAACACTGACAAACATTGAAATGACACTCTGGTTGACACTGACAAACATTGACATGACACTGTGGTTAACCCTGACAAACATTGACATGACACTGTGGTTAACACTGACAAACATTGAAATGACACTGTGGTTGACACTGACAAACATTGACATGACACTGTGGTTAACACTGACAAACATTGACATGATATTGTGGTTAACACTGACAAACATTGAAATGACACTCTGGTTGACACTGACAAACATTGACATGACACTGTGGTTAACACTGTCAAACATTGAAATGACACTCTGGTTGACACTGGCAAACATTGACATGACACTGTGGTTAACCCTGACAAACATTGAAATGACACTCTTGTTAACACTGACAAACATTGACATGACACTGAGGTTAACACTGACAAACATTAACATGACACTGTGGTTAACACTGACAAACATTGACATGACACTGTGGTTAACACTGACAAACATTGACATGACACTGTGGTTAACACTGACAAACATTGACGTGACACTGTGGTTAACACTGACAAACATTAACATGACACTGTGGTTAACACTGACAAACATTGACATGACACTGTGGTTAACACTGACAAACATTGACATGACACTGTGGTTAACACTGACAAACATTGACATGACACTGTGGTTAACACTGACAAACATTGACGTGACACTGGTTAACACTGACAAACATTAACATGACACTGTGGTTAACACTGACAAACATTGACATGACACTGTGGTTAACACTGACAAACATTGACATGACACTGTGGTTAACACTGACAAACATTGACGTGACACTGTGGTTAACACTGACAAACATTGACATGACACTGTGATGAACACTGACAAACATTGACAACATGGGATGTTTATTCAATGAATCATTAACGCTGATGATATTAACATTAATCTTGTGTGTGGTTTGTCAAAACTTGCTGGATTTTGGTACTAGTATCTATTTTCAAAATTTGTTCAGAAATTATTTTAATCTAGCTGGTATCTGTACTCCATCAGAAGAGCTTTTTGTCTAAAGATTGTTAGCTGATTTTACTCTATGATATTGTAACATTTGTACTTTGCCTCTACGGTACTGCATAGGAGAACTGTCATCATGGTTATGTTTCTGTTGATTTGACCAAACATGCTTTGGAGGAGGATTTTTTACATGATCGGTCGTCATGACAACCGTCTTCTGTTGTCAGATCGCACCGAGATGGTTATGAGTCCACAGTGGGGCGGGGCTCCTTCCCTCGTGACCCGTGCCCTCAGTGGCGTTGTGTGGTATGGAGCCCGGACAACACCATGCTGGCCTGCTCGCGGAGCTGTGGAGCCGTCGATGTGTTTGATATCATGGGGTCACAGCTCTTCACCATCCCTGGCGTGAGTATCTTCAGCTACAGGCACATTAGATTATTATCATAATCTTGGGTAGAGGAGGAAGTGCTGCCACGTGCCATCCTAATGTCTGAGGTTGTGCAAATTCACTGTGCGGAGTTGTGATTAGGTCAATTCCCGGATTTGTCCTAATTATGTTTCTTGGTTTGTCAGCTCCTTAGTTTCACTAAAACATCTGTGATGATATGAGTGAGTGAGTGAGTGAGTGAGTGAGTGAATTGGGTTTAACGCCACTTTTAACAGTATTCCAGTTATACCACGGCGTGTCAGCTTAATGTGGGAGGAAAGCCCAAAGTGATGCAGGTCTCAGACGTTTACCACTTTGGTGAAACCCATGAGCACAGGTATGGTGCTGACAAACCTAGGAACATAATCGGGGTGAACTGTGATTCGAACCCACAATCATAGGTTTCTGGCATGCTCTGCACAGCGAATTGCGGCGCCTTAGATGAGTGGGCCTACCATGCCCCCTGATGATATGATTTAGTGGAAGGAATCTGTTTGTATCAGGTTCACGCTAAGTATTCCAATTAAGCCTCATGAAGGACATGTTATAGTGAACAACTTATAGGCTTGACAAAGTACCACTGGCTGTGGCTGCCTACAGGATGTAGCATGATGATAAGTGATGTGTACTTCCAGGAGACGATGGAGAACACCCCCCATGACCTGAGCTGTGCTGTGGCTGCCCTCATTTTCACGGATCATCAACCCACAGACAACAAATGGTAACATTCAACTTTAGAGACAAAGTATAAAATATCGTTATCAAACACTCTTGATGGTGTTGAGGTTGTGAGATGGGATAGATGACATGCAGTCAAAGACGTAACAGAGCCTGACTACCTGATCCATTTTGTCGCTTCTTATGACAGGCAGACTATGCTGGAGACCTATGTCCCCAAAGGTATTATGTAAAGTAATCATCAGTAAAGGTTGGAATTACACTGGGAACACGGGATGAAACATTCTGTACATTTATTCGACGTATACATAAGCCTGCGGTGAAATCAACGGACACAACTGACAATAGCACATACAGAGACACAATCGGTTCAGCCCTCCGTAACATGCCACACCTCTCTCAACTGTACCTAAAACTATCCGCTCCCTACATCACACCATCACATCACAATCTCATAGAATGTAACGAATGCAAACCTCGAGCATCAAACGAAACAGGAAGTAATATTGTGTGGAATACGAAGGGAGATAACTCTGTCAAGGAATTGCATAAGGCCACTAAAAAATATGGTCAGAATATAACTTTGCACTAATGACCTGTGTCCAGCAATCATGGGAGATAAATCTGTCCCACATGTAGACTAACTGTTCTCTGCTCCAGGTCAGCAGAGCTACTGGTCATCAACTACCATGGTCGTCTGAAGAGCTACTACGTCAGTCGGGACAAGGGATATAAGTCTCGCCACAGCTTCGTCTTCAGCGGACATTATCCTCTTGGCATCAGCTCCGTCGTCTATCTTTCAAAGCACAAGATGTTGTTGGTTGGCGGGTGTGGCCAGGGTGGAGAGCCGTCGTCAGCGGCAACTGAAGCAATCAGCGAGGGGATCACGGCGTGGCGGTTGCTGTCTGACATGCCACATTACAAACTGGTCACAGACTACGATACCGGGATGACCCAGGTAGGAACAGTGGGTGTGAGCGATGTAGAGATGGCTTGGTCTTGTCACAGACTACGATACCGGGACGACCCAGGTAGGAACAGTGGGTGTGAGCGATGTAGAGATGGCTTAGTCTGGTCACTGACTACGATACCGGGACGACCCAGGTAGGAACAGTGGGTGTGAGTGATGTAGAGATGGCTTAGTCTGGTCACTGACTACGATACCGGGACGACCCAGGTAGGAACAGTGGGTGTGAACAATGTAGAGATGGCTTAGTCTGGTCACTGACAACAATACCGGGATGACCCAGGTAGGAACAGTGGGTGTGAACAATGTAGAGATGGCTTAGTCTGGTCACTGACAACAATACCGGGATGACCCAGGTAGGAACAGTGGGTGTGAACAATGTAGAGATGGCTTAGTCTGGTCACTGACTACGATACCGGGATGACCCAGGTAGGAACAGTGGGTGTGAACAATGTAGAGATGGCTTGGTCTGGTCACTGACTACGATACCGGGATGACCCAGGTAGGAACAGTGGGTGTGAGTGATGTAGAGATGGCTTAGTCTGGTCACTGACTACGATACCGGGATGACCCAGGTAGGAACAGTGGGTGTGAACAATGTAGAGATGGCTTAGTCTGGTCACTGACTACGATACCGGGATGACCCAGGTAGGAACAGTGGGTGTGAACAATGTAGAGATGGCTTAGTCTGGTAACAGCACATGGCTAAACAATCTAGATGGAGATTAGCTTAGGATTTTACAAGGTTCTGAATAATAATAAAATTTGTAGTCTGAAATGCCACCTTAAATTACGCCATTGTCCTTTTTGTGAGCTAAGGATATGAGGTTAAATGTGGCTGATTGCAAGTGATCATTGCTCGTGCTATCAACCACTTGTTTGCTTGTTTCCGAGACAGTTATTTAGAAACTGACATAGCTGTAATAGAATTTCTTACTTTTGCGTGTGTTTTTTACGCATCATTGGCATCAATTTTACAACTTATTTCAGGCCAACAAGGGAATGTCAATACTGAGCAGGCTGCGTCTGCCTCAACTTTCGGCCTGGAAAGGAGGCTTTGTGGTAAGAAATTAAGTGTATCCATTTCCTGTATACAAACTCTATTCCAATACAGCAAGTAATTGCATAATTAAAGAACTGACTAATTGTAGAGCACTAAGAGTAGCATGACTGTCAGTGGTGCTTGTCCTGTAACACTAATGTTAAAAATGAAGCAGTCCCTAGACTGAAATATCACAGCAGAAATCCTCAGATGCCCTTTATTTTAACACCAATTAACAGAACCATGTATTTAGATGTGTCAGTTTCTGGTTTCCAGGATGGTGTGTACAAGATGTGCGTCTCGCCGGCGGGGGACACACTGGTCGTGCTGCACTTGTCGGGGAAGCTGTCTGTGTGGAACCTGCCGTCGCTCCGGTACAAGGTCGCCTGGGCACTCGAGGACCAGGTCAGACACTGGGGGTGTTGTAAAGTTGGAACTTGTGAAAGGAATAATAATCTTAAATGCCTTTGATCTGACTTCTGGAAATTGAACCTCTTTGTGAATGTTGGAAATGGTTGTATGTTGTGAATCTTTTGTGAATATTGACCCTTCATTGCAGCCTGGATATGAAGAGATCTGCCCCAAACTTGCTGAAAATCCTCAAAAGAGAAAAAGAATTAAAGGTAACATGTATTCTAATCACACAACTCTGCACACAACTAACATTACTTTAGACACAGTGCTGAGATGCTGCATGCATTGATGGATGTCTGACTGCATGAGCTGTCTCCGACACCTGATTTGTGTAGTTACATTCACTGCACATGGAAGACAACTATCTGTAACCCAGTATTATGATTGTAAGAATTACTTTATTCCTGTGACGATTCAACTATATTTGGATTACTGAAGATTGTAGCGTGTCCTGTAGCATTTTACAATGTTTTACTACATTGTTGGAGCCCTGAGGGGTTTCCATACACAATGATCTGAAATGATGTGACTGAATGTCTGTTCTAAGCGATGTTAGATCCACTAGCTCACAAGTGTACTCTCTGTTACAGATCTGATACCTCACAAGAAGCTACTTGACGTCAACTTCTGGTCGAATGATGTAAGATTCCGCCTGTACCATTGTCTCCCCATTAAAGAAAGAATTAGTATCATAATACACTGGGGAGTACTTTCGATCCACCCTACTATCGCCCCTGTGTTCATCACATCTTGCTTCTGAACAGAAGTGTTGAAACTTTGCAGCATCAACATTTAGTATTCCTTTTTGTAGTGTATCATTTTGTTCTACTCTTTGTTTTTCAAGATATGTAGTTGGATGATTGTTAGGTTCATACCTGCCCAAAATTGTTTTCATAGTACTTTAAATGCTTTTTACAAAATACTGTACCAAGAGGGGATGGAAAATACTTGTATTTGAAATAAACTCTGAATAAAACCAGAGCTTAGAATGGCAAATTGAACCATCTCTATAGGGTAGGGACGTTCTGTGTAATAAAGGGTGAAGCTGGATAGGTATGTCAGCGCACAGAGCACTTATGCACAGTGAATGCTGCGCTATACAAATGCATATATTATGATGATGATGATGATGATGATGATGATGATGATGATGATGATATTGTGTGCTTGTGAAGGCGCTGATCCTGGCGAGATGTACTGGTGCCGTGATGGTGTGTGCGGTGAACACCCTGCATAACTTCCTGGGCCAGTCCCCCGAGTGGTTTGAGCCGTCCCCCCGGGTCAGCGAGAGTTACCAGGGAGGATTCCTTGGCATTGAGGTGAGGAGCCGGATAGGACACAACCCCAGACTCTCCAAGTCAGGATAGTAGCCAAGACAATTCGAGACCATTGCATTGATAAAGGTTCTGTTGTTACCATGGTTACCATCTTATATTCTTAAATGATGTAGCATAAAACTTGCAGGGATGGAATTAACTACAATCCTGAATAGGGATAACATAGTAATTCCCCCTAAATTTCTCTTAGGATGCTTGACCGTTAACTTAACTGGTCCAGGCTAGCGGGCTAGAGCTAAATTCCATCCCTGTGAATCAGTGAGTGAAGAATGTAAAGATGTGTGTACCTTGTTCTGTTGTCCCCAGTGTGAGCATCGGTTCCCGAGGAAGAAGTTGATAGCTGATGAAGGTGATGAAGGTGACGACAGTGACGATGAAGACGCCACCTGGTATAGCCGGTCAACCCGCGTCACAAAGCAGGTGCTCTACTACCTCACCGACAGCGAGCGGTTTCAGCCTCCCAGGAAGAAGCCCAAGTCAGTTAACATCTCGTTTGTAGTATTGATACTTGCAGTACTTGTCTGTGGGTATTTCTAACGTGGTAGTTTTCTTGGTGTAGAGTATCTGCCTGAAAATCAATGTTTTATTAAACTTGGGATGGACGATGTTTTGATGCCTTGAAAGCTTATGCCTGATAATACAATACATGATACACCTACCTGTGTATCGCTTCATGTTTTGAGTTTTTATAGGAGCACTCGGTCTGACACTGCTGCTAGGGCACATTCACTGCTATGACCATGCTCCACAGTGTAACAAGAGACGGGTCCTTTGTTAGGGCAGCTGAAATATATACATGAACACACAAACTAATTTAAACTACAACCTCGTGTCAGGCCTCATGAAACATGGACAATCCAACGCCCAAACTGCTTGAATTAAGTAACATGATGTGAGTATTGCTGTATGTAATGATAATGAAGTACATGTATCCTGACACGCACATTACACTGGGGTCCAAGATGTATTGATAATGAGGTAGATGTACCGTGACACCTACATGCTACGGTCCATGATGTATTGATAATGAGGTAGATGTACCGTGATACCTACATGCTACGGTCCATGATGTATTGATAATGAGGTAGATGTACCGTGATACCTACATGCTACGGTCCATGATGTATTGATAATGAGGTCGATGTATCGTGACACCTACATTATACAAGGGTCCATAATGTATTGATAATGTTCTTATTTCATTTGTCTTTTCTCAGGTTTCAAAGTCAGTATTACTGGGCTTGTTTCAAAGAGGACTTAATATCCTGTTGTTGTTGTGTGTGTGTATGTAGATAAAGCGACACTAGCTACATTTTGCTTTAGGGAGAACTTAACATGTTGTTATGTGTGTGTGTGTGTACATAGGTAAAGTGGCATGATTGTATGTTTCAGGTTGGTTACACGCATTTACAAATTGATCTGTTTAAAGTCTACGACCCCTGAGGAACTGTATGCTCACAAGGTATGACAATGAAGACAGTACGGCATTTCGCCGATGATTGTTGTAAAATACTCTCCAGTCACAGTGACTTCTAAGGTTTTGTAGTAAATTGTCAGTACAGTCGTGGTGACTATTTTGATAAACACTAGATGTTTAAATTCGGCAAACAATAAATGTTTGGTTCCCTGCAAATTAATTTAGTTTCCCACCACATCAGCATCTTTCCCTCCGTGTAAGGCTGGGTACTGGAAGTAGGGTGCGGAGACGTGACAACGTGTACTCATGGAAGTAGTGGCTCTTAATTTGTGGGCAATAAAATGAGAAACAAATGTCTTTGTAGCCCTAACTGACAATCTTGCTGATTTATGCAAGATTTATCAGCAAGGATTATCATGTAGTTTGATATGAGATACGGTAGTACATGTATGTCATCACATTTATGATTATGACTGGATGTGTCCTCCTGGTCATGGGATGTGGGGATGTGTGTCCAGATAGACGGGGAGGAGTATGGTGAGGCGCTGGCGCTAGCGAGGACATACGGCCTGGACTGTGACCTGGTGTATCAGAGGCAGTGGAGGAAGTCCCCCGTGTCCGTCGCCTCCATACAGGATTATCTGGTGAGTGGAGCAGCAGGGAGTGGTCACAGGAGGACGTACATCACGGAGTAGGATTGGTTCCCAGCAACCTATGTTGGTCGTAGAAGACCAAAGAGATGGGAGCTCAGGCTGAGGGATTTTGTTGATGGCATATCACTGTATCCCATGGATTGGATCATTGCTCATTATATCAATCGCTTGATTCTCTGGCCCAGACTCAGTTATTTACAGGCTGCGTCATGTAGCTGGAATATTGATGAGTGTGCCGTTAAACAACAAACAACACATACAAGCATTACAGAACAGGTCGATGAGTTAAGAATAACCGTGATGCATGACTGTCATGATTTGTCTGATTAATTATGGAAATGAGTCAGGAAAACTTCAGATGATTCTCATCAAGGTACCAGAGGCTATTACTATTAATGTCATGAATCTTTTACTTGACTGAGATGCGAGGTTGAGGACTTCTCTCTTGTTCCTTGTTGCTTTATGATCAAAGACAGTCCAGACGAGTCCAGAAGACTTAAGATGACTTTAGTTCTATTCTATTCAAGCAATGGACGGTATGAATTATTTCAGAGTAAGATCAGCAAGAGATCATGGGTGTTGCACGAGTGTCTGGAGCGAGTCCCCGACAACATCGACGCCATGTGGGAACTCCTGCAGTACGGCCTACGGGGCACCGACCTCCCCGCTCTTATCACCATCGGCAAGGGGGAGGATGGCGGCAGGTAGCGTCTTTGCTCAGTGTAATACTGTTTAGTTTAAATATGGATAATATAAAGCTTCATGAAATTGAAGATTAATTGTCCCGAGTTGTTGAATCAAGTCTGAGTTAATTCTGTATTCAATTTGTGATGTTATTGACTATGGATGACGTCATGTTATAATAATTAGTAATTTCTCTTATAATGTTTCAACTGACCAATGTTTCAATGAACTTTAAATGATTTATCTTCAAAGTGATTATTGCTAGGAACAATGTTTCAATGCATATGATGTTCTGTTAATGCATGGGAGATAACTCTGTTGCTAGGTTTATCCTGTGTGACCCTGAGGAGGGCTTGTATGAGGACATGAGTTTTGATGAGTTCAACCCAGAAGATCAGAGACAGAAGGAGGAGATGAAGCTGCAGCGGATGAAGGAACTGCAGGACCAAGTGGACTTCGCGAGGTGAATGTTCGGGAACACCTTGTCAGTCATAGGAGGATTCTAACGTCCTTGAGTAGAAAACTAATGTATGATAAGGCCACACCAGTTTTAGTTTCTTGTATTTCAGATTTTCTTGGTCAATATATCAAGGGAAGGAGGTTTAATTAAAAATGATGCAATTGTTGTCTGAGGGTCTTTTACCTCATGAAATTGACAAAAATATGGATGTTATGGTTATAATAGTTATATCAACATAACATTTGTTTTTATTTTTTGAAAAGTTTAATATTTTCTTGTGTATGAATAATAATTATCAATTGATCTGGACTAAGAAAACAATATTGAGGGGAATCTAAAATCATGCTCAGGCATCTCTATCACTTTTGAGAAAACACTTTTGTTTCGCTGTTAAGGCAATAAGTTTGAAATCTTTGCAGTGTCTGCTTTTCCAGGCCAGCCATTATTTTATTTTCATAGCCTCAATTTTCTTGTTTGGTAAACATAAACAACATATCCTTTTGAAGATGTTTGTGTATGACAGTGTCAGTAATGATATGTTGTGTTGCACACAGCATGAACCTCGAACAGAAGGAACTGTGCAGGGCCAGACTGAAGCTCCTCCAGTACATCGACAGACTCAGGACGTATGAGGTGAGATGGCTTCATTGTCAAAGTAGTTAACATTGTCAACGAAGTTACCGAACCTGACCAACAAAAATCATGTTTAAAGTTCTCTAAGATATCATCTATACTACTCAAAAGAAGTTAAGGACCACCCGATTCTTTCATGTTTGTATAATTAATCTGTCAGGGCATTGTAGATTAACCATAGTAATATGAAAGATGTAGATGTCCCTAACTTCTTTTGGTTATTATTAATGAAACCTTAGAGAAATTGAAAACATGATTTTTGGTGGTTAGGCTTGGTATCTTGGTTGATGGCGTGTTATCATACCCCGAAAATCACTGTATTGTCTGGTCAGACATGAATATGTACAGGTGTCCATCATATAGCCGGAATATTGCTGAGTGTGGTGTTAAACTACAAACACACACACACACACACACACACACACAGCATGGGACTGCAGCAACATGGCCACATGGCACCTACTTACTGTAGACATGCAACCATTCCATTGGTTAGACAATTCAGTGATGCATTGGCATACTTGACTTGTGAAATGATACCCGATAAGAGATGACGCATATTGGAACATGATACTATTTCTTCAGTAGTTGTAAACTCCATTAAGCTGTCCTTTCCCTAGTTTCTTATGGCACCTATACCAGCAGGTGTGTGAGGAACTGCATGAAGACACGAAGTCTTGATGTAAGCCACAGATTCACTGAATACCTCACTTTGCCACAGTATTAGTTAGGGTTTGCTGAACGCCCCAGTAATGTGGCAGATCAGGATAATGTTATACTTAGGATCAGATATAAAGTTGCAAGGAAAACAGTATGTTTAAATATCATCTGTCTTGACATGAGAGATTAACTATAGTAACATGAAAGAATCGGGGGTTCCTTTTAAGACTGGGACGGGTAACTCGGGTACCCAGGTCGGTTGGGTACTGAGTAGGACCCGGGTACCCACAGGACTACCCGGACCCGTGGTTAGTCAAGTAATATATTGTTTAATGACAAAAATGATGCACCCATTCCTTCTGAATTTTCATAGAGCTGAATAAAGATATAACTTTCAGTGTATGCATGACCAGATTGTTTAATACATGTATCTAAATGTGTTTGGCCATAGCTATGGTAAAAAAATCCCAATCGGACATTTTGTACCTTTCTGTTGAGGCCTACCGTGGGTACCCAGGTAGGGTTGGGTAATAGGGGGATGGGTACCCGGGTAGTAAATTTGGACTCGTCCCAGCCCTAGTTTCTTTACTTCTTTTGTGTAGTATATATATATAGATATATATTCCAAGAAACATCACAAAATAAATTAGGGAATTTGAAAAGTGTTTTAATATGATGACATTTCCCCAACATTCCTCGTGTTGCAGCACATCATGGGAGGTCGGAGTGCAGCAGCTGAACAATTCAACTCAAAGTTTTTCAAAGAATTCAGATCTCAAAATATTGTGGAAACTGCTGTTAATTATGCACAGGTAGGTCAGGTGGTTCAACAGAGTGTTCGTGACCAATGCTTGTGTTTTGTTATATTGATCAGCATCGTAATTTTGGATAGAAGAAAACTACTTAAACAAGATGGAATCACAAGTACTAGTTTCTAGCTTATGGGATAATCCCTGGCAGACTAGTTCCTAGTACTTGTTATAAGGAGAGACTTGTATAGAGACTGCTAATTGTGTGTTGTCATACGTATGGATGATACACTTTGTTGTACTCGTGAAGATGCATGTTACTCTGTCAGCAACCCATGCTGGTCATAAGAGGCGGCTAACGGGATCGGGTGGTCAGGCTCGCTGACCTGGTTGATGCATCTGTTTCATCTGATGCATCATAAATGATCTCTACTTTGTCATCCAGCAACTGCTATGTAATGCCTATCAAACAATACAATTAGTTGTGTTTTATGCCTGTGTTGCAGATGTCCAACAGTGAGGCCCTGGAAGCTATGTTCACCTACCATGGAGCGTCCACCCTCAAACACAGGTACGTCGCATCTGGTCTACTTGACAATTACCGTGAGATGACGGTCAAATGATGTTATTGTTGTAGTAGGACTTTGGTTATATTTCCAACATGTTTGTGATTACAGACTGGCAATCTTGTCCAACTTCCCTGAGACCACCCCGCCAGTGGAGTACAAGCCCCTGCTGCCTGAGATGGCGTAAGTCCTTTCCTTATTTCACTGCAGCTGAATGAATATGTTGAGAGTCAGAGTGCAATGTCAGGGTTAGGATCGGTCCCCAGTCACATATGCTTGAGGACCCAACATGGAATATGTTGAGAGTCAGAGTGCAGTGTCAGGGTTAGGATCGGTCCCCAGTCACGTATACTTGAGGACACAACGCGGAATATGTTGAGAGTCAGAGTGCAGTGTCAGGGTTAGGATCAGTCCCCAGTGTAGCCACTGTAACACACAAGTGTGAACAGGATCAATTATGGTGTGGGTTTTCACAAGATGGTTTCTGGCCGATAGTTAAAACATTATCGTTGCTTGTTAAAGAATCTATCTATCTGAACATCATATGGTCTGAAGACATGAATATTTAACACCAAATGAATACATTTTAATACATTTTATAGCTGAAACACTTCTCTAGTGTACTGGTGTGATAAGAAATGTGATACATGACTCATGTAATTGACGTATGCTCTGTACAGGAACTCGGAGGATGCACAGAAGTGGGAGGAGATCAGTTGGCGGGGAGAGCCGGACTGGAGCGAGGGGGAACAGTGCAGGTAACGACCTACTAGAACATCTGACTAATGTTATACCTGGGATAACACTTTCTTACTAAAGGACAGATTCTAGTACTTTTTTGGATGGAGTTCCATACATGATTCGAACCCACACTGCTAGGGTCAGGCACCTAACAGGCAGCACACAAAGTCAGAGATCTAACCCACTCAGCCACCAAGGCTTTCACAAAATGAAAGTTCGACAACTGGTGGTCGAGATCTAAATGGCATTGTGTGTTCATGCTAGAACATCATACACAGATCATACACTTAAACCTGACTCTTTTTGGAAGGACTGATATAATGTGTGATAGGACTGTAAGATTTTTACAGCTGTCATCGCTGTGGTCTACATATTTCCAGTGGTTTCAGCCACATTGGTGTTTGTGTTTATCATTCATAGGTTAGAATAATACTAGTTGCAGAATAATTCCAAACAAAACTGTTATCATTTCACTGTTTTTTCAGAGCTGCCATTGACCCGTCGCCTGTTGACCTGGGAGCATTCCTGTATGAAGACAAACCTGAGCTGGAGAAATACAGGTAACATGACAATATGTCAGGCTACTGTAGAACACTCGAGATGGAGAAATACACCTATATATCGTCAAACATGTTTCACCTGTAGATAAATTCAATTATTAATTATGGAGATTTTCTTATAATTTGATTGATTGCCAAACAAACTAGATATATCACAGTAACTTTGCATCAAACCTGTAACATTATTGTTACTGTTATTTAATTTGTTAATAGAATGCATTATGAAAAATAAGTATTTTGTGGTGACCCAGGAATATATAACTTGCAGGAGTGATGAGATAAGTAAGTCTCTGCTGTGTGACTGGTACACCGACCGTGCCTGCGAGATAGAGCGCCTCTCTCGTCTGGTGGACAATGCTCTCGACCTCGTCAAACTGGCCATACAAAACAGGGTCGAGGTAAGTGTTATCATCATCATCATCATCACCACCACCTCCACCATCATCATCATCATCATCATCATCATCACCATCACCACCATCATCATCATCATCATCATCATCACCATCACCACCATCATCATCATCATCATCATCATCATCATCATCATCATCACCACCACCACCACCACCACCACCATCACCACCATCATCATCATCATCATCATCTTCATCTTCATGTTGTTATTGTCATTACTTGGTCTTTTGCACCTGTGAAGATCCAGATTAGAATAGGTCTTGAAAGGCGACTAATGGGATCGGGTGGTCAGGTTCCCTGAATTGGTTGATGCATGTCATCGTATCCCAATTGCATTGATCGATGCTCATGATGTCAATCACTGGATTGTCTCGTCAAGACTCCATTATTTACAGACTGCTGTCATATAGCTGGAATATTGCTGAGTGCGGTGTTAAACAACAAACAAAAAATAAAAAAATAAATTATGCTTGGTCTTGGTAGGAGTACAGCTTTGTGCTGGTCTTCATCACAACCTGCTCTCAGTGTTCTGATCTTTCTGAACAACCACAATACTCAGTGACATGGCATGCTACTCACAGGGGCTGTACGACTTGCTGGACGATCTCCTTACCATGGAGATGTTGGTGTACGAGTGTGGTGTGGACGACAGCCTCACTTTCAGGGATCTGCAGCAGATGGCCGACTACGACAAACTGGAGCTGATCATGTCTAAGGTAAGAGGATATGCAGAGATGAAAGTGAGACTAAAGTGACCATACGGCTGAATTTGGGTAGGGGTTGTAGACTATGTACCTGAGAGTGACTGGGCTGATTTGGTATGAACCTACGATGATAGATGCTCATCCTATCAACCACTGGTTTGCCTGCACCTCACCTGACACCAGTTTTCAGGCTGCATCAACGTGGCAGAGATTCTTATTGAAACGCCATTGTTTACAGGCTCCCTAGGAGATCCCAGATTGCCATAGGAGGGACACCTCGTAATAGTTTGTGTCTATATATTGGATCTTGATTTTGAGGGCAGTTTTTATATTTTATAAATCTTTTTTTAGGGCTAACTTACGCTTGTTTTTAATGTTTTGCAGTCTTCAGGAGAGATGTATGTTAAGAACCTGCGGCGATGGATGGTGCCGTTCCTGAAGCAGTGTGAGCGCCGTGAGGCGGGCGCGTACACCTCTCTCCTGCATGACTACATCATCACCAAGGCCAAGACAGACCTCTCCCTGGTTGTCAAGATCTTTGAAACATCCAAGGCAGGGGTAAGAGGCAGTGATAGTCCCAGACATGTCAACTATTGTCTACAAGGAACTTCCATTCTTTCCACATTAAACAAACTCACCAATAAGATCTGAATATTACCTATTTATGCATTCATGTTTTTTGTTATCAATCTGTTGTTTAAATGGTGGTCAGATTTCATTGGAAATTTTATGGAACCGGTTCAAAATTATTCTTATGAATACAAATACATTACTTATTGATGCATCTTTGCCAGAAATATCTGCGACTAGCTATCTTGCAGCTGGCAACATTTCTGTTGCAATAGATAAAATATAGTCCTACCTGCCTGAATGTCTAGTACAAAATTTCTTTGTTACACAGACACTGACAATTTTGAATCCAACATTTATATGTAACCCTCTTCTCAGGGAGCAAGAGCTACCTCTGAGATTATACATCTATAAATGCTCAAGGCACAGAGTATAGTGTATCAGCTTGTAGTTACACCTACTGGTCTGCCACCTTCAACACAGGACACGTACATTTAGGAGTCACCAGCCAGCCTCTCTTGTTCAGACACTGATCTTAGTGTCGGACATGCAATCAGAGAAATGAAAATATTACTGTTTAATGTTCAAGTGAGTGAGTTGGGTTTCATGCTGATTTGAACAATAGTTATATCACAATCTCATTAAAATCAGATCTTAGTGCTCGCTACTGCTACACAAAGATCTGAGGACATCCAATCACAGGTCATGTCAGAATGACTTATCATGCACTTTGACTGACCAATGAAATGTCTAACAAGAAGTCAAAATTGACTAATCAGAAAGCAGCTTTCTCAAGCTTTACAACACTAGTTTCAAACTCATGACTTCTGTTACAAACTGAAAATATTTTGAACGTAAGAACTTTCCGGAATGTCTAATAGATGGCCGAAATTGTTTGGCAGTACTTCCCACGGACTATTGAAAGTATCTTTCATTTCAAATGTTTATCTAATTGAAGCAAGAGATAGACGATGATTTTGACGGAATCAGCTGTACAGTGTCTTTAGATACCCTGGTTAGCCTTTTTAAGGTTGCTTGTTTGAAATCACATTCCGACTGTCACTTTCCTGATCTGGTAAGAGACGCTCTGATGGGTCGGAAGAAAGATCGTTCTGACGTAACCTGTAATGGGATGTCCTCAGATCCTTGTTTAGCTGTAGCAAGAACTAAGATCTGATATTAAGGAGATTAAGTATGTCAGTCTATATTACTTTGACTACCCAAAGTGCCCTGCAGATCCTTACCACTTTGGTGAAATCAGCTAGCATGTGTATGGCCTCACGGATAACAGTCTGGCTGACTCTTGGACCCAGTACAAATAGGCCCTATGCCCCCTTACTGACTGAAAGCAGGCCACTAATTGGGTGCTTGTATTCCAGGTGAGCCAGCCTGTTATTCAGAAGCCCAAGGCTCTATGCCCCCTTACTGACTGAAAGCAGGCCACTAATTGGGTGTGTATGGCCTCACGGATAACAGTCTGGCTGACTCTTGGACCCAGTACAAATAGGCCCTATGCCCCCTTACTGACTGAAAGCAGGCCACTAATTGGGTGCTTGTATTCCAGGTGAGCCAGCCTGTTATTCAGAAGCCCAAGGCCCTATGCCCCCTTACTGACTGAAAGCAGGCCACTAATTGGGTGCTTGTATTCCAGGTGAGCCAGCCTGTTATTCAGAAGCCCAAGGCCCTATGCCCCCTTACTGACTGAAACCAGGCCACTAATTGGGTGTGTATGGCCTCACGGATAACAGTCTGGCTGACTCTTGGACCCAGTACAAATAGGCCCTATGCCCCCTTACTGACTGAAAGCAGGCCACTAATTGGGTGCTTGTATTCCAGGTGAGCCAGCCTGTTATTCAGAAGCCCAAGGCCCTATGCCCCCTTACTGACTGAAACCAGGCCACTAATTGGGTGTGTATGGCCTCACGGATAACAGTCTGGCTGACTCTTGGACCCAGTACAAATAGGCCCTATGCCCCCTTACTGACTGAAAGCAGGCCACTAATTGGGTGCTTGTATTCCAGGTGAGCCAGCCTGTTATTCAGAAGCCCAAGGTCCTCATGTCTCTGGCCCTGGAAGCTGTCTATGTTTGTGAGAGGTGAGACAAACTATTGGAGGCTTTGAACAACCACATTTTGCAGCTAAGTATTGAACAAATAATGTTATAAATTGTGCTGCCCTGTGCAGCTAAATGTTGGAAAGTTTCATGAAGATTTCAGACATCGGAATGTCATCAGTCGTGACACAATACATGTAACAAGGACGACGACTGTCAACATGACATCTTCTTGTGGACAATCTGGAATATTATGTTTGAGAAATAGTTCAATTTCATTTTTGTGAATTGTGTTCCACTATGTTTATTGTAGAGACGACCAACTGAAGCTCGCCTTTGACATCACCCAGTGTCTTCCTCAGAAAGATTCACAGTAAGCATAAACATTGCTGTATCACTAGGATCAATTTCAGAGAGATTAGGTGTCTGTCTGTCAATCAGTGTGTGTGTGTGTGTGTGTCTGCATGTGTGTGTGTGTGTGTGTGTGTGTGTGTGTGTCTGTCTGTGTGTGTGTGTCTCTGTGTGTGTGTGTGTCTGTCTGTGTGTGTGTGTCTCTGTGTGTGTGTGTGTCTGCATATGTGTGTGTGTGTGTGTGTGTGTGTGTGTGTGTGTGTGTGTGTGTGTGTGTGTGTGTGTGTGTGTGTGTGTGTGTGTGTGTCTGCATGTGTGTGTGTGTCTGCGTGTGTGTGTCTGTGTGTGTGTCTGTGTGTGTGTGAGTGAGTGAGAGGCTGTGTCGCTGGTGTAGGTTACAGTATAGCTGGGTAACAGTATCTTGTGTGCTAGCTCTGGGTTTTCATCTTCTAGTCTAATGCAGACAACTGTTTGCAGATTGATATCACCCTCCATTCACTCATGTATCTGTGTTTCAGGAGAGATCCCCCTGACATGATCAAGCTGCACAAAGAAGTGGACAAACTAGAGAACCATCTTCAGTAGGTCGTCCTCCATGGGTAGTCTGTGTTGTATCTAGGAAAGGATTTATTGTATATTAAGGGAGCACCTGTTGTATATAAAGGAAGTGCCTGTTGTATATAAAGGAAGTGCCTGTTGTATATAAAGGAAGAGCCTGTTGTATATAAAGGAAGTGCCTATTGTATATGAAGGAAGAGCCTGTTGTATATAAAGGAAGAGCCTGTAGTATATAAAGGAAGTGCCTGTTGTATATAAAGGAAGTGCCTGTTGTATATAAAGGAAGTGACTGTTGTATATAAAGGAAGAGCCTGTTGTATATAAAGGAAGAGCCTGTTGTATATAAAGGAAGTGCCTGTTGTATATAAAGGAAGTGCCTGTTGTCTATGAAGGAAGTGCCTGTTATATATAAAGGAAGTGCCTGTTGTATATATAGGGAGCACCTGTTGTATATAAAGGAAGTGCCTGTTGTATATATAGGGAGCACCTGTTGTATATAAAGGAAGTGCCTATTGTATATAAAGGAAGTGCCTGTTGTATATAAAGGAAGAGCCTGTTGTATATAAAGGAAGTGCCTGTTGTATATAAAGGAAGTGCCTGTTGTATATAAAGGAAGAGCCTGTTGTATATAAAGGAAGTGCCTGTTGTATATAAAGGAAGCGCCTGTTGTATATAAAGGAAGCGCCTGTTGTGTATAAGGCTTACAAAAATAAAAGTATTGGTTCTCAGGCAATGACTTTTGAAAATATAGTGCGGACGGGCGGTGTTTTTTGTTGTTGCTTGTTCAAACTAGTATGTAACCAGATAAACAGTTGTGTACCATCAACCTGGGAAAGGGCCTCCCTACATACACAAGCATACAAACTCCTATTGCCGCCATGTACGAGATGTGCAGTAAAGCCATGCGCATGTAGAGGGAAGTAACTACGTGCTATATTGGATCACATTGTTTTTAAGAATTGGGATTTTTAATTTAAAAAAAAAATAGAATTAAAGCAGCAGACTTTATGATGATGCGGGTGGTGCCTGAGAACCAAGACTATTATTTGTTTTAGCCCAAAGGGAGCACCTGTTGTATGAAAGGGGAGCATATGGTATAATCAATTGCAGCAACGGTTACTTTTTGCTACATATGTTCTCTTAGTGTGAGTGACTTGATTTAAAATATTTATTCTTGATTGGAAAATAGAAACCTGTCATGGAATACTCATGGAAAAAGAATGTTTTTGTTGTGTCTCCTCTGTCTACAAAGATGTCCATGCACATATGTCTTACTGCTCACCGGTAGCATGAAATATGTTGACCTTTTTCGGAACTTTCTTTCACATTTGCTTAAAGTTACTTCTCCGATATTTATTGATAATTGATTGATATTTATGTCTTGTATGTAGCAATTATTGATGTCTATTATCTATATCGATAGCCAGCCCAAGTAGGATGAAGGCTCTTGTCACTTATGGATTTTGATGCTTGTCTTTTTTTTGTTAGAGCTATGAAGATTTTCAACAAGCACACAATCAAGAAGCCCATCTACTACATCCGAGATACAGAGGTAGGTCACATAGGGTCAAATAGTAAAAATAAATTACTCTTTGCTTCAATAGCTTACGGTTTAAATCTTGTTATCCCTGGCGTCTGTCCATCTACCTGTCATGTTTTGTTTCCAGAGCATTACTTAAAAACCATGATAGATGTCTTAACCAAACTTGGCACATAGATAGGTCTAGTGGTGAACAAGTGCCTTTTGATAGTTTGAGATTTTTTTTAAAAGTATTTTTCGAGTGTCCATAGCAACGACTTTGACTTAGACTGAAAATAGTGGTATTGGCGGGGGATATCAGTATTTCATGCTTGTGTACATTTTGTTTCTATAGCATATAGTTTGAACCCTAGAGTAAACAAGTTCTATTAACAAGTAGCATGTATTAGATTTTGATGCAGTTATTTCTTACTGATTGGTCTGTTTTCTTCCTTCTTTTCTTAGGGGGATCCTGAGGAGGCTCGCAGCCTGATGGTGAAAGTCACTCGTCTGGCTGGCAGGAGGTCAGTCCTTGGAGGCAGCAAGTCCCGCCACAGATCTTAAATACATGAGCAATAACTCTCCTACTTTCTGACTATAGAAAACATCAAACATTCCATCCATTACGGGAAGTATTCATTGTGTGAGAGTGGATAGGAGGCGACTGTAACTCTGTATGTTATTATGCTGCAGGACTCCAGGCCTGACGGAAATGCAGTGGCGAGACCTCCATGACGATGTCTTGTCGCTCCAGAGCAATGTCTACCGCTGCATCACGGCCGATGTTTGCCATGAGGTTAGTACAGCTTCTTGTAGGTAGGGCATCCAGATATGACAATATTTCACGGTTGTCAATCTCCGTGTAATTGTCAGATAAGGTAATATTCTGCATCAATTTCCTCATATGTTAAAGACATGTAGTGGTATAAGATAAGATTGCTTTGCAGGGGTTGCATGTACTTCTAATTCTTCTATGACTTAAAATGCTCATTACAGACAGGCTGATCATGGATTTCAAATCACAATAATAACCTCTGATTTGAAGCTGTCACTGCAGGAGAAAATATTTATTGAAAAGTACTCATTCATGGCTAGTAGCCGGTTTCAAGTAAAAAACAAATGTAGGGTACAAAATGTCAATCTGTAGTTTCTGAGATATTCATCGGTAGATTGCTTTGTACCCGTGTACAGGTGTACATGGACTAATACATGTCTATCTGCAGTTCCTAAGGTATTCATATTGCCTTGTCCTCGTGTACAGGTGTACGTGGACTAATACATGTCTATCTGCAGTTCCTAAGGTATTCATATTGCCTTGTACTCGTGTACAGGTGTACGGGGACTAATACATGTCTATCTGCAGTTCCTAAGGTATTCATATTGCTTCCTTCTCTTGTACAGGTGTACGTGGACTAATACATGTCTATCTGCAGTTCCTAAGGTATTCATATTGCTTCCTTCTCTTGTACAGGTGTACGTGGACTAATACATGTCTATCTGCAGTTCCTAAGGTATTCATATTGCCTTGTACTCGTGTACAGGTGTACGTGGACTAATACATGTCTATCTGCAGTTCCTAAGGTATTCATATTGCTTCCTTCTCTTGTACAGGTGTACGTGGACTAATACATGTCTATCTGCAGTTCCTAAGGTATTCATATTGCCTTGTACTCATGTACAGGTGTACGTGGACTAATACATGTCTATCTGCAGTTCCTAAGGTATTCATATTGCTTCCTTCTCTTGTACAGGTGTACGTGGACTAATACATGTCTATCTGCAGTTCCTAAGGTATTCCTATTGCTTTGTACCCGTGTACAGGTGTACGTGGACTAATTCATGTCTATCTGCAGTTCCTAAGGTATTCATATTGCTTTGTACCCGTGTACAGGTGTACGTGGACTAATACATGTCTATCTGCAGTTCCTAAGGTATTCATATTGCTTCCTTCTCTTGTACAGGTGTACGTGGACTAATACATGTCTATCTGCAGTTCCTAAGATATTCATATTGCTTTGTACTCATGTACAGGTGTACGTGGACTAATACATGTCTATCTGCAGTTCCTAAGGTATTCCTATTGCTTTGTACCCGTGTACAGGTTTATGTGGACTAATACATGTCTATCTGCAGTTCCTAAGGTATTCCTATTGCTTTGTACCCGTGTACAGGTGTACGTGGACTAATACATGTCTATCTGCAGTTCCTAAGGTATTCCTATTGCTTTGTACCCGTGTACAGGTGTATGTGGACTAATACATGTCTATCTGCAGTTCCTAAGGTATTCCTATTGCTTTGTACCCGTGTACAGGTGTACGTGGACTAATACATGTCTATCTGCAGTTCCTAAGGTATTCCTATTGCTTTGTACCCGTGTACAGGTGTACGTGGACTAATACATGTCTATCTGCAGTTCCTAAGGTATTCCTATTGCTTTGTACCCGTGTACAGGTGTACGTGGACTAATACATGTCTATCTGCAGTTCCTAAGGTATTCCTATTGCTTTGTACCCGTGTACAGGTGTACGTGGACTAATACATGTCTATCTGCAGTTCCTAAGGTATTCCTATTGCTTTGTACCCGTGTACAGGTGTACGTGGACTAATACATGTCTATCTGCAGTTCCTAAGGTATTCCTATTGCTTTGTACCCGTGTACAGGTGTACGTGGACTAATACATGTCTATCTGCAGTTCCTAAGGTATTCCTATTGCTTTGTACCCGTGTACAGGTGTACGTGGACTAATACATGTCTATCTGCAGTTCCTAAGGTATTCCTATTGCTTTGTACCCGTGTACAGGTGTACGTGGACTAATACATGTCTATCTGCAGTTCCTAAGGTATTCCTATTGCTTTGTACCCGTGTACAGGTGTACGTGGACTAATACATGTCTATCTGCAGTTCCTAAGGTATTCCTATTGCTTTGTACCCATGTACAGGTGTATGTGGAGAGCCTGCTGTGCTCCAGTAGCATGGACACAATCAAGTTGGCTGGGGAGATGATCGAGCGCAGCCTGGAGGACACAAAGCCCACCCGACAACAGCGTCAGAAAAAGGTGGAGTACCCCAGGGCTGTGGAGCTGGTTCTGTCCTCGGCCCAGGAATACTTCAACTCCTCCGCCCACCTCATGGACTCCTGCATGGACCTGGCCAGGTGAGCTAACACACACAGAACACCTGTGGTATGACCCTCCCAACTAACATACTTTAACATAGACTTATAATAGTTGTAGTGCTAGAATCACTTTGTGCCAATTTGCCTTGGAATATGAATACTTTGAGATAGGATTTTAATCAGTATTGAAATCTCTTTAATGCCTGTGTATAAGGTTTATGATGTTACAAGAATGTTATCAGATATCGTTTCAAAATTGAAAAATAGGTAATATTGAATTACTCAAAGTATCACATGAAGGCCACCTAGGAAGTAAGTAATTCACATAGATATGTCATGTTCCTCCTTGCTTCAGGTCTTGTCTGAATCTCATCCTGGACACCCCAGCCGCCGTGCAGCAGGAGCTGGACCTGATTGCCTCCCTTGCTCTGCTCGACGACTTCGGTGTGTCGGTTCTTCCACTGCAGGGTAGGCGCCATTTAGTTTGTCTGCCTGTGTGTCTCTACTGCAGGGTTGGTGGCTGTATTGTCTGTGTGTCCCCACTGGGTAGGCGCCATATTGTCTGTGTGTCCCCACTGGGTAGGCGCCAAATTGTCTGTTGGTGTGTCACTACTACAGGGTAGGTGGTCATATTGTCTGTCTGTCTGTCTGTCTGTCTGTCTGTATGTCTGTCCCCCATGCAATGTCGTCGTTGAAATAGCATTATGTAGTTTGCTCATGGTGTTACACTAAATGCTATCCTATGATAGTAATCATAAGATAATTTTTATAACACATTCTAAAATGTTTTTTTATAAGCTGCAATTCTGTGTATTTTATGTAATAATTGAAAGAAGTTTTATTTTATTTTCAATCATTGCATTTAATAAAATGATGATTGTTATGCATGAGAGCCCTCCCAATAAACACAGAAGATAGGCTACATTTATACAATGTTTATTTATTCAAGGGACAGGGTAATTTCATGCCTCTTGCGCGATAGATGTGATGTCATCATGTGATGTGATATTTGCATTGCCGGAATTGGCGGAAATTCGTATTACATAAAAGGATGATGATGATGATGATGATGATGATGATGAATCCATGAATATGAGTGTTGTATTGCAGTGCGGCTGAGCACGGACCGACTCGGGCTAGTCCAGGAGGCGGTCAGCAAGAGGCCGGCAGCATACAAGCAGTCACAGAAGGTCAGGGTCGCGCGTGTTGGTGGCTTCAAATATATCGACTACATGGGAAATAGTCATTGCTCGTGTTACCATGTTATCATTCAGAAGTTTATCTGTTCGAGGTTTCTATAGAGATTAAATACAATTTGCAAATAGTGCTGACGCCAGGAGCAGGACAAAAGTAACAGAAAAACCTGTTTAATAGATAAAACCTGGGCCGTCTTTTATAAGGTCATGTTAGTGCCATGCCTACTCTGTGTGGGAGTACAGGAGTTAGTATAATTCTTACACCATGATTGCTTCATGCAAGTGAGTCCATGCAGCCACCCTCTTTTATTGAAAGATGCGATTAACATTGTGTTAGATTTTTTAGTATTGATGGGTTTAATTGGGATGTAAAAGAAAAGCGAGAGGGTTCATCTGGACATATCTATTGTTTCAGTTGCTGAGACTGGGCCACTTGCTACGGATTCCTGGAGACACTCGGGCCAAGAGGGATGGGAAAGTGTGGAAGCTGATTGGTGAAGCTGCTGTCAAGGTCAGACATTGAATGTATTCCCTATTGTTGCGATATTACCCCTGTTCATGGTTAGGACTTGTTCATGACTTAAGGAAGGAGGCTTGATAGTGTGAGTTTTGTTTTACAGACTTGTATGACGTGTGCTGTATGACAGGTTCTAGACTATGAGTTTTGTGTTACAGACTTGAAACTATAGGTTTTGTGTTACAGACTCGAAGCTATAGGTTTTGTGTTACAGACTTGAAACTATAGGTTTTGTGTTACAGACTCGAAACTATAGGTTTGTGTAACAGACTCGAAACTATAGGTTTGTGTTACAGACTCGAAACTATAGGTTTGTGTTACAGACTCGAAACTATAGGTTTTGTGTTACAGACTTGAAACTATAGGTTTTGTGTTACAGACTCGAAACTATAGGTTTGTGTTACAGACTCGAAACTATAGGTTTGTGTTACAGACTCGAAACTATAGGTTTGTGTTACAGACTAGAAAGTACAAGTTTATGTTACAGGCTCGAGACTATGAGTTTTGTGTTACAGACTAGAAAGTACAAGTTTATGTTACAGGCTCGAGACTATGAGTTTTGTGTTACAGACTTGAGAGTACAAGTTTATGTTACAGGCTCGAGACTATGAGTTTGGCGAGGACTGTTGTAACCAGCTGATCTCCGTGGGGAGTGCGGAAGCGTGGACGCTGTGTGTCGACCTGGCGGAGCAGGAGGACTTCAGTAACATCAAGGCCAAGTAGGGATGCAGCATACAGTCTACAGGGGGAGCTGGGGCTAGCACTGTGACACTTTAGAGAATAGAAATGGGCTACGTTTGGTGCTAGGGCGAGCACTGTCCTCTTGTACAGTTTGAGAATAGAACATTTGTTTTGTGGAACTGGGCCAATAATATAGAATCTGGAATGAAATGATTCCCTCACTTTTCGGGGGATTATTTGGAGGTGAAAATTGGAATGAAATTATTCTGTCCTAGGGTGTCAGAGACAGTCATAGTGTTTGGTAAATAAAAGGTTAACTGTTAATGTGATTTAGTTGTGCAAATATTTGATTTAAAAAGGATGCTCACTTCCTTGGGTGTATATGGATGTCTGGCATGGCTTTTTCAGGTGTCATGGAAGAGAATCATTTTGTAAGAATAATCTGGGTAACAATTGGTCCCCAGTAAACTTTGCTTGCGGAAAGTGTTGGCCAAAATGGAACAAGTGGTCAGGCTGAGAGACATGGCTTATTGCTGCTCGCCTTGTCTTGATTATTATCATATTCTGCATTCATATTCTGCACTTATCCAGGTACAAGAATCTGTCCAAATGTGGTTTATTTGTTCCACGACCAGTCGATCTGTATGCATTCCAGTTATCATTCTCAACTCCCTGGGGAGTATACAACCCAAGCTGCCTATCGGCGCTAGAGGGTTTTGACATCCACCTTACATATCGTGTACTGATTCCCTGCTGGGTGAACAGAGGCACATTTGAACAAAGTCAGTTATGTTTCGGGTGTATCAATGTATTCGTGTTTCCACAATCTGGTCATCTACCATTGGATGAGTGGGTTCTCTTGAGTGCACAGGCTGTACTGGGGGTAGTGACGACATTATAAAGACTTTTACACATTGTTGGTCCAGAGGATGAATGAGAACCTGGTCACGAGCGGGATACGATCTCAGCACCTGGTGATTTAAACCACTTGCCCACTCAGCCCCATGGATGGCATGGATCATTGCTCCTCTGTTATGGGTTTATGTGGTCCAGATTCCTGTATTTACAGGCTATTGTGATGTAGCTGTAATACTGCTGACTGAAGCGTTCACTCAACTTCCTGTAACAGTAGTGGGCGTGGCTAATTAAGTGGTGCAAGATATTTCATACTTTGGATATGCCATTTCAGAGTAAACCTGCTGTCCTTTGCTATGACGTTTTGTACTGCGGATATGATCGAACCAATTCTTCAAGCAAAGTGTCTCCTTGAAACTCAGGTATGTAACATGGATGTGACACATGTATTTCTTCTGAAGATGAAATCACAGACTAAATGCCATCTGCTGGCATAGATCAGTGCAATATGTATAAGTTTTCAGGTCCCTTGTCACAGGCAGCAAGCTTTTATGTGGTTCTTAATATCATCCACTGTGTTGTGTATGCTTACTTCAGTCAAGTTTATTTGTGAAAAGTTGGGCTGGCTATCGATACAGATCATAGAGATCGATAATCCTTAACTAAATATCTATCAATTATGGATAAATATCCGAGAAGTAATTTGAGCAAATACCCAGAAAAAAATCGGAATGAAATCAACACATTCCACTCCACTGGTGAGTGGTGGCACATTAATGCAGGGATTACTTTGTGAACATTTGAGATATTACAAAGACGGTTACTTTCCATCTTCAGCAATGGACATTATTGACAATAACAAGTCTGTTTTGGTAAATCTTATCTTTATTTCATCCTAATGGTTTATGTAAGATATTATAGATGACACAATTTTCATATCGATAATCGTTAATATTTTTTCCCATCAACGATAATTTTGGATTATTGATCTTTTATCCCAGCCCCAGTGACAAGTATGAGAAGTTTGTTGGACAAATGTAAAGACTTAACTCTTTCAGCTTCTGATCGAGAAAGTGAGCACAGATATGTCTGAAGAGACAGAGGTGGCAGTCTCTGTGACTGGCAGTCCATTCTCCGCCAAGGCCGCCATCAAGCAGACTCAGCATATCCTGTCATCCACATCGAGGACGACGAAGGCCATGTTGTCGACTGTGACAGACGGTAGCTGGTGGAAGGGGGCGATACATACCTTGAAGCAGCCCACACAGAGGCAGACGTTCACAGACTATGATGACGGCAACATCAGCTTCACCAGACAGGGATGTCACCCATTCTACGAGAGCATCATCGAAGACTGCTACTCCAATGTGGTGAGTTCAGCATCTTTTTCGAGACGGTGATATTTACTCTCAATCTCAATGAAATTGTATCATAATGCATTCAGAGCCTCATTCAACTTGTGTTGCCTCTTGGTAAGACAGAGTCAGATCTATAACATGAAGCACATGGCTATGATGACATCTGTTGTAGCACTCTAGCAATGCACCGTGTGCATAATAAATCCCTGTCATGTCAAGTAACTTTAAACATCCCTTGGGTCTCTCAGCAGTGACTAGTTTGGGGCTGGATCGCTCTAATCAGAGACCACTTTCTAAAGTGCTCTGATTGTGAAAAAACAATCTGTAGGAGAAACAAAACGTCTCTTCTGCATTAGACTCAAAGAAAACTTTGCCGACATCAACCACGAAAGGGACAAACCTGTCGCTAACTATTTCAGCTCCACTAGAGACCAAATCATACAACAGCTGAAATCGGACCCTGAGTCAGATCAGAGCACGGCTAAACGCTGATCCACTGAACTAAATAGAATCCATGAACGACAATATCTAATCCTGGAGTTTCCCCACCCTTTAACTATCCCTTGAGTATAACTATCTTTGTCAGTAAATGGACTTATTGTGTGCAGCATGACTCATGACATCGTCCTGAGGCAAGGGAGTTAACTGACAATAAACGTCTACATTCACCCTACCCGAACAAGTTTGACAAGAGTGGAAACAGGTCTTTTCTGTGTCAGTTAACTGCCTTGCCTCTGGAAGATGGAGTCACGACAGCCTCTAAGTCTAATTACATTAAGTAATACGTTACCACTGTTATACCGAGGCTGTTGTCTCCCACAACTGCTGCTATAGCGAAATCTACCACAGAGATCTCAATTACCTCATGCAGCACGTGCGTAGCCACCCAGCTGCCATGTGACACCCTTCACTCTTGTCTCCTTCGTCTGCTTAGCAAGACGTGTTTTCTCCTGCTGAAGCGTTCCTTGAAGATTTGGTGATATTTATTATAGTTTATTCTCTAATAAACTGTGCTTTTATGGGTCGTTGCGGTAGCTACGCTTGGTTATAATTTTCCCGCCCTTTTTTCTATATACTTGCGGGGTTCGCGTATGCACGTTGTGTTTTACGTTTCCCCTGTTCTTGTATGTTTTGGGGGTTAACATCACTTATTTCTTTAATAAAAGTTATATGTGTATGTTATATGTTCACATTGCTCGTTTATTTTCTTGTGAAAATGTTCGTTTGTGAATCATTGTGGTGCGTGCGTTGTAACCATGTTTTGTTCTTTGTTTATAGCAAACAATCAATGTCTGACATGGATATGTCCCCAGTATCCACCCCCTCTACCCCTGCTCCTCGGAGTTGTGGGGTGTGCAGAAAGTTTTTGTCGTCCCGGGATCCCCACGATCGTTGCCCGCGGTGCAGGGTTCCTTGCGGGGACACCCGGTGCATCCTGTGCGAAGGTCTGGGGCCTGCGGAGTTTGAGCGGTACCGGCTGTACGTACAGTCCGTCTCCACCCCTGTGGTGGCCGGTTCGTCCGGTCGGGGTCCCCGTGCGGGTACCACCTCCTCGGCTGCGGCGGATCCCCTTGCGGCCCTCGGGCTGTCTGGGGATTCCGTCGCCGCATTGTTGTCGAAACTTGTGGTCTCCAAGCTTGCGGCCTTATCGCAAGATAGGCCGCTGGCTGTTCCGTCCCCGGCCTCTTCGGTGGCCGCGGGGTCGGACGCGGGGTCCACCGGTAAAGCGGCGGATCTCTTGGCGGCCCGTGTGCTGTCCGGGGATTCCGTCGCTGCATTACTTGCATAACTTGTGGACTCCAAGCTGGCGGCCTTATCTCAGGATAGGCCGCTGGCTGTTCCGTCCCCGGCCACTTCGGTGGCCGCGGGGTCGGACGCGGGGTCCACCGGTACGGCGGCGGCTCCCGTGGTCACCGGTCCTTCCCCCGAACCGTTGCTCCCGCTATCGGTTTAGGACCGCGTGGCCATGGTTTATGACCTCTTTGAGGACATGCCCCGGCCGGTACCGCGGGGAATCCACGACTGTGGGTTCCTCCGAGGTATACGATGAGTCTTCCGACACGGCTTTCCCCGCATCAACCTTGCTGCGCGGTTTCAAGCCTTCCTTGGAGAACGCCTTCGCGGCGGCCTCCGGTCGGGGTCTCCCGTTGCCTCCGATGTCGTGGAGAAAGGGTTTCTTCCCGGTACATGACCTTGCCTTTCCCGAGGCTGGTCCTACCGCAGAGGCCCATGTTGAGCGGTTGGGTGTCCGTGCCCCACCGGCTGCTACGGTAACGCAAGCTACCTTGCACCAGCTGGACGCCCTCGCTCGGCACTCCATGTCTCACGGAGACACTTACTTGGCTGCAGCGGCCCGTCTGGTCGAAGGTTCTCCCACGGACCGTGACCAGCGCATTTACAACTGCCTGCTCAGTTTAAATGCTTCCCTGGAGTACGTTGCCGAGGACTCTCGGCACACACTTGCTCTTGTTGGGTCCCTGCATAGGCGCCTGGGTGCCGCTCCTAACCGGAGCGCGCCCCAGGCTGCTGCGGCCGGTAGGTCTAAGGGGTCGGGTTCTTCTTCCTCTGGGAAGTAGCCCCGCCCTGAGGGCTCCGGTATGGGCAATCAGCTGCCCTTTCGCGGGAAGACGGGGAACTGGGGGAAGCCCAAGTCGTCGACGGACGGCAAGGGCCCCTCCAGGTGACTCTCATTGGAGGGGTTCGTATGCCGACAGCGCCAACTTCGGTTGGCCCTTAGGCGAACCCGAGTCACTTGGCCCTGGACAGTTGCGCCTGCCGCAACCTGTCAGGGCCCCCTCTCCTTCCCCAGTGGGAGCCAGACTCCAGACTTACTGGGAGAATTGGGAACAAGTGTTCGACGACCCGTGGGTGGTCAACACGATTCGGTACGGCTATCGGCTTGATCTCAAAGCGAATCCGCCGCTCACCGTTGCCCCGTTGGCAGGTTTCGATTCGGAAACCGATCTTCCCATCCTCGCCGATGCCATCGGCAGGTTGGTGGAGAAGGGGCAGTACGGGAGTTAGCTCTACCAGAAATAACACCGGGGTTTTACTCCAGGATATTTCTCGTTCCCAAGTAGGACAGTGCCGAACTCAGAATGATTCACACGTCCGCTCCCTGGCTGTTCACCCGGTTAACCACCCCCATAGTGGGGTTCCTCCACAGGAGGGGTGTCCGGTACTTCGCGTACCTGGACGACTCGCTAGTAGCAAATCGAATGACGGACACCCTGTCACGCCATCTCGTTTTCGCACGTCGGCTCTTGGAGCAATTTGGGTGGATTATCAATCTCCCCAAGAGCGAGTTAACCCCTTCTCAGAACTTGCTGTTCATCGGAGGTCGGTTCAACACGGTGTCCCATCGCCTCTTTGTCCCCCCAGACCGGTGGCACAAAATTCAGGCGTTGATTGCCAAAGTCTTAGCGGTGCAACAGACTGTTCACTTTTGGGAACAGCTGTTAGGGCTACTTGTATCAGCCCAGGACTGCACCGCACGGGGTCGTCTCCAACTCCGCCCGCTGCAACGGTTTTTAATCCAGTTGTTAGCAACGGAGGTGAACAGTGCGACCGTCGCCCTCCCGGATCGGCTCCGACCGCATCTGGAGTGGTGGACAGTCCCTTACATTGTCTTATCAGGAGTCTCTATGCGGCCCTACCGGGCCACGTTGACCCTGTATACAGACGCCTCTCTAGTGGGCTGGGGCGCCCATCTAAAGGGGGAGGTGAGCTCGGGGCTGTGGTGCGTAGACGAACTAGGTCTTCACATCACTTGTCTCGAGTTCAAGGCAGTGATCAACGCAGTCAATCACTGGAAGCATCGTCTCGTCGACGCCCGGCTCATGCTGGCGACCGACAACACGACGGTAGTGTCCTATGTGAACAAACTGGGGGGAACCCACAGTCACTCGCTACTCGATCTCACGTTCGAGTTTTACGCTCTGGTGGACAGTGTCCCGTGCCAGATACGCGCCCGTCACATCCCAGGTGTGCGGAACGTACTGGCCAAAGCTCTATCGAGGCCTCAGGATCCGAGCCCCACAGAGTGGATGCTGAACCCAGTAGTGTTTCAGTGGCTGTGCGAACGTTTGGGTCGTCCGATGGTCGACCTGTTCGCAACGCGGTTCAACAATCAACTCCCGTTGTTTGTATCACCAGTCCCGGACCCGAGGGCCATCGATCACGATGCTCTCGCGTTAGACTGGACGGGCTTGGTCGCTTATGCTTACCCGCCGACAGCGTTGATACCACACATTCTAAGCCGGCTCCGAGGAGTTCGCTGTCGAATGTTACTGATCGCGCCCATGTGGCCGAACAGATCGTGGTACCCCGACTTGCTGACCCAGGTCACGCAGTCGCCACTTCCACTGCCTGTGAGACCGGATCTCTTGATCCACCCTCACACCCGTCAGCTTCATCCAAACGCAGGGCAGTTCAATCTGCACGCGTGGATGTTGTCACCGAGCGTCTGAGGAGTAAAGTTTTTTCTCGCCGGGCGTCTCGGGCATACGTTAGTATGCATCGTGATTCTACCCAGAAGGTGTATAATGCACGTTGGGTTATTTTCACGAAGTGGTGTTGTAAACATCACATTCATTCGCCAGATAAGGTATCTGTGCAGGATATTGCTCGTTTCATGTCTCACTTGCGAGAGACCCGGAAACTCTCCGGGGGTTCCATTGCCAACTATGTCTCGTCCGTTGCTACGGTACGGGACGTTGCTATGGGTACCAGTCTCTCCAAAGAGCCGGTGATACGGGGTATTATCAAGGGTTTCAAACAGCACGATCTTAAGAAGGGCCGCCTTCGGGCACCGGCCTTGGATCTTTCCCTAGTGTTGCAATCACTTACGGAAGCTCCGTATGAACCCTTGCATAGTGCTTCGTTCCGGCATGTGACTTGGAAAACAGCATTTCTCCTCTCCTTTGCCACGGCGGCACGTGTATCCGAAATTCATGCACTCGATGTCGCCAAGGTACGATTCGATAGGGGTGACGAAGGAGCGGTCCGCCTGGGCCTGCTCATGGGCTTCGTCGCCAAGAATCAGAGAGTCGGGCAAACGGAGAGAGAATTCACTGTAAGATCACTCAAAGAAATCTTACATCCTGCTGATACTGAGGACAGAGCGCTGTGTCCGGTTAGGGCCCTTAAGTATTATCTTAAGGCTTCGAATGAACGTAGACAAGGGCGTGACCGTCTGTTCATATCGTGTAACCCTAATCGCACGGTTGACATAACTCGCAACTCGATTGCGTTGTGGCTTCGTTCTGTCATCAATCTGGCGTACCGGTCTCGGGGGTTACCGGTAGCGGGGTCAAACCCGCACGAGATCAGGGCGCTAGCGGCAACATTTGCCCTACACTCGAATATCTCTGTTCGCAGAATATTACGAGGTTGTTACTGGCGTTCTGACTCGGTTTTTGCCAATCATTACCTCAAACAGGTCGCTGATGCCGTCGTGGAGAGTGTGCACCGTCTTGGCCCGCGGATCGCGGCGCAAGCGGGCACCTAAGGGGTGTGCCCAGCGCAATTCCGAACTCCTCAGGCGTCTGACCTTGCACGGTGGTCAATCTGGGTCGACTCCAATGTTCCCACTGCCGTGGGTACAGGAGTTGGGGTCCCGCAAACCAGCGCACTCACACCACAGGTGAGGGCGGCTTTTTGTGTGCTTTGTCCTTATTTGTATTTTGACAATTATGTCTTTAATTGTCTGTCGTGTATCCCAACCTTGTGATGCATGCTTACAAATACTGGAATTAGGTCACGCGCCTAATGCATACTTTAAGTAGGCTTGCTCTGGGATATACGGTCTGAATGAAATTAATTTCCCTCTTTTCGACTGTTTAACCTGATCTAAGATTAAGCTCACGCGGATACAGTGTTCTCATCCGCTGCGGCGATGAAATACCTATCCAGTGGGGCCGTTTGGAGTCACCAATCGTTTTGGCAATGAGGATTGAGCCTTACGGTATGCGCTTGACAGTGCTTTGGTATTCCTATAGGGTAACGCCTAGCTAGGTGCATGCGCATCGAGTGCTTCCACCTTGGTGTTTACTTCCGCTGGTCGGAAGGAACGCTAGCAGTCAGGATTCGGGTTGTAGGTCCTCCCCACCGCCTACTGTGGTAGTCAGCCTCGGTATAACAGTGGTAACGTATTACTTAATGTAATTTGTAGAATTTTCCTATTCGGAATATTCTATAAGTAATACGTTACCACTGGGCTGCTGCCCGCCCGTCCGTCCCCCGAGCACTTGCTCTCGCAGGAGACAAGAGTGAAGGGTGTCACATGGCAGCTGGGTGGCTACGCACGTGCTGCATGAGGTAATTGAGATCTCTGTGGTAGATTTCGCTATAGCAGCAGTTGTGGGAGACAACAGCCTCGGTATAACAGTGGTAACGTATTACTTATAGAATATTCCGAATAGGAAAATTCTACAAAACAGTTGATATGTAAGTGGTAGATTTGTGGTAACTCAATGAAGTATTTCATGATCAGGAAAAGTCTTCAACATGCTTGATGTGTTGTGTACATGATGCTAGGAACATAACATCAAGAAGGACATCTCCGCCATTGCCGCTCCAGCTGAACACACAATATCTGTGACTGACAGTTTCAACCTTCTCTTAGAACTGACAAGTCATTGAACTTGTAAAAAACAAAACCCTTACATATTTAAACCAATAAACAGATCTCTCAGGTTTATAGATCCTGGCCATGGCTACATTGTAGATGGTATACTCTTTCCTGCTGCTGCAGTGGACAATAGGTCTTTGAAGGCTACTTGTAGTATAATGCAGCAGCGTTAGAAATTGGCACTAGTCCTATAGTCCTTACGAAACTGCCCAATAGTAAAAGTATCCTAAGGACTAGTAGAAATTGGCCCATTTTAAGGGTTTTGCTATATGTTATCATTATGAGGACTAGTGGACAAAAACTGTTAGTTTCTAACCCTGATGCAGACTGCGTTATGTTGTTATGCAGAGTGCCATCAACTACCAGTCAGGGGAGATAATCACGTCCCCTGAAGTCGAGATGAGTGAGAAGGTGTTGCGAGCGGCCAAGTTGGAGGAGATGTTGACGGAGGGAGAGAAGTCACAGCCAGCATCAGAAGGTAGGTTGTACAGCAGCATCATGTCTGTCCAGGGTTGAACCCTAGTTCCTGGTGACTTGTTGGTGTAGAAAGGAGTCAGTTGATAGAAAGTAGGCTAAGGTGGGACGGTGCAGTTAAATCCCTTTACTCGAGATGGTTTTATTATTCCCAGGCTTCGTGTTCAGTGTTCATGGGTAGTGACTGTCTGGACTTGCTACACCTTGGATACACCTTAAAATATTAATTTGCTGTCTGTCAATGTCAGTCACAGGCAGCTCCAGTGGGTGGTGTTTAGGGATGCGCAACCCGCCTTGTTTCATAGACCTTACAAGTAAACTGCGCCCTCGCCCAATCGCTATGTGACTTGGGTATTATGTGCACCCCACCTGCCCTTTCTCAGAATCCTGGATCTGCCTCTGTTTGTTGTGGGCTAGGGGCGTTGGTTGTCCAGTTATCAAAGCTGCCTGCATCCCTTAGTTGTGGCAGCTAGGAGCCACTGATCATGAGTTCAAACCCTAGGTTTGTCGTTGTATTATCCATAGTTTGTCATCACCATACATGTGCTCATTGGTTTCACCTTGTGAAGACCTGGGGTAGAATAGGTCTTCAGCAACCCATGCTTGCTGTAAAAGGCAACTATGTTTGTCGTAAGAGGCGACTAACGTGATCGGGTGGTCAGGCTCGCTGACTTGGTTGATGCATGTCATCATATCCCAATTGCGTGGATTGATGCTCATGATGTTAATCACTGGATTGTCTGGTCCAGACTCGATTATTTACAGGCCGCCGTCAAATAGCTGGAATATCACTGAGTGCGGCGTTAAACAACAAACAAACAAAGCTCATTGGTTTCACCAAGGAAGTAAATGGCCCTGATCTATATTACTTTGGACTTTCTTTCCACATTATCGGGGGCACGGGTGGCCCAGTCGTCTAAGGCGCCGCGATTCGCTGTGCAGAGTTGCATCCCTTGGGCACGCCAGAAACCTATGATTGTGTGTTCGAATCCCGGTTCGCCCCAATTATGTTTCTAGGTTTGTCAGCACCATACCTGTGCTCGTGGGTTTCACCAAAGTGGTAAACGTCTGAGACCTGCATCACTTCGGGCTTTCCTCCCACAAATGGCTGACACGCTGCGATATAACTGGAATACTATTAAAAGTGGCGTTAAACCCAACTCTCTCCACATTATCACTAGCAGATTTGCAGTTATCATAAATGAAATGATGATAAAACTCATTTCATGAAATTGTTTGTCTGAGCATCAAATCATTTTCATTTGTAAGTTTCAAGTGAGTATTTTGTTTCAGTGTTGCTGGAGCTCGCCAAGTCTTTCCTTGCCAGGGACAGCTCAATGGGCCTGGCATATCTCCTAGCACTGAATAAGGTATGGTGATCAGTACCAACCAAGATGGTTGCTTCTCACACTAATCTTAAGCCAGATGATGTTTGCCTCCTTATTTACTGCTCCATCAATGTCTCCTGATGATGAAGCAGCTTTGTATTTGTAGCCTCCCTGTATTATGCACATAGTCTCCATATAGATCTGGGTTCGTATTGGTATTCCCATGCTTGTCGTAACAGGTGACTAACGGGATTGATGGTCAGGTTCGCTGACTTAGTTGATGCATGTCATTTCGTCCCAATTGCACAGATGATGTGAATCACTGGATTGCCTGGTCCAGACTTGATCATTTACAGACTGTTGTCAAATGGCTAGAATATCACTAGTGCAGCATTAAAGAACAAGCAAACAAACAAACAAAACAAAAAACCAATAATATAATGTACTCATGCACCCGATTCTCTGCCTTAACCCTAGGCATCAGATGCAGAGAAGTGTTTCGAGGAGTTCCCCAGCACGGATGTATCAATCCAACTGGCCCTGTATTACTACGCCCTCCAAATCTACACCACTCTCAAGCCCAGCACTAAACCCTTACCATTTGCCTTGTACCGACAAGACCCCACCAAGGTCATCCGTAAGGTAATCAATCATGTGACCAGCAGACCCAACAGTGATTGGCCAGAGGAGGTGGTTGACCTTATCCCGAAGCTGGAGAAGTACCGAGAGATGCTAGAAGATTACAACCAGGCCATTACCCTGAAGAAGCTGGGGAGAGGTGAGCGGTCATGTCATAATGTGATGCCATCCTGGTATGTTACAATACCAGGGCTCCAGATAATGTTGGGATACTTTTGAAAATAATTCTCAGTGACAGAAACTAACAGTTTTAGCCCACTAGTCCTAATTATGATAACATATAGCAAAATACTAAAAAAGGGCAAATTTCTACTAGTCTTAGGATACCTTAACTATTGAGCAGTTTGGCAAGGACTACAGGACTAGTGCCAGTTTCTAACGCTGAATTCAACCCCTGTGATGTCTAAGTATCAGTAAGCGAGATGTTGCTCATCTGTGCATTATTCTCTGCTGTTGAGTTCATGTATATATGATGCCTACGTTTAGTCATGAGGAATACATCCGTCCAGACATTCGTGTACGCAAGCTGAAGAAGCTGCTGTGGGTAATTACGCATTGTGTTGTTATACTATTGGGTTATTGAATTTCTTCATGTGTGTTTGTACCCAAGGAATTCAAAAGTCATTGGGGTATGGTGATATGGCTTGCAACAATGCAGCTTATCTGGGTCTCTGAATACCATATACTAAAGAAATATGTGACGAGTGGGGGTTGTTTATCGTATAATAAAACACTGCAGGGAGAATAAACCATGTGGGGCGCAGAAATATCATCATTATGTACAGCCTCTTTAAGGATGTCAATACAAACTTTAAAAATATTTACCCAAATTTTAATAATGATGACTCCCTGAATAGAATCTTGACCTTTGGGATGCGATCGTTTGACCTCTATGTTTATCTACATAGCCCAGGTACTGGACACTTTCCTCTAAAAAATAACGTCGTCCAATATATGACGTCATTAAATTGCAAGGGCATATTCAAATCTCCAGACATGACGCTATGATAGAGCAATGTTTTATAAAATAAACCATGCTTCGTTATTCCTTGTTCTTTGCGATTTATTGTGTATCTATCTTATCTAACACAATACACAATAGCATACATAAACGTTTACACTTGTGGCGGAGCTGCATCTCATCATGGAAGGAATGTATAGAGGACTTCAATAAATAGAGGACTAACTCCAAAATATTGTGTTAATAATTGACGTTGCAATGTTGTGGTGTTATGGATGAGGAGTTCTGACAATACTGGCTTGCTTTCTTTAGCACACTTTGGTTGATGATTGCTGTGTTGTTTAGAAATGATGATGGAAATATGTTTTAGGTGTGGACATTGTCAGGTTTGCAGACGACTCGGAATACAAACAAGAGACAATTCTGGGACTTGCCATGTGAGTTGTCATTGTTGATATTAATGAGTTTAGTTTGTCTTCAACGAGCTATTTGAACTTGGAGGTAGGCAAGGATAGTGTCCTGATTCTAGTAGCTGCTACTCAGTGTCCTTCAGCTGACTGCTGTCACAGACACTGTAGCCATGACAACAGGGCTTGCAAATAATGGTAGCAAGTAGCTTGTCTTAAATTTTAGTTTCATACCTGAAAAATATCTCAACATGAGGTCAAGAAGAAGATTTGTTGTTTCCACTAGTTTGTAATCACTGTTAATGTACGAAAGGCTATTCAGACTTGTTCAGTGTTTAATCCGGTTTATAATTAGACAGCATTAAATTGTAAATGACACTGTTGTCTTTGTTATAAATATATTTTGGGCATGGTTGAATTTTGCTGTTTGGGAAATGCTATCTAAAACAATTGGTAATAAGATCTTGCTACTTAGCATTTGGTAATTTCTGCCCCTACAGCTCAAACCAGCTGAGTTGTTTGATAGGCATTACTTAGAAGTTGACGGATGACAAAGTAGACACAATTTATGGACAACAACTTCTTATTTACTATTTACAGTAACTAAAGAAGTTGTTGTCGATAAATTGGTCTACTTTGTGTCCAAACCAGGTATACAAACACTCTAATCGGAGTAATCCTCAAAGATGATGTCTACAGCCAATATAGGGAATAGAGAAACCGATCATGATACCTATTTGGGGAACATTATTTCTGAGTTGACAGCTAAATGTGTAGCCACAGTTGGTAAGGTATTCTCTGTGTGATGCTGTATTGTTGACACATGGTGCTTACGTGTGATGTCCTTGGTCCATGCAGGAGTGTGGATGACGATGTCTACAAGATCGCGGTGTCGCTGGCGGAGCGGTATGAGCTGTCTGTGTGGGAGGTGTACATGTCGCATCTGGAGTTCGTCTTCACGGACAGCGGGTCAGTACAACCTAGATATGCTGATACTGGAAACTTCAGGCAGTTTTCAGGACATGAAAATAACTTCAACAACATTGATGGTTTTTCTTTGTCATTTGTAATGTGCACATGCAGGGTCTTGTTATGATCAGGTCTTTCGTTCACACTACAGCTAAACAGCTAAACAAAGATTCCCATTATGGGTCACATCTGAATGACCTTTTGCGAACTTTGACTGACCAATGAAATGACACATGAAATAAACATTGGCCAATCAGGAAATAGCTTTCTCAGGCTTTAGGGCACTCATTTCAAACTGGGGACTTCCATTCCAAACTACGCTTTGATAAATATCAATTTAAAATTTGAAAACTCAACAAAAGAAAATACTGGAACGGCTGAGATACATAGCAGTACTTGTGATGGACCATGAAAAGTCTCTTCTGTTTGAAATAGTTTTCCCACTGAAGCGAGAGGGAGACGATGACTTCGACCGAAGAAGTCATACAGCCCATGTACATGTACATGTGAAGTATTAATGGTTAAAAAGTATTAAGTTACACCTTCATGCAGTCTCATTAAAATCAGATCTTACTTCTCGACACCACTAAACAGAGATCTGAGGACATCACATTATGGATCACATCACAGCCTTTCATCTGACCAACCAGAGCACCACTTACCAGATCGAGAAAGTGACAGTCGGAATGTAATTTATAATCATGCAACCTGAAAATGGTTAACATGGGGTATTCCGATATCATGGACATCAGACATCCAAGAGTTGAATATTTACAGGGTGAATAGCAGACACTTAAAATCGCAAAATTATACATAATCCAGCAGGATATGTGCAGGTGAAACCTCAGATGCAAGAATCAACGGCAGATTAAAGTTCCTGCATCAGACCTTGAGTCTGTTGGTTCTTATTCCTGACTTTGTCTCTGCTTCCTCTTCCTCTCCATCTTGAGAGCTTCAAATCTCCACTAAAGGCTGATATGTTTAGCAGTTACCCTCCGTGTACTCTGATTGTATGCCCATCTACACACCTTTGTGGTATTTATGTCGTTATTGTTACTATGCGGAGGAATTAAGAAGGAATGATTGTTACCATGGGTACTGCATCCCCAGACTCACCACGGAGCAGGTGGAGGAGCGGGTGACCAGGCTGAAGATTCTACCAGAGCTCACCGAACAGCCCGACAAGTTCTGTGAGCGGATGTACAAGTATGTCTTCCCCACCATCGATGGGACGGACCACGAGCGTCTGATGTACTTCTTCCAGCTGCTGGACAAACACGACCCCGGCCAGATCCAGGGACAGACCCCAGATGCTCATGTCAAGCTGCTGAAGAAACTCAAGCCTGTTGCACCTGGTATGTGTGTGTGTAGATGTGTGTTGGGGGTAGTCTGTTGGACCTGGTATGTGTGTAGATGTGTGTTTGGGAGAAGCAAGGTTTGTCTTCAGAAATGGCTTAGAAGTGTGTTGGACACTGTGCTCAGGGGAAGTGTGTTGGACAAGGTGTGTGTTCAGGGGAGTGTGTTGGACAAGGTATGTGTTCAGGGGAGTGTGTTGGACAAGATGTGTGTTCAGGGAAGTGTGTTGGACAAGGTGTGTGTTCAGGGAAGGGTGTTGGACAAGGTGTGTGTTCAGGGGAGTGTGTTGGACAAGGTGTGTGTTCAGGGGAGTGTGTTGGACAAGGTGTGTGCTCAGGGGAGTGTGTTGGACAAGGTGTGTGTTCAGGGAAGTGTGTTGGACAAGGTGTGTGTACAGGGAAGTGTGTTGGACAAGGTGTGTGTTCAGGGGAGTGTGTTGGACAAGGTGTGTGTTCAGGGGAGTGTGTTGGACAAGGTGTGTGTTCAGGGGAGTGTGTTGGACAAGGTGTGTGTTCAGGGGAGTGTGTTGGACAAGGTGTGTGTTCAGGGAAGTGTGTTGGACAAGGTGTGTGTTCAGGGGAGTGTGTTGGACAAGGTATGTGTTCAGGGGAGTGTGTTGGACAAGATGTGTGTTCAGGGAAGTGTGTTGGACGAGGTGTGTGTTCAGGGGAGTGTGTTGGACAAGGTGTGTGCTCAGGGGAGTGTGTTGGACAAGGTGTGTGTTCAGGGGAAGTGTGTTGGACAAGGTGTGTGTACAGGGAAGTGTGTTGGACAAGGTGTGTGTTCAGGGAAGTGTGTTGGACAAGGTGTGTGTTCAGGGGAGTGTGTTGGACAAGGTGTGTGTTCAGGGGAGTGTGTTGGACAAGGTGTGTGTTCAGGGAAGTGTGTTGGACAAGGTGTGTGTTCAGGGGAGTGTGTTGGACAAGGTGTGTGTTCAGGGGAGTGTGTTGGACAAGGTGTGTGTTCAGGGAAGTGTGTTGGACAAGGTGTGTGTTCAGGGCAGTGTGTTGGACAAGGTGTGTGTTCAGGGGAGTGTGTTGGTCAAGGTGTGTGTTCAGGGAAGTGTGTTGGACAAGGTGTGTGTTCAGGGGAGTGTGTTGGACAAGGTGTGTGTTCAGGGAAGTGTGTTGGACAAGGTGTGTGTTCAGGGCAGTGTGTTGGACAAGGTATGTGTTCAGGGGAGTGTGTTGGACAAGGTGTGTGTTCAGGGGAGTGTGTTGGACAAGGTGTGTGTTCAGGGAAGTGTGTTTTGTGGTTAGTGTCCGTGAAATGAAACCTTATATCTGTATATCGCAACATGTTAATGTCTGTTTGCAGGCTTAGACTACCACAAGCTGATGGATGGCAAGACTGCTCCTCTGGGTGTGCTGCAGCCGGTCCTTGACAGCGGGAACGTAAATACACTGGCCAAACTTGCGGCTAAAATACCTGACGGGGTGAGACTTTGTTGCCTTAAAGAACATTTCAAGGGTATGAAAGTATTGATTCTATGTTGATAGCACTAAACGTTAGTTTGAAGAAACAGGAAGCTGCGGGTTCCTGATAATGACAATGTTGCCTTGTTGATTGTAGAGCTGTTGGTTTCTGATAATGACCTTGTTGCCTTGTTGGTTGTAGAGCCTTGGGTTCCTGATAAGGACCTTGTTGCCTTGTTGGTTGTAGAGCATTGGGTTCCTGATAATGACAATGTTGCCTTGTTGGTTGTAGAGCGGTGGGTTCCTAAAAATGACAATGTTGCCTTGTTGATTGTAGAGCTGTTGGTTTCTGATAATGACCTTGTTGCCTTGTTGGTTGTAGAGCCTTGGGTTCCTGATAAGGACCTTGTTGCCTTGTTGGTTGTAGAGCATTGGGTTCCTGATAATGACAATGTTGCCTTGTTGGTTGTAGAGCGGTGGGTTCCTAAAAATGACAATGTTGCCTTGTTGATTGTAGAGCTGTTGGTTTCTGATAATGACCTTGTTGCCTTGTTGGTTGTAGAGTGGTGGGTTCTGATAATGACCTTGTTGCCTTGTTGGTTGTAGAGGGGTGGGTTTCTGATAATGACAATGTTGCCTTGTTGGTTGTAGAGCTGTTGGTTCCTGATAATGACCTTGTTGCCTTGTTGGTTGTAGAGCGGTGGGTTCCTGATAATGACCTTGTTGCCTTGTGGTTGTAGAGCGGTGGGTTCCTGATAATGACCTTGTTGCTTTGTTGGTTGTAGAGCGGTGGGTTCCTGATAATGACCTTGTTGCTTTGTTGGTTGTAGAGCTGTTGGTTTCTGATAATGACCTTGTTGCCTTGTTGGTTGTAGAGCGGTGGGTTCTGATAATGACCTTGTTGCCTTGTTGGTTGTAGAGGGGTGGGTTTCTGATAATGACAATGTTGCCTTGTTGGTTGTAGAGCTGTTGGTTCCTGATAATGACCTTGTTGCCTTGTTGGTTGTAGAGTGGTGGGTTCTGATAATGACCTTGTTGCCTTGTTGGTTGTAGAGGGGTGGGTTTCTGATAATGACAATGTTGCCTTGTTGGTTGTAGAGCTGTTGGTTCCTGATAATGACCTTGTTGCCTTGTTGGTTGTAGAGCGGTGGGTTCCTGATAATGACCTTGTTGCCTTGTGGTTGTAGAGCGGTGGGTTCCTGATAATGACCTTGTTGCTTTGTTGGTTGTAGAGCGGTGGGTTCCTGATAATGACCTTGTTGCTTTGTTGGTTGTAGAGCTGTTGGTTTCTGATAATGACCTTGTTGCCTTGTTGGTTGTAGAGCGGTGGGTTCCTGATAATGACCTTGTTGCCTTGTGGTTGTAGAGCGGTGGGTTCCTGGTAATGACCTTGTTGCTTTGTTGGTTGTAGAGCGGTGGGTTCCTGATAATGACCTTGTTGCTTTGTTGGTTGTAGAGTGGTGGGTTCCTGATAATGACAATGTTGCCTTGTTGGTTGTAGAGCTGTGAGTTTCTGATAATGACAATGTTGCCTTGTTGGTTGTAGAGTGGTGGGTTCCTGATAATGACAATGTTCCCTTGTTGGCTGTAGTGCGGTGGGTTCCTGATAATGACCTTGTTTCTTTGTTGGTTGTAGAGCTGTGGGTTTCTGATAATGACAATGTTGCCTTGTTGGTTGTAGAGGGGTGGGTTCCTGATAATGACAATGTTGCCTTGTTGGTTGTAGAGCTGTGGGTTCCTGATAATGACAATGTTGCCTTGTTGGTTGTAGAGCTGTGGGTTTCTGATAATGACAATGTTGCCTTGTTGGTTGTAGAGCGGTGGGTTCCTGATAATAACAATGTTGCCTTGTTGGTTGTAGAGCGGTGGGTTCCTGATAATGACAATGTTGCCTTGTTGGTTGTAGAGTGGTGGGTTCCTGATAATGACCTTGTTGCTTTGTTGGTTGTAGAGCTGTTGGTTTCTGATAATGACCTTGTTGCCTTGTTGGTTGTAGAGCTGTTGGTTCCTGATAATGACCTTGTTGCCTAGAGCGGTGGGTTCCTGGTAATGACCTTGTTGCTTTGTTGGTTGTAGAGCTGTGGGTTCCTGATAATGACCTTGTTGCTTTGTTGGTTGTAGAGTGGTGGGTTCCTGATAATGACAATGTTGCCTTGTTGGTTGTAGAGCTGTGAGTTTCTGATAATGACAATGTTGCCTTGTTGGTTGTAGAGTGGTGGGTTCCTGCTAATGACAATGTTGCCTTGTTGGCTGTAGAGCGGTGGGTTCCTGATAATGACCTTGTTTCTTTGTTGGTTGTAGAGCTGTGGGTTTCTGATAATGACAATGTTGCCTTGTTGGTTGTAGAGCGGTGGGTTCCTGATAATGACAATGTTGCCTTGTTGGTTGTAGAGCTGTGGGTTCCTGATAATGACAATGTTGCCTTGTTGGTTGTAGCGCTGTGGGTTTCTGATAATGACAATGTTGCCTTGTTGGTTGTAGAGCGGTGGGTTCCTGATAATGACCTTGTTGCTTTGTTGGTTGTAGAGCTGTGGGTTTCTGATAATGACCTTGTTGCCTTGTTGGTTGTAGAGCTGTTGGTTTCTGATAATGACCTTGTTGCCTTGTTGGTTGTAGAGTGGTGGGTTCTGATAATGACCTTGTTGCCTTGTTGGTTGTAGAGGGGTGGGTTTCTGATAATGACAATGTTGCCTTGTTGGTTGTAGAGCTGTTGGTTCCTGATAATGACCTTGTTGCCTTGTTGGTTGTAGAGCGGTGGGTTCCTGATAATGACCTTGTTGCCTTGTGGTTGTAGAGCGGTGGGTTCCTGGTAATGACCTTGTTGCCTTGTTGGTTGTAGAGCTGTGGGTTTCTGATAATGACCTTGTTGCCTTGTTGGTTGTAGAGCTGTTGGTTTCTGATAATGACCTTGTTGCCTTGTTGGTTGTAGAGCGGTGGGTTCCTGATAATGACCTTGTTGCCTTGTTGGTTGTAGAGCTGTGGGTTTCTGATAATGACAATGTTGCCTTGTTGGTTGTAGAGCGGTGGGTTCCTGATAATGACCTTGTTGCCTTGTTGGTTGTAGAGCTGTGGGTTCCTGATAATGACCTTGTTGCCTTGTTGGTTGTAGAGCGGTGGGTTCCTGATAATGACCTTGTTGCCTTGTTGGTTGTAGAGCTGTTGGTTCCTGATAATGACCTTGTTGCCTTGTTGGTTGTAGAGCGGTGGGTTCCTGATAATGACCTTGTTGCCTTGTTGGTTGTAGAGCTGTGGGTTCCTGATAATGACAATGTTGCCTTGTTGGTTGTAGAGCTGTGAGTTTCTGATAATGACAATGTTGCCTTGTTGGTTGTAGAGTGGTGGGTTCCTGATAATGACAATGTTGCCTTGTTGGCTGTAGAGCGGTGGGTTCCTGATAATGACCTTGTTTCTTTGTTGGTTGTAGAGCTGTGGGTTTCTGATAATGACAATGTTGCCTTGTTGGTTGTAGAGCGGTGGGTTCCTGATAATGACAATGTTGCCTTGTTGGTTGTAGAGCTGTGGGTTCCTGATAATGACAATGTTGCCTTGTTGGTTGTAGAGCTGTGGGTTTCTGATAATGACAATGTTGCCTTGTCATGCTTGTTGGTTGTAGAGCGGTGGGTTCCTGATAATGACCTTGTTGCTTTGTTGGTTGTAGAGCTGTGGGTTTCTGATAATGACCTTGTTGCCTTGTTGGTTGTAGAGCGGTTGGTTCCTGATAATGACAATGTTGCCTTGTTGGTTGTAGAGTGGTTGGTTCCTGATAATGACAATGTTGCCTTGTTGGTTGTAGAGTGGTGGGTTCCTGATAATGACCTTGTTGCCTAGTTGGTTGTAGAGTGGTGGCTTTCTGATAATGACAATGTTGCCTTGTGGTTGTAGAGCGGTGGGTTCCTGCACTCCAGTGTGGTGTATTCTGCCTGGGCTGTCACTCACTTCTGGAAACCGGACCAGGCCGGGAAACAAACTGATAGACCTGTAAGTAGACACAAACACAGTCATACATTGTTCCAGTGACACTTTCTATAATGCTCCTTTTCATTTGAGCCTGACATAGATTTATCACAAGCAAAAGGGAAATGATTAATAACCCTGTTTTGGTTTGAAAATAAGCTTTGTACCGATACTTCACCTGAAGTGAAAGGTCATATGAGCTAATTTATACATAAAAAACATTTTGAGAGACTTGTTGATTAAAACAAAGGGATCCAGAATATTTAATGATAAACTTATAGCCACAACAAACTTTCCTCTGATGTGTGATAAATGGGAAAATAAACTTAATCAAGGCATTTTATGGAATAATATTTTAATAATTGTAGAATGTGTACCAATGATGTTAAACTAATAGATTTCTAGTACAGATTCATAAATAGAGCTCTATATATCAAAAAGGAATTACTGAAAATGAAGTTAATGGATGATGATATATGCTCATTTTTGTGTCTCTGAATCTGAAAACTTATACCATGTGTATGTAGAATGCGTTTTTGTAAAGGGATTTGGTTAGAAATTGAAATGTACCTAAACTTGAAACTTGCATATGATATTCATATTACCATTCTGGATAAGTTATTTTGCTACACCAAAAACAACTATCTTTTCAACCATATAATTCTTCTTGCAAAAAAATACATTCACCAGTCAAGCATTAAGAAAACTCCATTATGCTTTCCTTTTTTCATAAAAGTATTGAAAGATGTATGTAAATAGATAAAATTATCGCAATGAAAAATAGTAGTATTAATAGATTCGACAGAAAATGGAAGGAATTATCAGCCTAATTATTATAATTTCTCAGTCAATCAATATATATACACACCCATATCTGACTATGTTGTAAGATTCTATGAATTGCTGCACGTATATATACCTCATGTACCAATGTTACATTTGTGTCTACTGAATTGAAATAAAAATATTTAAAAAACAAACAAAAAGGTCATAAGAGCTTATGGTACTGTATTTGTCAATTGTTCGTCCAATCACTGTAAACTTTTCGAAAAAGTCTTAAACCACATGTACTATGAAGCTGAGCAGCATCGTGTAGCATGGGATTAGTAACTGCTGATTTGGCTCTGTGGGACAGGCAACAGATGCTTATACCCGATACAAGATGAACCTCGAGCATTTGCATTTCATCAGATGATAATAATTACAGAAGAAAGAGAGAATAAGTTGTAAGTTTTTGTAAGGCATTTGGAAGTGATACACATAAGGAAGAGAATTTATGAATGTCAACTTCTTTATTATCAGGAGGATGTTTAGGAGTATATACTTACTCCTTCATCAGATGAATAAAATTTACCATTTTATTTACCTGATGAAGGAGTAATTATACAAGTATACTCTGAAATGTTGTGCTCATCATAACAAAAAAGTTGATACCCATATATTCCCTTCCTTGAGTTGTAAGTTGATGATGAATCGGTACAGTGATACTAACATGCATGTCTCGTGTTGCTTCCAGTCCGGTTGGATCCACAGGTATGAGAGCTGTGGAGACTTTCTTCAGAAACTCCTCCCCCAAGACATTGTCAACTTCATCGACAGTATCGCTTTCAGCAGTAACAGTCGCAGGCTGGTACGTAGAAATAAGTCTATAAATTTGTTGACCTTTTTGCACTTTTTAATTTTATTTTGTAAATGATCATGTTTCTGTTGTTTTCTCTAGCTGAGTTGCTTGTTCATGTCAGAAAACTTCTGTTTGTGTCCACATTTCCTGTGAAGGGTATTGATGAAGCTTTCTTTATTCAGTTGGAAATCAGCTGTCGGCAGGAGATAGTGAAGCGGGCACTGCGGCTCTGTCGCCAGCAAGGAGGTGGGGGTGGGAAGAAGAAGAAGCAAGAGGATTCCGGGAAGATGAGCTGGGACGAGGCAGCCAATCAACTGCAGCAGAGGGTCGCCCATCTTGAAAATGTCAACAGTGACACTATTCGGTCATTCAGCCAGGCTGACAAGCCAAAGTATCAGAAGTACGCCGAGATGTACGACAAGAGTTGCGGCAACGACAAGATGGTGAGGCTGCAGGAATTATTGATGACTGCATTTTCGGAGAAATAAATCTCACCATCATCCAGAAACCCATTTTAGTATTGTGATTATAAAATGAAAAACATGAGATATAGATCGTTCTTTCTGAAACTTCAGATACATCAGCTTCTGGTTACCATAGTTACTGATGGGGAGATACCAGACCTTGTAGATGATGTGATACAAGTGGCGCCGCGAGGAGCTTGGACAGTCCGGACAGCGGTTCAGGAATCGGTCAGACTTGTGGCACACAAACTCAGGTAAATGTCACTATAGCAATTACTTATTGCAAATAAAATGAGAGGAATGTCCTTAGATATAATATTCTATGAATGTACACTGACAGACATATGGCAAAAGGGAGACATGTTACAGATGAGTACTGTATTTGATGTAATAAGTGCCCAGGGCGCTCTCAAAATTTGAAATAGGGGGCTTTTATTAGAATGTTATTTTGGTGAAATGAAACAGAGTTGAAAGATCGTAAATTTCGTGGTTTATGCTGACAGCCTGAAATGTTTATATACGACAGATATATTTTTCCAGAATTTAATTGCCCATAATTAAGTGTGCATATAACACACAACTGCGTATTATTGACGAATAAATACGTTTTGTGTACATTGATCAGTCTGAAGGGGAGCTAATTGGGATTGTTCACTAGCCAATATATTAGCAAATATTGCCGTGGACGCTTATTAGAGCGGGGTGCTTATTATGTCGAATACAGTATGTCATATTTGCTGGATATGTATGACGGTATGGAATTGTTGTAATGGTGATTATGTTACGTCAGGGTGACTTCTTTGGGTCTGATGGGCTTCCTAGCAAGTTCATCTTACTGAGGCAAGGGAGTTAACTGACTTTAAAAGTCCAGTTTCCACCCTTGCCGAACTAGGCTGGAATTCCTGTTCATCTTCCTGAGGCAAGGGAGTTAACTGACTTTAAAAGTCCAGTTTCCACCCTTGCCGAACTAGGCTGGAATTCCTGGGCTCGATCGTAGCGCCACCAGTCGCTGTTACAAATTAAGTCCCTTCTAAGCCTCTCCTATGGACCAATCAGATTCCACCTCTCGTATCACTTGCATTTGCTTCAAACAAAATGGCGGCGCCCAGTCAAGACGATCTGATCTGATCGATAATCAAGATCTATATTGTGATAAAACGGGTCTTACATCACGAAGTGCATCAAATCACATAAGCACATGGATTAAAAACTTGAAAAGATTTGGAAAATATCTGGTGACGAGTTGGCGTTGCACATGCTGTGCAAATCTTGCAATCAACCAAAATCTGCACGACAGTTTACGAACCGGATTTCGCTTTTGATTGGACTATGCATAGACTCGTTAGTCCAGCCAAAATCTAACTCTATAATACCAGCCTAGTTCGGCAAGGGTGGAAACTGAACTTTTATAGTCAGTTAACTCTCTTGCCTCGGGAAGATGAGCAAGTTTGATTCCAGGCATTCACTATCCATGGTCTGGTCACTATGTTTTTCTATGCAAATGTGATGTAATTCAGTCTAGCAATTGATGATTAACCTAATTACACAAAGACAATGTCTCAGGTTCAGTCATTGCACAATGTCTAGACCTACAATGGCCACCACACCATGGAGCATTGTCCATTTTGAGACAGGCAGTTACAGAGTTACAGTTTGTTGTTCTTGTATTGCAGATGTCCTGACAGTCCTTGTGAGGTGTTGGGAGACCAGGAGGTGTTGACGGTGTTGGAGAAGTTGGTTGTGAATGTACAGGAGCACGAAGAGGCAGGGTGGGTACTTGGTCTGGGTGGGGTGGGGGTACATTGACACCTGTGTGAGGGTACTTGGCCTGGGTGGGGTAGGGGGGTACATTGACACTTGTGTTGGGGTACTTGGTCTGGGTGGGGTAACATGGACACCAGTGTTGGGGTACTTGGTCTGGGTGGGGGTACATGGACACCAGTGTTGGGGTACTTGGTCTGGGTGGGGTTGGGGGGTACATTGACACATGTGTTGGGGTACTTGGTCTGGGTGGGGGTACATTGACACCAGTGTTGGGGTACTTGGTCTGGGTGGGGTGGGGGGTACATGGACACCAGTGTTTGGGTACTTGGTCGGGGTGGGGTGGGGGGGTACATGGACACATGTGTTGGGGTACTTGGTGTGGGTGGGGGTACATTGACACCTGTGTTGGGGTACTTGGTCGGGGTGGGGTGGGGGGGTACATGGACACATGTGTTGGGGTACTTGGTGTGGGTGGGGGTACATTGACACCAGTGTTGGGGTACTTGGTCGGGGTTGGGTGGGGGGGTACATTGACACATGTGTTGGGGTACTTGGTCTGGGTTGGATGGGGGGGTACATTGACACCAGTGTTGGGGTACTTGGTCTGGGTGGGGTGGGGGGTACATTGACACATGTGTTGGGGTACTTGGTCTGGGTGGGGTGGGGGGTACATTGACACATGTGTTGGGGTACTTGGTCTGGGTGGGGGTACATTGACACCAGTGTTGGGGTTCTTGGTCTGGGTGGGGTTGGGGGGTACATTGACACATGTGTTGGGGTACTTGGTCTGGGTGGGGGTACATTGACACCAGTGTTGGGGTACTTGGTCTGGGTGGGGTGGGGGGTACATGGACACCAGTGTTTGGGTACTTGGTCTTGGTGGGGTAGGGGGTACATTGACACCAGTGTTGGTGTACTTGGTCTGGGTGGGGTGGGGGGGTACATTGACACCAGTGTTGGGGTACTTGGTCTGAATGGGGTGGGTGGTACATGGACACCAGTGTTGGGGTACTAGGTCTGAATGGGGTGTGTAGGGCGTGTGTTGGAGTACTAGGTCTGGGTGGGGTGGGGTAACATGGACACCAGTGTTGGGGTACTTGGTCTGGGTGGGGTGGGGTGGGGGGGTACATTGACACCAGTGTTGGGGTACTTGGTCTGGGTGGGGTGGGTGGGTACATGGACACCTGTGTTAGGGTACTTGGTCGGGGTGGGGTGGGGGGGTACATTGACACATGTGTTGGGGTACTTGGTGTGGGTGGGGGTACATTGACACCAGTGTTGGGGTACTTGGTCGGGGTTGGGTGGGGGGTACATTGACACCAGTGTTGGGGTACTTGGTCCGGGTTGGGTGGGTGGGTACATTGACACCTGTGTTGGGGTACTTGGTCGGGATGGGGTGGGGGGGGTACATGGACACCAGTGTTGAAGTACTAGGTCTGAATGGGGTGTGTAGGGCGTGTGTTGGAGTACTAGGTCTGGGGGGGGGGGGGGAGACAGGGGGTACTTGGTCCAGCTACTGTGGAGAAGTCTGTTACTGTGACTGACCTGGCGAAGTCTCTCTAACTTATGACTGACTGTGTTGTTTCAGGGGTGACCTGGTTGTGTCTGAGGATGTCATGTCTCTTCTCCGTCCATTTTGCTCAGACAGTAGTGTGGCTGTCAAACCCCGCCTTGATGTCCTGCACATCCTCGAGAAGGTTTGTGATTAGTTGACATTCCTGAATGTCAATAAGCTCAGACAGAAAGTGTTACAGCTGTCTTAGGGTTAGATTGGGTCCCCAGCACACCATTGCTGGTCGTGAGAGGCAATATAACTGGATCTGGTAGTCATGCTCCATTAACTGCTGATTGGTTTGACAGGCTTTGACTCCATTGTTTGAGGCTGCCCCGGAAATTAGCTATAGCATGACACATTTGCTCACTCACTCACTCTGAATGAAGACATGTGTTTGGGCAGTTGGTTTGCTTGAGTTTCTGATGTTAACGTTATTGTATGTTTCAGAGTTTCCACCTGTCCCAGGAGGACACAGCTCTGCTGACCTTCTACAGGACAGAAGCTCTCATGTCTGCAGCATGGAAGGAGCAGAAGGTAGGGAGGGGAGTTTTGGAAGTTGGAAGGTGGTAGAGGGTGGGGCAGAAGGTAGGGAGGGGGGTAGAAGGTGGTAGAGGGTGGGTCAGGAAAGGGACTAGGGATGGAGCAGAAGATAGGGAGGGGATGGGGATGGGGAGTGGGGTGGGAGAGATAATGAAATGAGGGAGAGCCTTGGGTTTCAACGAAGGTGATGGTTATGTTGATGATGGTATTCCTGTGTTTCAGGTGTCTGAAGCCGACATCCAGACTGACGACAGCAGACAGAAGTTGTTCTGTCGTCTCCTGGACACAAGCTCAAACAAGGAACAGTTTACGTCTCTGTGTCGTCTGCTCAAGCTGTGGCCACCATTACCACAAGGAGGGGATAGGTAAGGGGCAATAACCCTACTTGGACTGTTAGAATCAATACTTTAGTCAAAAATATTTCAAATTTGATTATCCAAGTCAATTTGTCAGGAGCTGGCTACTCACATTAGGCTATGAACTAAACTAGAGAAGAAATAGACACCCTCCATCTTCAAAGATAAAATTGGGTGCAAAACAGATATAAGGAAGAGAATATATGGATGTCAACTTCTTTATTATGAGGAACACAATGTTTCGGAGTATATGCTTACTCCTTCATCAGGTGATGTCAGTAAATTTTGGGAGCCATGCTTTACCGCCCACTATAACTGAGTTAGCACTATATTGAAGGGCGCAATAACGAGGGAGCACTGTATACTCGTATACTTACTCCTTCATCAGGTGAATAAAATAGTAAATATATTCTTTTCCTTATGTGAATCACTTCTAAATGCCTTTCAAAGACCTAAAACAGATATGTTAAAATTCAGTGTTTCTTTATACAATGTGAATGAGAAGTTCGTAGAAACTATGGCTGGACATATGGATTACCTGTCACTCTGTGTCCTCCCCAGTGTCCCTCCGCGGGACAACACGTGGGTGCAGGTGTTTACTGCTATGGTGAGGTCCCTGGGCCCGGGAGGAGCGACACTCCTCAATGCCATCATTGCAGACGTGTGTGAAGGAAACCCCATTAATCTGGAGGTGAGCAGACTGACGCCCGGTTCATTTAGACTTTGTGTTCCTGGAAGGATTTCAAACAATATGTCTTTTTTTCAAACTACAAAATAGGTAACTTCTGTCATTTAAACCATGGCTTCTTTGTCTCTGATCATGCATTAACTAACTGAAATGTTAAACACTGCTTGGCTTATCTTTTTCATAACCAGCTTAAGCATCATATGAATCATAGAGAACATGTATAATTTTCTTGTATATACATTCAGCGTTAGAAGCTAACTGTTTTGGTCCACTAGTCCTTATAATGATGGCGTGTTGCAAAACCCTTAAAAATGGCAAATTTCTACTATTCCTTATGATACCTTAACTATTTGGCAGTTTGGCAAGGACTATCGGACTAGTGCTTGTTTCTATCGCTTTGTATATAAATTAATTAATTACATAGATAGAACAAAAATTTGAAAACTAATATTCTGCTTGTACAAGTTGTGAGGTAGTATGGTTTCCCTCGCAGTGTACCCGTGCAGTGTTTGATGTGATGGTGGAACACAAAGAGGCGACAGAGGCAGTCAAGTTCGTTCTCCGCTCCGGTCACATCACTCTCTTTCCGACTGCTGTGGAAACACTTGCTGGTCAATTGGAGGTAAGCCTGGCGCCTACAGCCTCTACTGACACTGAGGGCCATAATGGGAGAATGTCAAGGAGGAATTTGTTCATACTGTTTATTGGCAGTTTGTCTATCAGTTCACAGGCCTGTTATGGCTGTGTAGCTATAGGATTATTTGACATGTGGTAGGTGATGAAAAGGTCGGCATCCCTGTATTAGGTAAGGAGAATTCTGGATTTTACATTTGGTTCGAGCCCTTTGCCGGTTATTGTTTGTTTGTTTGTTTATTGTTTAACGCCGCACACAGCAGTATTCCAGCTATATGATGGCGATCTGTGTAAATAATCGAGTCTGGACCAGGCAATGCAGCGATTGACAACATGAGCATCGATCCATGCAATTGGGATCGATGACATGCATCAACCAAGTCAGCGAGCCTGACCACCCGATCCCATTAGTTGCCTCTAACAACAAGCTTAGTCGCCTTTCATGGCAAGAATTGGTTGCTTTGCCAGTTAATGAGAGGTGGTGAGGAGAAATAGGGTTTAAAGTTACTTTCAAGATTATTTCACTTACTTAGCGACATGCATTGGTGCATTTTGTGTGTGTGTGTATGTGCGTGTGCATTTTATGTGTGTGTATCTGCATTAGTCCAGACTAGTGCCAGACTAATGCTGTAGGGCTCGTCAACGGAGATACCATGCCACAGTTTATCAGGAATACCCCACTCAGACACAGTGTATTGACTCCGAGTCAACCAGCCCTTGTTTTGCCTCCTTATTACCAAGAACCAGACAGGGGAACAACAAATGTCTTTTGGTATGAGACGGTCAGGGGATTGAACCCCCAACCTTCCGCTCTGCGGGCAGACATCCTATCGACTGTCTACGGAGGCGGTCTGCCAGGTAGCGAGAGTGGCCTCTGACACCAATACTTCCTTCTTCCTGTTGCAGGCTGTGCGGGATGAGGATTTGCTCAACATCATCTTGCAGCATCGGCTAGTCACATCCATCGTCAAGACAACACACTACACAGCTCTCATTGAATACCTGCTGGAGAAACAGGGCTCAGATAGTCGGCCTGATTGGTTGGATCCAGTGGCTGTAGCCAATCAGCTGTCAGAGGCCGGGTTTCAAGCCGAGGCAGGCTCCGTGCTACTTCAAGCACGATCCAGCCACCCCGGGCTACACACCTTCGGCACAGCTCTCAGCGTGATCGGGAAATGGTTGAAGAAATCTTGATGATGTCCTTCTTTAGGGTGGTGGATATTGTGGTGTGGTTTTAGTATTTTGACTTCCGTGATGGCTCCTACCAAGTGTTATTGCTCTGTTTATGGGTGTTAAATATTTCACCTGACTTTAATTTGATATCTGCTTTGGAAGTGCAAAATTTTAAAACACACCTGGAATTGAATGAGACCTTGTTTGTTTGTTATGTTTATCCTGTATTTGGTTCCTCAGTAATAAGTACACAATACATAATAGATCATTATTATATGTTCATCAATACACAGTGCCACTTAGAAAGTAGTCAAAAGTAACAAATGTTACATTTGGGATAACACTTTCTTAGTAAAGTACCGATTCTAGTACTTTTTTGGGGACTGAGTCTGGTATTCGAACCCACACTGCCAGCGAGGCACCTAATCCCCAGCACACAAAGTCAGCGATCTAACCCACTCAGGTGTGGAAGCTTCAGTGAGTGGGTTAGATCGTTGACTTTGTTTGCTGGTTATTAGGTGCCTCTCTCTGGCAGTGTGGGTTCGAATCCCAGATGGGACTCGACCCAAAAAAGTGCTAGAATCTGTACTTTACTAAGAAAGTGTTATCCCAAAATTAACATTTGTTATAGATGTTTATCTCCAGCCGCCTCAGTACCAAGCATCCCACCTTACATCATGTAATTGTCCCACGTTACCCGACGGTGTGTGTTCCATTCTTTACTTGAGGAAACACACTATATACTACCAAACAGTCCTACTTCATGGGAATCACACCCATCAACAGCTCATGTAAACACATGCCTTGATCAGTTTGTTTTGAAAGAATAGCACAATGTGACCTACCAGGAGAAAAGGGACCTTGTGGGTGTAGGACACAATTGTGCTGTGACGTCATCAAGACGTTTGACGTCAACTTACTTCCCTGAAAAATGGCCTTGTGTGTGGAACTGTACAAAAATATATTATTTTACTCTCATTATTTTGTAATGTAAAGAAGACATTATTTCAAAACATTTCAGCTTACATGCCTACGTTCAATTAATCAGACTGTGATTAGTTAATAAACAGTCATAAGCGTGATGTCTGAAAATTTGACTTTGCAGAAAATGAGTCCAAATGTTTGATGCCATGTATTTTTAGGGTCCTAAGATAACGTAGTTTTAAAATATATTAAGGTGTCAAAATGTGATTTTTCGCCCACAAGGTCCCTTATCTCATGGTTGGTCACATATAACAAACAAAATGCACCCCTTTCTTTTTGATGAAAATTTAATCATTTGTTGTGTCCTAATTAAGATCAATTGTTTGTAGTACATATTCTATATTGTGGTTCAAGTGGAATCAGGTTCAGGTATTGTTAGAGAGAACAAGTTACAACCAGTATGTATTCTCCACATTACTTATTTGCTCGTCCGTCACTAGCAAGTTTAAACATAGATGCTGGCACTTGAACACCTACAATGAGTTATATTTGGCTGCTTTTGAAAAGTCCTATCTCAACACATGGATACAAGCATCGTTATGATGCCCTCACTAAAAAATATACAACTCAAAAGAAATCAAAGAACACCTGATTCTATCATATTACTAAAGTTAATCTAACATGGCATGGCTTATTCCCTATAGCAACATGATAAAATCGGGTGTTGTTTAACTTCTTTTGAGAGTTATAATATGAGCGATCAAACAAAACCATTTGACATTTTTTTTAACAAACAAGTTCGACTATGAGAATCTGTGATTGCATTTGGCAGGAATGTTTATGAACAGTTGCTTGTGATGTTATTTTGGAATTTTCAAGGTCTTACTCATGGCCATAGGTTTAATTTATTAATCGTAATCCAGACTCTGTATGAACAATAAACGGCAATATGATGATATGTTTCAGTAGCGATACTATTGAGACGACCCTTGTCCTGCAACATGTTGAAAGTGACTCACAATGAGATGGTTTGTTTACAGTTGTCTTGGTCTGTATGTTGGAGAAACATATTCTATCATGGCTGTAGATGAACTGTTGTGTAAGCAAATTATTTGGATTATGGTAAATTGTCGGGAGAGAGCTAACCACGCTGAAGCTCTGCTGCTGAATTGATGTGTCAAATAGATGTAGGAGGCAAGATTGCAGGTGTACGTGGGTTCATAGATGCAGAATGGTCAAAGGGAAATGGTATTTGTTTAATGTATTTATAGTGAGAGTCGGTTACGATAATGCAACATCAATACTTATCTTAGTGCTAAGACAACCCTATGTGTCATGACGTATGACCTTAGTGCTGTGGTTGCTTTGTGGATAGATTGATCAGTTTAATCCACCAAGACATGTTTATATATCCTTCTCAAAAGTAGTTAGAGGACACCTGATATTTTCATGACTATAGTTAATCTGTCAAGCTACGAACAGTAAAAAACTCCACAATTAGAAGGCTGTGTGGTCCAATATCCACCTGCTACAAATTATAGTTATTTGAAAAAATTGGGTGTTATGTAACTTCTTTTGAGTATACTAGAGAGAAGGTGTATCATATGCGGTGCCAAAGTTATATGTTTTGTCCAGTCAGTTCAAGGATATATGTATATGTATATGTATATGTGGTTGCTTCGAATGGTATGGACTGAGAATTGTCAAGATTTGAAGAAGTGTTATCAGCCATTATGATCATAAATCTATACCTCATCTTGTTAGGTGTGTTGAAGCTGTGTCTGTATTTATTTATTATCTTCTCAATCTCTGTTGCTCAGGTGATATTTGTTACATGTGTTAAACTTGAAGTGTTTTGCTGGCGGCTGTGGCATTAGTTTCCGCTGTCATTAATGGAGCATCAAGTGTGTGTGTATGCATGGGGCATCAAGTGTGTGTATGTGAAGGGACACTAAAAGCTTCATCCGACGTGCATGATGCCAACATTCCCTTCACTTCTACTCTCATCAATGTTTACCACCAAAGTCAATCATATCTAGGAAAGACACTGTTCTAAGGACTGCAGTTGAAATTATGTGAGAGCTGTCACGTTGCTGTTGTTTTGGCAGAACACCTGGTGTTCCGAAGCCCTCTCTGAGCGCCCCCATGTGATTGAGGAGAACATTGACCTGGAGAACTCTCGCCACAGTTCTTCTTGCACCTCTGCCAGTAGTGCTCTCAAGGGGACATAACTCTTGCAACCATGCACAGCCTTTTAACCCATTTCCTTGTAAAGAGAACCTCAGTTAGCAGGTGGGGTGGATTCAGGAAGTCATCAATCTTTTGAACGGTTAGTTGACAGTATCAGTTTGATATTATGAATAGTGTGGTTTAATATATTGTGCGGAAATGACTGAATCATGTACTATACCACCCCCTTTGTTGGTTGTTGGTGGAGCATTAGCATGGTAGGTGGAAAGGCAGTTTGTCGCAGGCACATATACCTCAATAGCTCATGATACATGGTTATTTGGGAAATAAGCAGGGTGTAGGTGAATGTTGTTTTATGCCACAATTCGCAATAGCTCTCTCACATCAGCTCTCAGGACCTGACACGTCAGACTGTTGGGGTGCAATGACAGCAATCCACAAGGTCACATACAGTATCTTGATATTTGTTGCCTCGTATTACAAGCATGGGTAAAGGGGCCTATTCTGCTGGGAAACGCTAAAGCTAGATTGCTTTTTAGGCTAGATAAATTGATTTTCGAGAAAGTGACGGCTTTTGATTTTGTTTGAAACTATAAAGCGTAACAAACACTTCTACAATCATCATTTTCATTGGTTAAAACTACATTGGCATTTTTATGTTAAAGAAAAGGAAAGTTAAAAAACTAACAAACTGTTTCAAAATAATAATTTTGATTGAGTTATTAAGTTAGTGAAATAACCTGTGTGAATATTAGATCTTGTTTGGTGCAATTCATGTATACGCCTCTATGCAAACTGTTTAAGTAGTAGCAGATTCTGGGTTCACAGTTGATATGGACATTGCACAGACATCTTTATAACGAAAATGATTAACTATTTCGTGTGGCAATTAAATTTGTGGATTGTCTGATATCAGTGAATAATTTGAGAGATAAAACAAGAAATGTAACTGTTGATCTGTTTTGGGTGTTGGAATGAATTTAGCAACTAGTGGATCACATTAAGAGAATGTGACTTTATTCATAATGACAGTTGACTCAAGTCGGGGTGCACTATACCTAAGTGGCAGGTCTCTGTATGGAAACCAGAGTTCTAGAAATAAAATGCTTTAATATTTGACTGGCGTATGTTTTTGATATTTGTATTAATGTATAAGGAGTAAGACACGCTGACAGATCTTGGCAGATATGTGGTTATATATCAGCAAGAAACCTCTCAAGTATATGGGCTACCCGTAGTCCCAGTCAAGCGGAATGCTAATTTTAGGATTTGTATGGAATATGTGATGGAAAAGGTGATTTATAGCCTAAGAAGGGGCACGGGTGGCCCAGTCGTCTGAGGCGCCGAGATTCGCTGTGCAGAGTTGCGTCCCTTGGGCACGCCAGAAACCTATGATTGTGGGTTCGAATCCCGGTTCGCCCCGATTATGTTTCTAGGTCAGCACCATACCCGTGAAATCGGCCATCGGAAATCACCTCCATTTTGTCCACCCATTCACGAGTGTATGCAGCCATCAGGCGTTACGTTTTCTTCACTCCAGCAATCACCACAGCGTTCAGCTATTTTCATCGCCGCAGTGAGTGTTTGGTAATAACAGTATCACAATAATTTATAAGTAAGAAAAACCTTATCGGGATGATTTCTATTTCCCGACAAACCTACGCATTAAGTCTATATCATGTGCACACAGAAAATTCCAATTTCCTAAATGGGTTTTTTGGTGAACGCGTTCTCTGTGGTTGTATCGGCACTTTCCTTTTTTGTGGTCTCAAAATCTTAATACCCCCAGGGTTCCTGTATCTACTCACATCTAATGTCGCTGTTAAGGATGAAGTTTTGTCGGTTTTGATAAAAAAAACATCGTCTTGAAGAGCTTCAGGACTCGCCCCATCCTCAAGTCCTATCACTTCTCAGCAGGCGAGGCGCAAGTCTAATGGCCATGAGAGATGTAATGTCGTAACGAGATGCCCCGATGATTGCCGAATGAGGCGGCGCGTGGAAGCTTCAAACAGACGTCAGCGTCTCAGCTGTTTTATATGCCGTGGTGAGGCTCAATATTTATGTTACTGTAGGAATATATATATGTATGTTGATCTGAGAGAGGGAGACTCCGGTTGGAGTGACGTATCGCAGGCATGGCACAGATTACTTACCTCCTGCTTGGATAAGACTTAGCCAGCATGTTGGCATATCATGTCCTGCTTTGATAGAATGTACCTTCTGAGTGTGTAAGTGTGTACACACAATCACATAATTACAAACTGTGTCTCTTAAATAGGAAATATAAACGTGTTGCTTTCATATCAGTTTACACCTGTAGCTGAGAAAGTTAGTATCACTGTAATATGACAGTATTGTTTCAGTCTGTTTTAGCTATATTCCAGCAATATCACGGCGAGGGACACCAGTAGTGGGATTCACACATTGTACCCTTTTGAATCACGGGCCTTTGGCGTGACCTGCGAGCGCTTTAATCACTGGGTTACCGACCCATCCATCTATCCACCCATCCATCCATCTATTTATCTGTCTGTCTATCTGCAATGCAACAGTAACTAGTCTGGTGCTCAATCTGTCATAAACCTTTTCTTCCTATCCATCAGAACTGTATTGGTTTCACGAATGTTTCTTTTCGAGATCACCTCTAATAATAGCTGCAGTCATGCCATTCAGCCTTCTGTTCCCCGTTATAAGAAAAACAAAATCGTGTCAAGTAATTGTTTTCAATGCCTGTCGTCGAGTTACTTGATAATCGCCGTCGTGTGGACTTGAGCCGGTTCGATACGTGCACCGTGTAGCACGCAATAACGTTTGAACAGTATTTCGTTTTTACCACCACACCCCGATCCGGATGGGGTGTAGGCAGGTGGTGTGACCTCATTGAAGCATACTAAACTTGGTGGACACAATGTAAAATAAAGGTCACTCGGCAGGATAAAGTCATAGAATCGGTATCCGTCGGGGTCATGTGTGTACGGAGGAAGATGCAAATATGAAAGGTCATATAGGTTTGTTTGTTGTTAAACGCCGCACTCGACAATATCCCAGCTATATGGCGGCGGTGTGCAAATAATGGAGTCTGGGCCAGACAATCCAGTGATTGACATCATGAACATCGATCCACGCTATTGGGACACAATGACGTGCATCAAGTCAGCGAGCCTGACCACCCGATCCCGTTTAGTAGTCGCCTCTTACGCCAAGCATAGTCGCCCCTTTATATTACGGCAAGCATGGGTTGCTGAAGACCTGTTCCAGCCTTCACGAGTACTACTTTCAGTGTTAACATTACAAATGACCCTTGTCAATCGGAGATCGAGTCAGAATTTTAAACATCCGGAATCTGGAGAAAGTACTTGGATAATTGTTATCATTAAAATATAGTCTAAGATACTGAAAATCAGCGGCTTGGGGTCCTTACCCCAATATAAAACGTTATGGTCGGACAGGCTGGCTCACTAAACAAGATTCTGAACACACGTAACGCTTCGTAGATTAGAGTAGCTTCCCTTTGTTAAAGGACAGCTACTCTAGCTAGCGGATCGATGGATTGCCGCGAAAAGCAAGCAGAAACAATATGTGTAGGCAATTGTTATTTTGCTTATATGTAGTTACGTCACTGTCTTCAAACAGGTTTCAGTTGGAACTGTATTGACCGTTGTCCCAGTCGGATTGCCAAATCACTGACCTTCTGACGTAATATACATACTAATGCGCACATTCAAGGAAAACTTGCAATGTTTAGGTACCGTTTGTGAGAGATGAGAAGAGTTTTTTTCGACGACTGAATATAAGATATATATGATAAAGATATTATTACTTGCCCGTGAGGAGATCACCTGTTTAATAAGCATACAGCTGTATTACACACTGTGTAATACCAAAGCGCGTGTTAATGTACGGCGGGAACAAGTTACACTAACAAACATTGAAAGCTCTCAGCATCCCTTGGCTTATTCAACGACATTGCGGGAGGAGATGATAGATCACTAAGAGGAGCTTATGCACACTCGGGTCGGTCGGGTAGCCTAGTTGTTAAAGCGTTCGCTCGTCACGCCCAAAACCCGGGTTCGATTCCCGACATGGGTACAATGTGTGAAGCCCATTTCTGGGGTCCCCCGCCGTGATATTGCTGGAATATTGCTAAAAGCGGCGTAAAACCACACTCACTCACTCACTTATGCACACTAGGCTGACGTCACATGGCATTGTTTCGCCGGTGGATCTTGCAACAAAATTACGCCATAGAGTATTGTGACGTGATTGTAAACTCTGTGGTGCAGGTCCCTTTCGACAAAGCGATCGTATTGCAGCGCAACGACAGTTGTTTCTGTTAAAGTATGTGAGTTACGATAACCTTCGCGCTACGATAACTTCTGAATTCTAAAGGTTGGCCGTTGTATGGTATTAAATTAATATGTGTCAAATTTTGACGTGTTTAAAGTATTATTCTGTTAAACTCAAGTTGATTACGTTGTGGATCGTGTAGGTGTCTGCCTATTCATACACGACAGTGAAATTCTAAAAAAAAGATATAAATTGTAAGTAATAAATAAATTACTAAACTCGCCCCCGTGTTATACCAATTTTAAGAAACACGTGAATAGTTCTGGTATCTGGTATCGCTTTCGCTCGTAAAATACCAGAACTATTCCATCGTTTCATAAAATTGGTATTACACGGGAGCTCGTTTAGTTTTCTGTATGTATTAAGCTCGCCAAGGCTAGCTAAATACAATGTTTATTCCAAACACTGGGTATTTACTATCCACAAACACTCGCGTGATAACCTCTATTTATTTATCAGGGGGGTAGAAATAACCGAGTTAATAGTCGTATGTGCACCAGTGCAAATATCACGTCATTTGCACCAGTTTATTATTTACGACTACGGACAGCATAGTTGACGTAAAGTCGGAATGACGTCACACTAAAAACAACGTCATAGGTGAAGACAATTGTGGTTTTCTAAGACGGCTGTCGTGATCAGTGCGTGTTACAAAGGGGAGTGCAAAAGCCCCAGGAAATACGTTGTAATCATCCAAAACTGATCTCCACAGGAGATATCGCTTGGGTGAGATAAAACGATCTCTCCTAGGATTGGTTGGTTGGTTGGTTGGTTTGTTGTTTAACGCCGCACTCAGCAATATTCCAGCTATATGACGGCGGTCTGTAAATAATCGAGTCTGGACCAGACAATTCAGTGATTAATATCATGAGCATCGATCCATGTAATTGGGATCGATGACATGAATCAACCAAGTCAGCGAGCCTGACCACCCGATCCCGTTAGTCGCCTCTTACGACAAGCATAGTCACCTTTTACGGCAAGCATGGGTTGCTGAAAACCTATTCTACCCCGGATCTTCACGGGTCTCTCTCCTAGGAGATATTGCTGCAATGAAATTGAATCACAATGCTTTGCAGACCACTGTGACGTCATCGGGTACCATAACTTCACGATAAAATGACATAACTAGTCTCTTCGCCACTGAAGCTGGTGAGTTGTACTTTTTACACTCAAGACAATGCTAATTACTGTTTCCAAAATTAAAAGTTGCAATAATGATGTAGGATCGCACACTGATGTCCTTTGATAACAAAAGACACTTGTTGTCTTTTGATAACAAAAGACACTCGGGTGAAATTTTCTATTTAATTAAATTGTTTTAAGACAAATAATACAACCACCAAACTCACATTGATTCGGGAACCTTTTTATTTATCTGGCATGTGTATGTTAAGTGCACCCCTCCTTTTCCAGATTAGTTGCGGAGGAGGAGGAATACGGCGCGCATCCACGTCATATTGAGGAGACAAAACACGAACTTCAAACATTTCCTTATACATCGACGTCGCGATTCTTCCGAGTATTATCGATGCATCGCAATATATGTATCGCTGCCACAACACCAATGCTAAACCACCAGGGCTATTCACGACCATCACGGCTATTCGTCAAAACTGAGTGTGTTTCCTCCCAGTACTTCCGCTTTTCTCTGCGTCGTCAGAAATAAATACACGTGTCGCGGTGACTTATAAATTTAATATGGTTGCAAAGAAACACGTTGTTTATATACTCGAAGTCTGCAGTGTCAACCAAGCCGATCATCCCTGG